TTTTATTTATTCACGTAGCTTATTTATTATTGATTATAATTTATTTTTATCTCAAATTATTGGTGAGGAGGGGAGGAAACGATATTCTTGCTTCCTCGAAATTTGTAACCGGGGAGGGACATCGCTCCCTCACCTCCCTATGTGTTGTGAGGTTCTTGTTAATTAATAATATGTAACAAATGGCATTATAATATGAATTCCATTGGACTGCAATGTATTTTCAAACACGATTCCGTTCAATAAAGATAGTTCCTATAGAAATGAAATGCGCATAACCTCTTTTCTGCCGAGAGGCAATCATTGTTTCTTCTTCTTTTTTTTTTCTTTTTTTCATTTCATAACGCGGAAGTCCAACGCGGAAGTTTTGTAGTTATATCAAGATGATAGGAAAGTTACGCGGTTGAAATTACACGTTGAGGCCCCTTTCTAATAAAAGAGTAATAAATTAGTAGGCAGTCAGCTGACTAATTTGATCCCTGATTGGAGCAATAACAATAAAATTTTACGGCCAACCCCCGAGGGTGAAGCTAACCAGGTCGCCTGTTGTGTGGTCTCTTCGTCCGTGTATCGATCTCTGGGCTAAGGCCCCCCCATTCCTCCTCCTCCCCCCTCAAGTTAATATCGCTTAATTACCGATCAGAACACAGCGGTGGTCATAGACGTTCCCAAGAGTAAGGTAGTCTATAAGTAATCTAGATACTGATTTTCTTAGATTGAAGATAGATCTACAATATCATCTGAGATAGATCTAAGAGCATCGTCTTTTTTAATGTTCCTCCTTTTCTCTCAAATGGAAAGTAGAATAGAATAGAACGGAATACAAATGAAAATATGTACAAAATACTTAAAACTATGTACTTAGCAAATGAGACTTAAAGATCTATAGCCTCTAGTTTAGTCAAAATTAAATTGTATACTAAAATACTTAAAAAAAGACAGAACTATCATCATATGAAAAGTGAATGAAAAATACACACAGGATAAAAGTAATACTTGAATAAACACTGTTATCAAGCACAGTCTTAGGCACTATCTCATTAAATAGGAATTGATATCATTGGCGCAGACTTTTCATTCTGGTTGTGGGGGGGGGGAGGGGAGCGACGTTGGATCCCCCTCCCATAAAAAAAAAATATTGTACGTTTATATTATGAGTGTCAATTAAAATAATCAACCTAATTATTGTGAAACAAACATTTTTTTTTTCCTGTTGGCATTACAGACCATGTAGATCTTTTACCGCCTTAGCAAGCCTGATCCATCTTAGCCTGTCTTGAGTTATTTCTTTCCATTTATATGCATACAGCTCTATTTCATCTTTGTTGATTCTATCTATCCATATGCTTTTTGGCCTTACACATGGTCTTTTGTGGTCAATAGAAATGTTGAGGCATTCATTGTTACGTAGAGGATTCCAGATGGATTGCTACGAGCTCCAAGCCTCGCCCACCTTAACCTCCCTGCCTTCATATCAAGGGATATTGATTGACCAGTTTCTGTAAGCAGTTCTTTATTGGTCTATCTTCTCCATGTGTTGGAACTCTGATCCCAGATCGCTCCGGTTATCGTGCGAAGGATTTTCCTCTCAAACCCTTTAACACTTTTTTCTAGAGTGCTGATTAGTGTCCAGGTCTCACAACCGTATATTAGAACTGGCTTTCTCATAGCATTGTACACCCTTAATTTGAGATTTCTTGATTGTAATATTGAATTGAATTGAAATATAATATTGAAAACGAACAATATAATACTATATATAAAAAAAAGTATATATTTTGCGTATGGGTTATGTTTGTATTGGAAAATATGTTAACAAAGCAATTGAATATATTACATATTTTGATTTTTATTTAAAGGTTTGAAGCCAGTGAAAAGGCAGTGAAATGTTCTCAAAATTCTCCGATGCTTCAAATTATAAAAAAACCGTGGGAAATGCAATAAAATCTTAACGTAAAAATGGAAGAGTGCACATGAATGAATCATAATATCCTAGGATATGTTGCTACGTATAATTATCTTTGAATATAAACTAAAATTTTAATAATAGGAACGTAGGACGTGAATTATAGTTATTAATTTTTATTTTATTTTTTCTTTGAAATATAGAAGGGAGGGGAGAGAAATGGTATTCTCGTCCCCTCTCTATTTTCTTTGGGGGAGGGGGGAAGAAGGGCAGTCGCCCATCTCGCCTTCACACCCTGCGAAATCTGCTCCAATGATTGAAATAAGAAAATTTTAAATTGCTGATAAAGAAGAAAAATGCATTACAAATTACATTAGTAAAAACAATTACAAATGAGCATCAAAATAAATCGTTAGGCTTTCATGGAATGTCTCATAGTATAAGTAGGTAATCGATCTGAAGATAAATAGCTAGTAACTAAACTCAGCGTCGAGCTCATCGTAAATCCATTGAACCGTTCCTAGACACATCGAGAAAATGAATGAAATTCAGCGATTGAACCACCGAAGGGTCCAGAGGTCGAAAAAGCTGTGTATAGAAAAATACAAATTATTTCTATAAATAGCTGTTATTTCAAGACCAAAAGATATTGAATAAATAAAAAGAAAAAAATATTAAATTATCTGAAATGTTTAAAACAAATGCAGGATGGTAAAGAAAAATAAGATCTAATATAATAAGTTAAGAGAAGCTAAAAATTATAGACAGTAAAACATATTCATTTAAAAAAAACAAACTATACCATGTTTTTCCCGCACATCTAATCTGTTAAATTTGTGAGTTTTTCGTCATTTCCTTCTAAAACTACATAACTTACATTTTTTTTCGGTAAGGGTACCGAATAATGAATTAATAACCACAAGTTTATAATATATATAGCACATAGCTTTCATTAGATATGTGGGTAATTTATTTAATTAAATGTTAATTAATACAAGAATTATCATTTATTAAATTGGGATATATACTATTGGAGCCCGCGCGTTCCATGTATATGAACTAACTTATTTCTTATACTCGGAAGAAATCGTAAAATTCCGATCATAACCGAGTGCTCTCGGTGATTTTCGTTCTCATCTTACTAACTCATTTCTCCTTCGATAAATTATCAAATATTCTTATAGTTGGATATACATTGATCATTATAAGCGAATTCAATAATACGATTAAAATTTTAAATACATTTTTAAAAAAGAACAAATAATCATTGGATGTAACAGTTTTTCGAGAAAGCATTCTAGATTACAAAAAACACTTATAACATTTATTTAAAATAATCTGTGTTCAGGAATTTCATTGAATTTAATATGTTTGATAAATTTGCTAAATTGAATACAATATTTTGTATAATTTTGTTTAATCAAATATGCAGTATGTAAATGTAAATTTATTGAATTGAGAGAGCATAAAATTCTATTTTATTCGTAAAATAAGATTATAATCAACAAATTTACATATAACAAATGTAAAACCTGATGTAGTAACACAAAATGATTTTAAACTTGATGTATACGTTAAAATATTAAGCGTCTCATACCTTGATGTAAAGTAATGGAAAACTACATTTAAATAAATGTTTCTGCAATGAAAGAATGCCTTATTTCTAAATATTATAAAAATCAATAACATATTAAAAGATAAATCAAGGAATAATTTACCAGCATAAATGATAGAACTTGAATAAAATTTTACCTGGTAAGTGATGTTGAGTCCTGACACACCATAGTACATACAGTGTTGCCCTTTTGTGTTTTAAAAAAAATATATAACCAGCTCGATTTATACTCACTTATAAGAGAAAACAAATCTAAAAATGCACCAATATTTATTTTTTTTTAATATTTAATAATTTTGTAAATTTAAAAAAAATAACAATAATGGTTATAGAATGAAAACAAATTCAGGATATATTATTGTAAATTGCAATCAAGAATAGAAGTAAAACCTTCATAATATGCTCGCTTCCAATTTTTTAGACTCAGATTATTCTCCAATATTGGAGATGATTATCCAACGAATATTATAAATAGTATGATTTATTCGAACTAGGTTGTCATAATTTGAAACTAAATAACGTATCAAATAACAGTCGGCACTTGAGAATTTGTCCGGTTTATTCTATTTGTAAACCAAATTGACCTGGAGACGATAAAAAGTTTTGTTCCTTAATACCTGGTCCAGGACTAACGGTTTTATGTTAATCGTCTACTAAATGTATACTTAAGTCTCGCTTATGCTTCCCTTGTCAATAGTGAATAAAGGATTTATGTCTAGCCTAATAACGGATTAACGCGTCGAACCTATTTTTTTTTCCGATGAGAGGAGAGGTTTCTTATAATTAGTATAAAAAAGATTTTGAAACTTGGTTGCCATGGTTTCGTGGGCGCAATTGTGTCTCAAATTTGGAAACCAAAAGATTTGATGAGGAAAGCCTAAATCAAATTCCAAGACTATGTATATTCTGAATGGTGTTAAGAGAACTACCAAATTCCAATAACACCAAAAGAGAAATACACATTCCACCAAGTCTAGTATTGTTTTTTTAACCGCGGATTTTAAAATTTATTGCTGTTTTTTTAACGTATGGTTTTACCATTTAAAATAGATGCTTTTAAATATGCAACAGTAATTACATGAAATACGTTAACTTTATTTTAGATAATTTTTCTAAGTAATTAGGTATGTACTAAAGTCCTATTTTCGATAGCCGGTTCCAAGAGACAGGGCATAGAATTAATTTTTCTAACCACACATTTTATGTTATATACTATTGTAATATTTTATTTTATTAGAATAACACACACCTATTATGGTGATATATTATATTTCTATCAAAATAAAAATTGGTAGATCGAATATAAATCTGTTTAATGCCGGCGGACATAAATTTAAATAATTCTATTAAACAGAACACATATACCGTATTGTGATGTTTGAAGTATTAGTAATTTCTTTTATCAGCTACTTTAAAATAGATGCTTTTGATATTTTTTGAGGACATTTTAAAAAAAAAACTCTCATAACCTTCCCAGTGGTTGCCTTGAATGCCTGAAGTGTGCGAGTAGTTTTAAGGATGTCTAATGAACCAATTATTCCGAAGTATTCTTGGTCGAAATGGATTTTAGCAATCCTAGTAGGCATTCCAGCTGTAGCCGGCACTTATTACTTTATGACAAAAAAACAGCCGAAAATAACCGATTCTGACAAAAATGGCATTTGCAAACCCTCCAAGAAGAAAACTGCTCCTAAGGATGACTCAAGTGAAATTAAGCCAGAAAACAATAAAGTAGAAAAAGAAGAGGTCTGATTTTCTTATTATTTATCCAATAAGCTGCTTCTGATTTATTTTTCGTTTTCTAGATCCTTTATTTTACAATTTGAACTTGTCAACATGTTGGTTATGTAATACTGATAACTGTTGATGTTGACTTTAGTAGCCTACTATGTCAAACCTTATTAATTTTAAACTTCTTTTTTAGACTCCATTGGAGAGAAGCATGAAGCTTAAAAATTTAGGAAATTCTTTTTATAAAAAAGGGGAATATAATGATGCTATTCGATGTTATACTGAAGCCATCTCTATGTGTCCAACTAGCGACACTGAACACTTGGCTACACTATATCAAAACAGGGCCGCTTCATATGATGTTCTGGTAGATGATTTTTTTAAAAAATTAACATTTATCGATTAATCCTTTGAAGTTACGAACTTGTCAAAATTTGTATTTTGCTCTTTAATTATTTCAATTTGTGAAAAACTTATTGGTTTTTGAAAGTTTTATTCATAAGTGTGTCAAGTCTGGTTACAGGTGGGTCAAAATCCCTTGAGCGTACTTATCAGGTCTACCAGTGAACATAGTGTTCAACACGGCTATTTTCAGAAGTCCGTATATAGTGTGATCAATATGATCTTGACCCATCTATAAACCAAATTACACTTGTGGTCTAGTACAATTTATATATTTAGCTTTTCATAGCCTTAAATGTATTTACTGTGCATTTTTTAATTTTATTCTTATTTGGTTTTTAAAGCAAATTGTGCATTTGGAATAAGGTTCTACTGTGTATTTAATTTTTTTTTTAATCTCAAGCATATACACTTATTACACAATGTTGCAGCTACTAGTTCTTCAGTGTTTGAATATTTATCTCCAAAAATTGATTAATAACAATTCATTGAAATTATAACTAGTGTTATTTATAATCCTGTTAGTAAAGAAAAAATTGCCAATGTGTGAAACTGATTTTTTTTAATCAGCCTTGTGTTATGTTATACCAAGGACTAATCTTAGCTAAGCTTTTGAATAAATGATTGATTCAATTTACACCATAACAAAGATAGGTTGTCAATGGATAGATACCACTTTTACCCTTTGACTTAATATTTTGCCTTAACTACTAGTTACTTATCAGACTATTGGAAAAAGATGAATTTAATCCCAATTTTCTCCAAAACTTTCCTATTTAATTAAAAAGTGTTATATTTACCACTTTTTCTTAAATCTTTAATTGTCTAGCCATTAATATAAAACTATACCTTTATCATTTCTTGCTTGATTTTATTTGTTGAATTATTAGTGAAATGAGGCTTATTTCTGTGATCATTAATAATAATTTCTCAATTTATATAGAAAATTAGTTAGTGGTAGGTTCGTTATTTATTGGGTTAACTGTAGATAGGAGATGATGTGTTAAGGCATCACCTCAGTATATCAGACATAAGCAAAACCAGATTGCGAAATTCTGTCACTCATTTTATGGTGTACTCATCACTTAAAACATTATTTTTTGTAGCGATCCATGCAAAGATATCTTAGATCGCATCAGCCTGAGCCTAAGGTTTGTGTTGCTTGAGATATTTAAATCTTTTTAATGCTACCTCAATTTTTAAGTACTCAATGCAGAGCATATAGCAATTAATTAGCCTGTTATTAATTTCAAAATCATGAATAAAAAAACTTATATATAAGGTCAGTGTATTGATGAAATTTGATATCGACTATTATTTTCACCATATAATGGGGAATTGTTTTAAAGTAATTGTATTGTAATTTCCTCACATTTCAAACCTTATCAACTGAGATCTTCTGATCACAATCAAGATTATTTCTTCATCAATCCATTTCCTATCTGTAAGGCCTACCCTAAGGATCCTATCTTTCTCCTACTTTTTTTAAAATAATCTAAATCTGAACTTACATTTTCCTCAGTTGAAAAGTTGTTATATGTAATGTATATGTATGTAATGTAAGTATATGTTATATGTAATTAAATATGAAAAACTTACAATCTCAAAAATTGTATTCTTAATTTTTTTAGAATGAAACACAGAAAATAGTGGATGATTGTACTGCTGCTTTGAAATTGAAACCTGACTATCTCAAAGCTCTAACCAGGAGATACAAAGCAGCGGAGAAGATTGGGAAGATTAGGCAAGCTCTTGAAGATGTGACTGCCGTTTGCCTTCTTGAAAATTTCAACAACATGGAAACATTATCAGCTGCCGACAGAATTCTAAAAGTAATTGGTATGTTTTAGAAGTTAATTTCTCACTAATATGTTGTTGTTTTTTTATTAATTTAATAGAATATTAAATTTTGGTTGGAATTTATTTATTGCCGTTGTACTGTTAATTCTCAACTTTTGTACATAAATCCAATAAATAGAAGATCAACTACCCAAAAAATCTAATCTGAAAAATTTGTAATATAATATGCATAAGACATGACTATCAGAACCTGTCATGACCGCATAATTAATAGATATTTAACAAATAAAATGTTTATTTTAAATTTAAGGCAAGGAAGAGGCTGACAAATTTATGAAATCTAGAAGCATTGTTCTTCCTTCAGATTACTTTATTAAAGCCTATTTTGCTTCGTTTGCTCATGATCCTGTGATAGCAGACCTGCCTAAAACTGTAACTTCAGATAAGGAATTGAGGTATACTTATAGTATAAATTTCAATTTTATTTAATTATGTATTCCATTTCGCTTCAGTGAAAAATGTGGGAAACAGATTCTAGTAAATAGTAAATGCATAAAACATAATTAAATGCAATGACTAAGCAGGTTATAATGACCGTCTTTGTTAAATGTATAACTTAATTACTTTTGAAATAATAATGTTTACAATGTTACTTATGCTCATTTCTTGCAGACGTTTTCAAGTAACAGGGTCAGGATGATAATAAACTTATCTTAACAGCATAAAAGTTCCACTTAATTTTTTTTTCTTTACTCTTAAATTTTATTTATGAAATACCATGCTTTCACGCTATAAATTCTCATTATGTGAGTTTTTATAGTAAAGTTTCTTCCATAGGTATGAAGTTGTCAACAATTACATGAATTTACACTCATGAAACATTTAATCATATTGATGGACATAATATTAATAAATTAATATTAACTTATTAATAAAAATTGCATTACTTATGTTTGAAAATATAAATCTTTTTACACCTCTATATAAACTGCATACTCCTACTATTTCATGGTAGAAGAAAAAAAACAACAACGTAAAACTAAAGAATTTAAGTTTTCAAGAATAGACTGTATTATACATTATTTTTTTCTATATAATTTCCATTTTAAATTTTTTTTTTAATTTACGATCCTAACAGTTCTAGCTTTACTAGCTATGGATCTCTTCTGTGTTCAATTTTTTGTTAAAAGTTTTAAATTGCTTTAAATAGTAATAAAATAAAATTTCATTTTGAATATAAACATTATTTAGGATGTCTACATGTGTAAATTTATACCTGCTGTAGAGGGATTGATAAAGCAAAGCAAGCAATGGTAGAAGAGAAGTACTCTGAAATAATTGGTGCTTGCACCGAGGAACTGGAAAGTCCTAGCTCGGATAAAGCAAAGGAACACGCTCTTCTTCTTAGATCTTCCATGTACATTCTTACTTGGCAAATAAAAGAAGCAATGACTGACCTCACTTTTCTTATAAACACCTCATCTGATGTTAAGGTAAGTTAATAAGTTGTTAATTAAATTTTTATTCAATTGGATTTATTATTTACAATAAAAATACTACGATGTATTCCTTAAATTGTTCGTTACCTTAAAGGGGTAGGGTGGCGGACTGGGCTAATGCTTGTGTATAGCACCTCCATTGCCCAGCAACCTGATGTATGAACTAATTTGATTAAATTTATTAATTAAAATTAATCATTATTAAATTTGATTAATTATGAGTTCGCATCCCTGTGCCAAGGGGTCTTTTAACTCTGGCATTAATCCCCTTCTGTTACCACCTGACCCGGGGAAAATCCCGTATAGCCTAAAAGGCGAGGAAGAGGAGACAGATAAATAAATAAAAAATTTTAAAAAGTTCCTTAGCTTAAATTTAAATCTACACAGTACTAGATGGGTTTTAAAATATATATATTTTATTAATTCCCATAGTAATCATTTTCACTTTCATGGGCCAATAATGGTTGTTCTATTAAATTATCAAAATTGGCAGATTTTAACTTTATAATTAATTTTGAAAATTCAGCACAAAATAATGTTGCCTAACTTAAATAACTGACAAACATCCATTGCATACTTTTACCTTCATTAAAAAAAAAAAATTATATTTCTTGATTTATTTTATAAAATTAACTTTCAAAAGAAGATACTATATTGAAATGAAAAAATATTTTATTATTCTGGGACTGTTGTTCCTTTAGAACAAATTATAAATACAGATTGTATGTCTGTGTGGTTACAATTAGATTATATATTTACAATAAGAGTTGATTAAAACTAAAAATACTGAAGAAGAGAAAGAAAAGAACAAGAAAATTGTACATATATATGAGAAACTAAAAATAACCTAAATAAATTGAAGTAGTCTCTGGAGGTGCTTAGATATTTCTCTCAAGTATATTTCGCAATCAGTCAGATTGAGAAAGGAGTAGGTGTTTAAAGAGGAGAGGTTTCAAAGAAGAAACTGATTGAGCATGTCGATTATCAGCAGGGACGGCATTCCAGAGGGAGGCGGCTTGTATTGCAAAGGATTTGTCATATGCAGCAGTTCGGTGAGGAGGAGGATAGAGGTCGGAAATACGAGATCTAATGGGACGGGATTGGATGGAGTATTTGAATTGTAAGCAATTCAAGCAATATTGTGTTAATCCTAAAGAATGTCTTTGATTAATGGAACAGGGTTTGAGTTTATTTGGGTAAAAAAACTCGCAATTATTGTCTCCAGTTTTTTTTTTTTTTATTGCTTTCCAATACATCGTATCCGATATTGCTGCATTTTGCCTACTCTTGGATGTAGACTGAACTTTCAAATATCTATGTTATTGTGTGTGGGTATGTTGCTTAGAGTTCTTATGATTCACTCTCACGTAGACATGCACCTTAAGTAATAAAGGTATGCCTACAAGAACTGAATACTGAGAGAAAGTATTATAGAGTAGGAGTACCAATTAGATGAAACATGAATTACAAGAAATTCAGAAATTTTAATGATATATGAAATAGATAAAATTATACTAGCCAGTGGACTATCGCTGTTCTTTAGTAAACTTTAAAATGTTAAGCTATAAAAATTGCTATGATTTCGAGGACATTGATATAGAACAGAATGCGTTGGAACAAATAGAGAACATTAGTTAGTTAGAATCTATGATAACCAAAGGAAAAACCAATTTGAAGAGTAAATTAAGGCTTTGTTAAAGGCAGGAAACACTTGTTATTTTTCTTTTTCAAAACTACTTAGCTCATGTCTTCTATTCCAAAAATTAAAGATTATAATTTACAAAACTATTATCCTTCTTATGGTTCTTTGGAGATGAGAAACATGGCCACTTACATTAAGGGATGAAAAACACCTTGAGGTTTTTAAAAAATAAAATTTTGCGTTGAATAATCAGAACAAAAAAGAATGAGTCAACCAGAAAATTTATACAATCACACAATGTCAAATAACGTGAATTACATCTGGTTAATATAATTGGGATGATAGCATCGTAGCTAGTTTAAAATTGTTTGGTTTAGTAATGAAAAAATCTCTAAAAGTTTGATATGCAATTTGGCAACTGGTAAATGTACGAGGAGTAGACCGAAGCATAGGTGATAGGATTACGTAAGATCTGGCGGGGTTGGGTTTGAACAATAGTTGGTGAATGGAAGTATATATTCAGCGATTGGTGATATATACATCGAACCTTTGGGTGCACTAAGCCTTTAACATTATTATAATAAACTTAAATATCAAATCATAAGTGGCAATGTACTTGGGCGTTTATAACATCATATAAGCATGAATAATGTAAAGATTTATTAATTATAAAACATGTGTACTTTGACTAGTTTAAATCAAATTATTTATACTACTTGAAGTTACTGAATTTAGTCTGGGTATGATTGATGAGTCTAATTAATTAGATTTGTCTTGTAGATCCAAGCTAATGCCTTACTCAAACGAGCTTGCCTGTTCATGCAAGCAGAAGAAATTGACAACGCAATGGCAGACTTTGATAAAGCTGCTATTATTGATCCAAGCAACCCTGATATACCACACCAAAGGGCTCAAGTAAGTTAATATTTCTATTTTTTTTTTTTCTCCAAATTTTATGTTTATTCAAAAACTATATACAACTATTCTCCACCTATAAAATTAAAGAAAAGTTTTTAAAAGTTAATATGCCAGGAATTTATTTATTTCAGTTTCAGTTCAGACAGTTAGTATGATCAAGAAGAGATTAAAAAATGGTTTGTGTAAATTAGTTTTTATAAGCCAAAGAGCACAATTTTGTTAACAAATGATTTTATTGCGTTAGATCATTCATGTTTTATAAATTTTATCTCATAAAATTGACATTTCGTTTGCTATAACCAGATATACTTATATCATTTTAATTTTGAAATGTTAGACATTGTTTTAAAATCACGATATTCTATTCCACAGAATAGATCCATTTTTCAGCATTTAGGAGTGATGCATTTTGACAAAATGGGGAATTAACAAATCAACTGTGTTTTAAAAGCCTTAAAATTTACCTTTTTAGAAATAGTGTGCTTAAAATTTAAATTCCTATCGAAATATAGTTTTACTTATGCTTATTTAAAATTTTTGTCTGCAGATGTATCTTCTTGGCGAAAAGTTAGAAGAAGCAGTTGAAGAATTTCAAAAAGCAATCACGCTACATCCTACTTCTGGTCTTGTATTAGTTCAAAAATTATATGCTGAATATCGCCTGGGTATATCAAGAAATGACACGAGTATAGCGCAGACAGCCAAGAAAGGTCTTCAAAATGCAATTAATAAATTTCCTAATACACCTGAGGGCTACATGCTTTTAGCTCAGGTCAGTTAGTATTTGATATCTTTTCCTACTGAATTTCCTATTTTTGACGTATTAATTAGGCATAATAACGTCTAAGAAACAGGCACAGATAAATATTTGTGTATAGACATTTCAGTGATCAGCACTACCCTATCAACAGTCAGGTACTTAATTTAAGGGTTAATTTTAAATGGTAGTTGTCATCTTGGAGCTGTGGTGGTCGAGCGAGTCAAGACGCCTGCAAAAATTTTATATCAAGTGGATTCAAACAAATTAAATAAATAAAATAATTAAGTGCAGGTCCTACTAGACTTTTCAGACCACTACGGCGCAGGTTCGATTCCCGCATCTAGACTTTAATTAACATCCCCTCCCAGAGATTCTTAGGGAGGTGAGCGTTCCCTGTCTTAAACTATAGCTCCTGGTCCACCAGGTTGGGGGTTGGGTGTATGGCTGATAATCCTCTATCCCATAAAAAAACTCGGTGAAATATTGTAGCAAAAGATTGCCAACCATCCTGCAGGAAAGTTCCTGATGAAGAGGGAGTAAAATGTGATCGTGTCCGGTTAGTAAACCACGTGCTCCGTAAGTAAACCACCCTAACAGCCCCAAGCTTCTGAAGAAGATTCATGTCTTAAAAAGTCTAAGTCTACAGGCGTAGAAAAAAAAAATCTTGGAAAGCCTTCTAATTTTCTGTCAAGATGAAATTTCGTTTGAAGGTTAAATTGAACAACTAATCATAACTAACTCCAGTCAAATTTCGTTCAAGGAAATATTATTTTATTTAACAATTCACTACATGGTATATTAATGCTACCCAATTAATTCATGTTTTATATTAAAAATTTAATTTTTTTTTTTTCATAGGTTTATAATGATGCTCAAGATTATGAAAAAGCGGAAGCTACATTTGATCTTGGAATCAAAGCAGATGAAAAAAATGCCTCTATATTAGTCCATAAAGGTATGTAAGTTACAGATAGTGCATAAATATTCAATATTCAGTCCATATCGCCTTCCAGCACAAATAAGATAGAAAAGTTAAATTTTAATTGCTGATTTTTTACTTTTTTTTTTACTGAAAGTTATTTGAATCATTTGCAGTTTAAAATCATATTAGGGGAAGGGAGGAATTTACCAGCATTTCAATAGAAGTGTTAACAAAACTACCATTTTTAGATTGTGCCAGAAGGCGATATGTCTGTATGTTGCTTTATCTCTTATTTATAATCTATTGAGTAACAACCTGTTGTGAAACCAAAAAATAACTGATTATAGTTAGTATGATTGTCAGTCAACATTTGTTCTATATAAAAATATTAATCTTATAGTGTACAAAGCTCATTTTCAATAGAAAAATTATGTCGCATAAACTTACATACAATGAGTTAATTTTATCTATTAAGCTAGAAATCCATGCAGAGCAAAGGCAGAAAACATGTTGATATTATATATATTTTTCAACCTAGTATTACCAAAAAAAAAGTTTCAATGAAATCAGTGATTTCACATTCATAACCTACTTCATAAATTATGCAACATTTATGACCTCTGAACTTAATTCAATAGCCTCAGTTTTCTAATTCTGTATGTCAATAACTCAAAATATAATAGTTTTAATTACTGACTCTTTGAGTTCATTAAAAGATTTAAATGACATGTATTCAAAGCACTCCGTTATTTTAAAAATTCACAAATACCTCCATATTCTGGAAAATTTAGGAAAATCTGTATTCTTCATATGGATTCCCAGTCACGTGGGAATAGTTGGTAATGAGCTTGCAGATATGGCCACCAAACAAGCACTCACACTCCCAGGTCGAGGTACTGCTATCTTGACTCCTCCAGAAGTGAGTTTTCCTCTCAAAAAGAAAATATTGGCTAGATGGCAGTCTATGTGGAACAAGAGCCACCAAGCTAATTAAAAGTCATCAAACAATTAGTAAAGCCCTGGACCACATCAAATCGTTCTAATCACAGAGAAGTTTGACTAAATTATATCTTATCAATGAACAACCACCTCCAACATGCATGCCAATACTGCAATAGCCCTCTCACGGTCAGTCATATTTTTCAGGAATGCCCTTATTATACTTCAAACTTAAATAGATTATCTCTTAGACCAGATGTATCAGTGACATTGAATGATAATGAATCAAGCATAAAAGCAGTTATTAGTTTCCTTAAAACCAATAGATTACTTAAGAAATTATAAAAATGCACTTAATTTTTATTTTTTATATTTTTGGTTGTTTATAATTTGTATTTATTTATCATCTTTATTCTTTTATTATTCCATTATTTTTTTTAATTTATTTATTTATTTTTATCATTTCATTTTTATTTTTTTCTCTTATAAGGAGTTCCTGAACTCCAGTGAACAAAAATAAATAAACAGCAGGTGTTGATGACCCTATGGTTTTACGCCTTAAATCACAAATAAACAAACATTCATAACCTCCCCTTGCCTTTGTCAGTAATAACAATTATAGGAATATTAAAGGAAGAAAAAAATTAAGTTTGACTGAATTTAATGAATTACTATTAATATTATGTTTCAGGTTTACTGTACTTACAATGGAAAGGTGATATTGAAAAGGCTTCGAAACTGATAGAAAAAGGAATTGAAGTTGATCCAAAATGTGAATTCGCATATGAGACATTGGCTTCAATCGAAGTTCAAAAGTAAGTATTAATTAGTGTAATAATAAATGGAGTTGTTTATCATTTCATTCAAAATTAATATTCTCTGAGTGTTTTAGAATCAGTATGGCAAGTATTAATTAATTTTATAGATCAGGTACATTTTTGTAAAATGTTTTCTAATGTTACATCTTAGAGATAAGATAAGGTAACTAATTAGAAGCAATGAAGTTCAAGTGACCAACTTGGAAGAACTTAATTATGTCCAAGAAATATTAATGATAACAAAAATAAGAATCCGTTTCTCTGATTGGTTTATATGCCATCAGGATCTGCAGATTGGATTACTTTAAATTAAAAAAGTGTTTATTTTGGCTAATTTTGATAGAGTTTACTGGTTGCTTCTCCCAGATGTATTAAATAGTGAGAGGAAATAGTTAATTAATTAATGCTGTAGTTAAAAGCCCCCAGCACTGAGCCTCAAACTCTTAAGTTGTTTATATGATTGCCGGACAACAGGTGTTTTGCACACACGTTAGCCCTTTCGGGCACTGTTCCCTCTGAGGCTTTTATTGGATACCATCTCTTCTTGTGCTCATAGGTTTGCTAAATACCGAGGTGGGTGTACATCTAGTACATGTGTGGTTTAGGAATTCTCCCTAAATACTTGATTTAACTCGACTTCGAAGGATTGCATCAACATAAAAGATGGGCTCTCTCCTGCTCTATATTGAAATTATTAATTCAATATAATATAACAATTAACTAATTATAATATTTAATATGTCCTATCATTGTGAGACTTAGTAAGTCTTAATAAGCATTTATTTAGGAATCAAAAAGAATTTTTTGCATTCAAATGAGCTGTTATTAGTTTCAATATTTGTGTAAAAATCTTATTACATTTTAGGGAATTTATAAATTGCCGTGAAAGTTAGGGGTCATTTTCCTCCTTATCAATTTTTCTACCTTTGCAACTAAAAAGAGTGCTAATTGTATTAGATTTATTTTAAATCGTAATTCGAAAAATATGTTTGTACTATGTCAAGTAGGTATCCATAATATTAATATTACATGTATGTTCCGTCTGTTTGCAGAGGTAATTTGATGCGAGCGGTTACTCTGTTCGACAAAGCTCTCCCTCTGGCCAAGAGTGAAAAAGAAGCCAGCCACATCCTCTCACTGCGAGCGGCAGCGCAGGCACAGATGGTCGTCCTCTCTCAATCATTAGGAGGAAGGGAGCATCATGTTTTTTAATTGTAGTCGGCTTAATGATGTTAGTATTACAATTTGTATATAGTCAGTCACGATTTCCTCCTGATTTTTAGATCATCGCCACCATCATTATTTTGACAAATTTAGCACATTTGAGATGTATTAAATAGTGAGAGGAAATAGTTAATTTAACTATATTGTTGTATATTTTCCTTCTTATTAATGTTTCTAACATTAATTACTTAACCTATTTGTATTTTTGTTCTGTAATTATAATTGTTCCTGAAGTTTGTAATTAAACATTTTTTTTTTAGTAAAATAATATCTATTGTCATATTGAGCTTTGTGATTCACCTTATTTTACATATAATCTCGTTTTTAACATATTGTGAATAAGGCTAATACTTTAGACTGCTCAGTATTATATAACAATCCCTAGACTGATTATGTTAAGAGATGCTAAATTTTATTCTAGTTCTGTCTTATTGATTGAAAGAATTTGATAAATATGTCTTTAGTCAAGTTTTACTTATAATATTACAGTTTATTATATCTATACAATTAAACTTGATGATGAACAATTATTTCAAATATGGTAATAAAATGGATATCAAAATTACTGTTATTAAAACTGTTATAGCTTATATATTTAGTAATTCTAAAGTAAACTTTCTGATTTATTTAATGTAGTTTCTATTTTAAGTTTTCTTAAACTCTAATCTTTTATTAATCATGACAATATTAATTTTATCCCTGCTTAATGAAATTCAAAGGAGTAGAGTAGACAAAGCACTCTAAAAATGGGAAAAACCATAACAGCAAAACATCGATTGTAATGTTATCTACCAAGTACAGTCTTTTAAAAATGGAATTTAATAAGATAGAACAGGCCTTTGATCGAGTCTGGAACCCGGGATTGCTTTTCAAACTCCGTGAATTCCTTTCCCCTACATACTTTCTCATCATCAGTTTCTACCTTACTGATAGACACGTCAAAGTAAATCACAATAACATCTATTCAACCCTCTTTTCTCAATCTGCCGGTGGTTCTCAAGGTAGCATCCTTGGCCCTATCCTTTACACAGTTTATTCAGCTGATATCCTAACACTGTCATCACTAAGTATGCCGATGACACATGTATCCTATCAGTTAATAACGATCCATCAATTGCATCCCAAACTCTACAATCACATATCAAAAACCTTGAAGAAAGGTGTCAAGAATTGGAGGATTAAAATAAATCCCATCAAATCACCTTTACCCTTCCTCATAAACCTATGACTTCCTGTCCTACAGTATCCTTTAATAACACCCCACTTATCCCTGTTGAACAAATTCCGGTACCAAGGACTCCACCTGGACAAACGTCCAATATGGAATCCTCATACAAGACTGAAATGACAAGAAACTGCTCAACGTTTCTGCTTACTCCAACAATTACTAGACAAATGCTCTAAACTAATAATTAATTACAAAAAACTCATATAAATGATGACCATAATAAGATTTATTTGGGCTTACGGAGTTGAGCTATGTGACTCCGCTAAACCATCAAACTCCTCTTGTATCCAATCCAAAATCCTCAAATGCTCTTTACTTTGTCACAAATAAAATGATCCATAAAGACCTTAATGTTCATACGTTTCCTATTTGGACCAATCCAGATACCTATCCTTCTATAATAAACATCAGAATCCTCTTGTTTCTAATCTTGCTTCCTCTTCGATTCCTGATAACCCTTCAAGGCATCTGAAAAGAAGATGGCCTCGTGATCTTCTTACGTAGGCATATTATTAGAGTGCTACCAACGAGTAGTTTCTCAACAAGCATTTTCATGTGATTATATTGCTCTGCACACATTTACTTGATGTATTTATACTAATACAGTTGTAAATATCATAAATAAATAAGATAAAATAGAAAATAGCTAAAGACAATATATACAGGTGGAAAAAGATTAAAATCCGGCCAAATTGGCTTAGAAAGGTGTGAGATATAGAAATGGAAGAATAGGTAAATAATTTAGGCCTTTCTAGTCTCCATTAATAAAATAATGTATTATAAAATTATACTAATTTTCACCTCATTCAGGATCTTCATGGTTATCTGATTTAAAACATTTTGTCAATTTTCATTTGAATATACCGATGCCCTGTCTTACACACCTGGTCTAATACTCTTTCCCATCATGCTCATTAACTATGAAATGGAAGAATATATGATGCGAAAACTTACAGCTACAATCAAAATCGTCCATCTTATATATTAATGATTTTTATACCATTAAAATAATATTTATTATTTTTAATCTAATGCGGATTTAGGCGGAAATTTTCGACTAATAAAATAAAATCGATCAAGTATTAAAGAAAAAATTTGAGTACAACGGTGTTGTTCACCAGCTTTATATCAATTTCAAAAAGGCTTATGATTCCATTGACCGCCGGAAGCCATGTAATATTCTAATCGAGCAGGGGATCCCAAAAAAATTAGTGAATTTAGTTAGAATGTGGTTGACGGAAACATTAAAGTTAGAATCGGTTGTTATTTATCAGAGAAATTTGAGGTTTGTTCAGGCTTAAAACAAGTGATTCTCTTTCACCTATTCCATTTAATCTGGCATTAGAGGTGATACATATCGAAAAAGGATTGAACCTCGTTGGAACGATATCCGTGCTTGGGTATGCTGATGATTTGGTACTGTTATGACATGGAAACAATAAAACTACAACAACATTGATGAAACCCGATAAAGAACTAGGACTCAAGATTAATACGGCTAAGACAAAATATATGGTTAGCTACAACAATTTTGATGATATTGATATAGAGAGGAATGTATGTAACAGAATTTTAGGTATCTAGAGTCTACGATAACTTGAAAAACGAAATTGAAGAGAAAATTATGGTTAGGTTGAAGGCGGATAATGCTTGTTATTTTTCTCTGTTAAAACTCTATTTAGTTCTCACCTTGTGTCCTGAAACTTAAAAATTAGAATTTACAAAACCATTACTCTTCCAACAGTTATTTATGGATGCAAAACATGGCCACTTACATTAAGGGATGAGCAACGTCTTAAGGTTTTGGAAAATAAAGTATTGTGGAGAATATTCGGACCGAAAAAGGACAAGCCAACCGGAGAATTAAGGTGGTTACACAACGCTGAATTCCGTGAACTGTATCCAGTTAATATAATTGAGATGATTAAGTTGAGACAAATAAAATGGGCATGTAAAATCACTGGGCTTAGTGAAGAAAAAAATTCCTAAAATGTTAAATACACTGTACCAGCTGGCAATCGTCCAAGGGGTAGACCAAAGCGAAGGTAGGAAGATTGCGTTAAGGCTGATCTGGAATAATCTCAATAACAAATAATGGAAGGGATATGATCAATCCATAAGGTAAGGTTCTTCAAATTTATGACTTTCGTGGTAATTTTTTGTAGGTCAATGTTTATTAATATGAATTTATTTAACTTATTAGGAAATGTTATTATTAATATTTATCAAATATTAGTTTTTTCTTCTTAGGCAAAATTAGTTGACCAAGAATAAGTAGTCCTGCAATAACTAGGAGATTAAATTATTTTTCAAATGAATACAAATGCCGTATTGAGTTATGTACTAATTTGAGAATTTCATTTGATATTTTTAGTTCAAATCTTGGAAATTTTTCAACATCGAGATTTCAGTTATATTATTGATGTTGATATCACAAAAAAAGTAACATAAATTCTATCAGATATTAAATTTTCACAATTTATTTCCATGGAATACCCAATAATAAAAATTCTGTAACAAATTTATTACTAAATGAACCTGACTAGAAGTAATTCTAGAATATCGTAAACGGTGTCATTGATTTTAAAATAAATACATACTACCCGTTAAGGAGTGAAAAAATAGGAATTATCTAATACGAAATTTATATTGATATAACTGTCTGAATAAAATAAAAACTTCTACGAATATTTTAGGTTTTTTTTTAGAACTGTATTCAAATCCAGCCTCCAGTTAAACAATATCAGCAAGGGATTTTGCTTTAGTAGCTGACTATGTTTGCAATTAATACTTTTTTTACAATATGAACCATTTTAATTTCCAAGCATCTTGCTAGCGAAGCCGTGGTGGGCATGTTTAATAAGACATTGCCTGTTTTAGCATTCTCTACTCAGAAGCAGCACCAGTTCGAATCTGGCCAAGGTGATTAAAAGATTTCTAGCAGACCCACAAAATAAATATCAAAATTAACACACAGGTAAGAATAGGACGGTTACCTGATGGATAATCCATCCTTCCTGCCTAATTATAATACATAAGAACATTAAGCCAAAATAAACAAAAATTTCTTGCTATCAATTTATTTACGTCAAATCAATTTATCAAGTCCTAAGAAAACCACCCTGACAATAATAAGCACTGCTTCTTAACTATTTGAGGCTCAGCTATATCATAACTGATAGTAAAAAAAAAAATAAGTTTAGGACAGAGCCACTCAGGAGTGACTAGCTAGAAAATTTGATAAGGCAAAGTAACTTAGAGAATCACCTAAGAGAAGGAACACAATTATTACATGCCATGTAATCAGATGGCAGTATGGCATCTATCTTTGTTCTTTTGGATTCATTTAAATGACTCTCCTTGTAACCATTCCTCATGTTTCTCATTCTTAGGCAATCAATTAAGTTATAAATGATTAACTTATTAGGTTTTAGGGATATATATGATGATCAACCTTTATATTAATAATCTAGCTATTACGAAATTTATTGGACAGCAGAAATAATAAAGGAAATGGAAAAATTACAAAACAAAGAAAATTAATTTACTAGCATTTATATATAATACACATTTAAAATTCTATATTTTCCCCCTTAATTCTATTTACACTTCGATTTTATACCCAACAATAGATCTCTTTCCAATACATTCTCCGACATAAAACCAGCAAAATACTTCAACGGTCACGAGGGTGTTCAGCCATGCTTCCTGAAACAAAAAAATATGGTAGAAAAAAATAGTTAACAAAAAACAATAATTTTTGAAAATAATTAACATGAAATCAGATAAATTTACTCATAAATAGTAGCAAAATATTAAGATAGATTAATTATATAAAGTATTGACTAAACATCATAGATAAAGTCCAAACAAAATATTTGATTACGAATTTAGCCTATGAAGCCTATTAACTACTGAGAGGTAAATAAAATATTTTATTTTATTAAACAAATACATTGTTAATATATAAAAAAAACTACATTTACAATGTTAGAAGAAAATAAACAATCTACTAGTTAGTAGAATGAACTGTTGGAAACCGGACAATGAAAATTTTATCGAATTAAAATACCTCCCTTATCCTATCTACCTATGCCAGCATTAAAGAAACTCAATGTATTTTAGTATATTTATATTGTATGTGCCTCCTCTTATTAATTGGAAAATTTTTCAATAAGACAAAATTCATTAATAATAATTAAGTAAAATTAAAATGGAATTTTAGGTGGCATACCCTGACAGTAATATTCTTCCACTTTCCAGTCTTTGCTGATGATAATATATTTTTGATTCCACTTGCTACTGCTGGAATGTCTTTTGGTGAGGGAGGAGTAAGTTCAACTTTTGCATACTTTACAAAAGTAGCCAAATTAGGTTTAACGGTGTTGACAATACCTATAAAAACAAAAATATAACGTTATCATGACTTCAGTAAGAGTGTGTTAATAATCAGAATTCTTAAAAAATCAGTGACTAAACATTTATAAAAGATACTGTGTCAATAAAATCGATATAAGTCAGAGACATATTGACCAGCTCTAGAGACAATTCCTCCCAATACAGTGCAGATCGTCACTTCTTTGTTTGAATAAATGCTTGGTTATTCCTATTGAACTGAATATGGTTTAACAAACCTCAAAGAAAATTAACCATCTTCATCCTGGATTACTTTCTGCATGTTGCTGTTCAGATTTCTATAGTTAACGTTTTAATAATAACTATAATGATAAATTTTAACTCAATATTATATTTATAAGCAGTAGAAACCTATCAATTTTTTATCAGAGGACGGAATTTTGAACATAAAACAATTTTAAAGAAGCCCTTTGATTGTTATGTCGCTATAATAGTATGACAAGGTTCTAACTGATCTAACCTTAATTTTAAGAAAAAGAAGAATACAAATTTGAAGTGTATTTTCTTCATTATCAATAAAATTTATCAATTTTACATGACATATAAATTTACTTCTTTGCATGGCAATAATTTAACTCTAAAAAAAGGTTTTAACAAAAAGAAACAAAATACTTTATCTCAAATTTTATAAAAAATATGGTTAAATGCAATAAAAATTGTCACAAGCACAAGTAAGTAAAATTAAATAGACTAAGGTGCTACAACTTTTTAAAAATAAAAAATATATTTAGCCTTAAAGTAATCAGAAGCACCAATAATCTCATTTTAGTCAAAAATGTTATTTACAATCTTGTCAAACCAAGATAGCAATCTAAATCTTTTCCGAACAGAATATGAAAAATATGTGATTGTTCAAACGTGATTATAATTAAACTAAATATCTAGAGATGCCAAAAGGGTGAAAATGAAACTAAAGTAGACAATTAGTCTAAACAAATATGTTCTAAATGGATTTTTTTTTTTTTTTTAAGTCATAATAACTATATAATTTGTTTTCTGAGTAAAATTAGTTGCTCTCATAATTTTATATTACTTAATACTCTCGGTGTGGATGGTCCTTCTGGAAGGATTCTGCATTCTTTCACCATGGTGGTTTGGAAAGTATGGTTTGTGTTCCCTATCCTTTCTTATTCCCGAGACTCGTGAGTGGTAAGGATTGACTTTTTTCAACTCCTGTCTATGGCATTTGCCCTCAGAACCCTTATAGCTTTAAAGGGATACACTTTGTTATCGAATTGTCTGTCAAGAAGTTGCTTTGTGAAGGTATGTATAAAAAAAAATCTATATAAAATTTTAAAAAAAAATATGAACCTATACGCGAAGTTTTCTTATAAAATGATGCCAGCACCGAAAGTGTTAAGTATTTCATAACTAATAATTGTTTGTAACTTCTGTAAACAAAATCTAGCATTTATAGTGTGAAAAAATCTTGTGTGGTATGCAAATCACACAACTTACGCTAATCATCCTACATAAATAATTTAATTTCTGCTCAAATAGGACTAGTTGTATAGCATTGAGCGGAATGGAACCAATACACATAAGACATGTTTGGGTTAACTAAAGTCAAAGTTAATTTATCATTGATATCTGGAAGGTTTCAAATAAATATTTTTTTTTTTTTTGCAAAAAACTACTATTATGTCAATAGATTGATAAAAAAAATTAAGTATATTGCGGTTTGCTATTTTTTTTTTTCAATGTATAAAAAATTATTTTATTGAAGATTTTTAAATTTTCCGAAGCAAGAGATTGTTCTTTTCTAGACTTATTCCATCCAAAACCACTACTAACTCATTGTTGCAAACATAGTACATTAGTTCCCTTCTGCTAAATGCAATCCAGTTTAAATATAATTATTTAAATCTATAATCGGAGCTAAATTTATTAAAGAGTATTACCGTATATTCTTCCAATCAGTAAACATTTCTTGAAATATTTTCAGCAACATGCAATTCTTCACTTTTTTTTCTTTCACAAAAAGTAAGATAAAATAGTTTTTAACAGCTTCAGATTGACTATTCGATGCTTATATATTTTTGGTTTATCAAGTTTAAAAATTTCTATTTAATTTGAAAATTAATTAAGTTTTCTAGCTTTTGCTAACTCCTAAGTTTTTTTTATACTCTTCATTATCTTTGACAACTATTATACATATATAATTCTACCCTTATTTCATCAAATTAGTTTTAAACCTGAGAAAATATTTCTCATTAAGTTAATTATCTAATTCTACCATAGTTTATAATCAGCCACTTCTTATTACATCTAACCGCAGGAAGTTAATCATTTCAAATAAATCATATTAGAGGAAGCTATTTCGAAAATATGGCATTTAAGCTATGTTAAATTATTTACAGTTCCAGCTTTGACCGCATTACAATTTTTCATGTATTTATTTTAAAACAAACAATTAAATAAAAATACAAAATTTCTTGAATTTCAGATGTTGGGCAAAATGTAATGCAAACTAATAGAATATATTTTTAAAATAACACCAAAATACTAAGATGTTTCGTTGGTTTAGGAAAATGTATTGAGTTCACTTTTAAACAATTATTTAATTTTTAAATAATTACTTAATTAAAGAAACAGAGAAATATTTTCCAAATGAGTGCAAGAACTCATTTTTAGAAATAAGAAGGGTGCAAGAACTTATTTTTTGGTCAATGGGATGATGATGGCTGCTAGGATTAAAAACTATTGTTATATGTTTCATTTTTATATTTATTATATATAATTTTATATTATTTTTACCAGCTCGCGCATAGAAAAACCACGTGACCTCCTGCAATACTGGGTCTCAGATTCTCATGGGTCATAAGGTGGTTTCAGAGCAAAGCATTTTAAATATGGAAGAAAATAAATAGACCTCTATGTGTCCCAGTTGTGGTGGATCAAAAAACACATTGTTGTAGCCTGCACCATCTATGAGGCAGTGAGGGCCAAATTGATGAGAGAGATAGAACTCAACATTTTGACAGAAAACGAGCGGAAAGAAGTTGTGGGTTCAATACGCTTCTTCTTTGGTAGGAGAGAAGGAACTGTGTCTGGGAGGCTGTCGGACTGAAATCTGAATAAAAGCAAGCTGTATGCACAGCTATTAAAAAAATGTTAAAAGATTAACTAGCAACAGTAGTGTTGTGTTACATAGACAAGTGAATCATCTCACAGCTGCAAATGCTCATAGATCCTCAATAGCAGGGTAGGGTAGAAAATAAAATTTTTATTACAGCTTTGTCCAGCCTCAATAAAGTGGGTACCCATAATTAAAAAATTAATTAAGAGGGAAAACCTGGTGGTTGAGTGTGATATCGGTCAAATCACCTCTTTGCACAAACGTTGACCTAGAAACAGCGCTTTTCCTAAATAGTAATGAACCCCAGACCCTTCATGCGTTGTAGTGGTACAGGTTTTATTACAGTTTTGTATAGATAACAGCTATGGGGAAATTTACAGTAGGGACAGCCTGAAATTACATAGAGAAACCATTGAAACAAGAGTAAGATTTTAAGCAATAATCACAACAAATAGGTTCAGTGCTCCAGAGCCGGCAACACCAATATTGGAAAATAAGGACCATGAAATTGAATCTCAGTCCCTCCTATCTGGTAGTTTGTCACCGTGGGAAGACGGAAAGAAACTCCTGGAATATGGAGACACACAATACTTGTTTAAGAACAACACTTACAATAAAATAAAAATCTGAGGCGAATGAATAATATAAATATATGTAAAATATTTAATTTATAATTTTGTTTCATCAACAAACCAGTGTTTCACAGAAGGTTTAATAACCTTTTACTTAGTTTACAATAGGTAGACAAATTGTAAAGAGTACAGGTGTTATCATCTCTGGCAATCACAAAAGATGATATGAGGGAGAAAGATCACAAACAGGCAGACACCATAAAGATTGATATGATGCTTTTTCCTGAAGTGTACCCACATTATTTAGAACGTTTCAACTTCTTTATTAATTCTAATGATCCCCACATATATTAATTCAGTAAGGCTCGAAATTGGTTAGCGTTGGATTCAGAATTTCACGGGGCTTGACCGAATCACACTCTCCTCTTTTGTTTTTCTTTCTAAAATAAATAAAGTCGATATAAACATTTTGCTAGACTTCAATACTGGAACGGTGGTAAATCTGTAGATTGATACAGGACAAATTGGGCATTGAAGATTTTGATGGATGTGTACACCAGGACCCGTATAGTTCCTTCGGAACTATCGGGCTCTGCGTTTTAAGCCCAAAAATGTACTATTTTCGAGATAATGCAAGGCAGACGGTTCAAAAACACACAACTTTACATTAATTGTAATGCTACCATGGGATACATACAAGCGGAAAAAATAGTCCCATCACCATGAAAATTCAGGCAAATAAGTTTTGAAAGAAGAGAAACTTTATTTGTGAATAACTCAAAAATTATACACTTTTCCCTGGATTATGCCCATGATTATATACAATATTTCTAAATAACCTACAAAAAAGAAAAAAATCATCGAAATCGGACAATTATTAGGAAAAATTCAGCTACTTGAAATTTGGAAACATGTTGGTTCCAAACATAAACGAAGTTTTAAATTAATTTTGGTTTCATTTGTCGATTATATTTAGCGAGAAAGCAACAACTGATTTCTTTATCTTATGATAGGTTGCATTATTTTATTATCTTATTAATTTGTCATTTGACCACTGACTAATATACTGTGCAAATTTATAGCACGGGCCAACTAGTATTAATTAAAAGTGATACTATTATACATAACTACAAATAGTTATATAAATGGATACCTCGGAACGCAGCCTGAAGTTCTGAAAATAAAGAGTAACAATTAATTTGATAATTGTAATGGAGAAGGATAGTGTTTATTCTATTTACGTAAACTAAAATTAGGTAGCAGTTTTATTTTGGAGCCCATATTCAATGGTAGCTATTTAAAATTGTTCTATTAGCAGATACAATTTCAGTTATAAGTAGTGGTAGGCTAAACTGTGAAATATTGATAATAGGTTTTTGGTTACTAGTTACCAAATGATAAAGTGATCGAGTAACAGGCTATTTTAATAACTGTGTGTTTGGGCAGTTTCTAAATTTGACGCTAATTCCATCGAAGGAATCCATCAACCGATTGAATTCAGCACTGATTGATAGCGATTTATGTTGAGTTTAGGAACGAACTGATGGATTCTAGCAGAAAATAAACACTCCTAGAATATTACAAACCACATGAACAATAAAAAATATGTAAGGAAATATTTATCTAATGAATTGTTAAAATTATGTTCTGAACTATTCAAGACAGAAACAAATATAGATAGAAAGTAAAGTGAATGTAAATTTGTAAAGTAAATTTAGAAATAACACTGAGGCAATGCCGGCCATAGGTCTGCCACATAGGTTATGATATACCTGTCACTTTAAGGTAAACTGGAAGATTTCAACTCAGTCGAGAGATGGTGAGCAAACAAGAAGACGATGCAATCATTTCAGTCAACTAAAAACTGCACAGGTGTACCAGAATGACTCACACACATATTCAGGTCTACACATTTGTGAAATTGGAAAATATTAAATTTCGATTCCTCTCTGATCACCTGCACAGGTTGATAAATCTGTGCAGTTTGGCCTGCACCGGCTGACACACAGTAGCCCAGCCCAAAGGCCGGCACTGCACTGTGGTAACATTCAGGAGATTCAATGAACCCAAAATCCAATGGAATCGCTGAACTATCGGTGGTTCTGTCAATGAATAAAGGAACATGCAGAATTATATTTATAGATCCATTGATGAGTTTAGGAACTGAACTCCTCCTAGAAAGGCTTGATGGCCATCAATGAGCTCAGCGCTGAGGTTAAGAACTTTCCCTTTACTAACTCACATTGCTAATTAGTTTAATTTACTTACTTAAATTATTAATTTTGATAAGTATTTTGGAAAATTATTTTATAGCAAAAAACAAATTAAAATGTCTTTCATAACTCTTTAGTATTACCTTGATTTCTAATAACATTTAAGAGTAAAGGAGTGATTTCAATAATGTTGTTATGCTGGTTACACGCTGCCATGTTATTTTTAAGTAATCTATTATGATAGCCCTTTAAATTATTTTGATCCCACCACTAGTTGTAAGTTACCCAATCAACATTAAACTATTAACTGGTAGTTACACTTCGTTAATTGTTACCCCTCACATAATACCTTACTCTTAAACTGCCCTCTTAAGCCTATAAGGTGTATATCATTTCTTTTTCTGCTCAGTATGTAAGGATGTATCTTATTGACAAATAACAGAAAATCATTAAAGATTTTTAAAATCGTGAGAAGTTTGACAGTAACTTAATGTCCTGTTTGAGATTATTGGGTTTTTCCATAGTTTGTTTGAAATTGGAAAGACTAATAAAGTGATTAAAATATGTTGAAAAAATAAATGCTTGTCAGAAGTAAGATTACACCCTGAATATACAGATAATGTAGACTACCCCAGCCGCTAATTGGCTCTGCCTCAAGAGACTACCCTTCAGTTCCTAATCCACAATAGGTTTTGACTATTTGCCTAACGACTATAGAAGACCCACCTCAGCCTGGGTCTTCCAGCTCTTCAGGTTTGATTTAGAGCCTCCTCAAATGAACTCGTTTTTTCATTTTCAACACAAAGTCTACCCAACCAAGCCTCCTCAACTGATAAACCGAACTTCGAAATAAATCAAGACAGCTTTTATTAAGTCATAAGAACGCATGAATTATGATGACTGCCACCAAGAATCTATTATAGCAACTTTATCAATAGAAATAGCAAAGAATTCTAAATCTATGTCTATCCAAACATTTCTAAATATACCACATAACAGAACACAGGTAAGAAACCAATAATCTTAAATTTAAGAATAAAACTTCTCACACTGGACATTAAAAAATAAAAACTTCAGCAATGATCAGAAACCATGCTCAGGTAATAATGAAAAAAACATTAAAACTAACTTTGACTATTATAAACGAAAATCTACAAATGGAAAACGCTTAAGCCCTTAGAGTTCTAATAATTCATGTTGGCCACCCTTTTAAATTACTTAAAGTTTTAAGAAAGTACCATTGCGTACATTGAAAGCTCATACTCTTCAGAAATATAAAACTCCCTTAGATTTAAACATTTTAACAGCAGCGAAACAAATTATGATTTCAAATGGAAGGTAACAACTAGATAAGAGTTCTAAATATTCAAATTAACAAATTATTTAACTAGTGAAGGAATTACAGATTGGATCCAGAGCCAGTACATAGATTATCTACTTCCCTAAATCATAGAAGTAAAACAATGTTCTTCTATTTCTTTTCCAAAATTTTGATTGTGATAACCTTCCACAATGATAACTGCAGATATATAACAACTAAGCAATTCTTATTAAAACAATTGCCACAGATCTATTCATTTAAAAGAAAAGTAAAACAATTTTAATAATCACTTGAAATCTAGGAAATAGTTGAGATTATTTTCCTTGTGACACTTAAAATTTTAGTACCTTTAAACTTCAAATATATCTCTTCATATGCCTAAATAAATAATGAACAAACACAATACTTTAAATACCGCTATAATCAAAGACTAGTGAACAAAATAAATCAAAATTGGAAATAAGAGGAGACCAAATCAGGCCTTATAATAAGAATAAAAATAAGAGGTAAGAAAGTGTCTCCAAAATCGACAAAAAATCTTTAAAATATTTTGAACATAGTATGCTTTAACTTTTTTAAAATACCTATATTCGTTATCAAAATTACAAATAACTGATAATCAGATACCTTTTAGTACAGCAGCCATTTTCGAACACTGACAAGAAATCAAGAAAATATCTATGCCAACTAAATAATAATAATGATCTGGTATCGGTATTTAACTTCAAAAATCACTATAAATATACTGGATTTATAATTATTTTCTAAAAATAAGTTTGATTAAATTTATCAAGTAATTTATAAGATCCTTAAACTTATATATCGTTATATCTGATACTACCTACCTGTCAAAAGGCATGTTGCACGTGGTTCACAACTCTCAATCTGTGTGTGTCTTTATCGTGTGTTGTTCTCTGTCTATCTTTTATTTTTAAACATGCCTCTTGCTAAGGATTTACTGTGCCCAAGACCTGAGGAAGAGAAACGTAAGCATAAATTGAAACGTTTAGTACAACACCCTAATTCTTACTTTATGGACATAAAGTGTCCGGGTTGTTTCAAAATTCGCACAGTTTTCTCACATGCCCAGACTCATGTTCCTTGCGAAGGATGTCTTACTATTCTTTGCCGTCCTACAGGAGGAAAAGCTAGGCTAACCGAAGGGTGTTCTTTTAGGAGAAAACCCTATTAAGATTTATTTTGGATTATATAATTTTTTACCTTACCATCCATATTTAGAAGGCACCTGTATGTTCTGTTGGCTGAGTGGGGTCCACGCGGCAGTTTCTCGGTTTCATGACTGTTTAGTTGTGGCACGATTCTCATTCAGGCAAGTTGTTTCGGTATATGAATTTCGTTAAAATTTTTCAAGATGTCATTCAGACAAAGTTTAGTACTAGCGTTAATGTTCCTCTGCATCAAATTTTCGGTCGAAGAATCAGAATCTGGTGCTAGACTACTTGTTTCCAAGCAAATCTTGAATAAGTATATTGTTGAAAATATGGACTTGGTTGTGAAGTATACTTTGTATAACATTGGAAGTAGCCCAGCAGTCAATGTGTTACTTACTGATAAGAGTTTCAGCCCTGACAGATTCGCAGTTGTTGGGGGAAGTCTTGCAGTTAAAATTCATAGGATACCGCCTGCTACGAACATGTCTCACACTGTTGTTCTAAGGCCCATCAGACTTGGCTTCTACAATTTTACTTCAGCTGAAGTAGAATACAACGGAGGAACTGAAGACGCCCATGTTAATGTAGCACTTAGCAGTGAACCCGGTGAGGGATATGTTGTATCCTTCAGAGATTATGATAAGAAGTTTTCTCCACATCTACTGGATTGGGCTGCGTTTGCCATTATGACATTACCTTCACTAGGAATTCCATTTTTTCTTTGGTGGTCCAGTAAAAGCAAGTATGATTATGAGCCTTTGTCCAAGAAGAAGATGCAGAGGGATGCTCTAAAGAAGAAAGATGATGACAAAAACTAAGTGATTACCTAAAGACTAATTTACAAAATGTCATGTTAATAATTTATTTAATACTCTTGTTTTTTTTTTCTTAAAAGATTGTTTAATTTACAATACGTAATTTGTTATTTGTGTTTGAGATGTTTTTTATAAAGTTTGTGCCTTCTGAATAAAAGAATGACATTGATTTTTTTCTTTTTTTCTTTATATTTCAATTGGACATACATTCTGTCTTCGAATGTTTGACTCCATTGTATTTCTCATCAACATATGATTTATTAGATTTTGGATAATTGTACATTCTTTGAGTATTTTTTACTTATTCAAATATTTAAATCATTTGTGCTTAGTTTGCTCTTCATTTAATATACTCTTGATAATGTCTTGAAAGAACTCTTAGACATTGTTAATGACTACATTCCATTATTTGTAAATAATAAATTTAGTATTCTTACTAATTTCTTTATTGATGTAGTTTTATCTGGGCTGTAGTATACTTTTATATTAATTGTTACATTGTGATTAAATTAATTAGTCAATTAAAGTTTAAATAAATCAGTTGTTATAGGATGATGAAATTTATTTTATCCTAGATTAATAAAGGTTTTGAAACACTACTGTAAGATTGTTGCTGATTTTAAGATCACATTGAGGTGACAGAACACCAGTTCTTAGTTGTGCATAATTTATCCTCCATTTTAGAAAGGGAAATTCGCCCTCAATCGCAAAAAAAGATAGCATTGTATGAGGTCATATGCATCCCACACCACATTCAGTTCCTATTATAAATTATAGCTTGGACAAATTTATTTCATTGAAACTTTCACTTTTTCCAAGGAAATAAATTTAATTCATGTCAAGGCATGGTTACAATCTTCAGTTTCAGTCTGTATAAACAAGATAAATTTCTACATTTTTCGTTTTCAAAATGAGCCATTAACATTCAGCCTGAGAGAATCCCTTCCCCTTCCTAACAGATGAATAAAAGTTCTTTTACATTTTTGTTTTTTAGAATGAACTATTAACATTTTAAAATCACATTTCTTCTCAACCTGTATTGCCTAAATGGCACAGAAGGGTTTAAATAAATCTAATAAGTCAAAAATATAGAAATAATCATTTAAATTTCACATTTCTATTAAGCCAATTACAATCTTCACAGCCATGGTGGAATATATGCTTCAGAAACTTGGACGATGAATTCCTGTTTATGCTCAAAGATACAGGTGGTTGAGATGGATTTCTGGAGATGTCACCTGGCTGGATAAGATTAGAAATGAAGTAATTCACCAGAAGTTGGATGTGGATACATCAGTAAATAAAAGAATCAGGGTACACCACCTAAGATGGTAGTGACATGAAAAGAGAATGTTAGCCAGAGTCCTGGATTGGGTTCCACCAGGGGAGAGGACGCGGATAGCCCAGAAATAGGTGGGTAGAGAGAGTCCAAGAGGAAATGGCTGGCTGAGGTCTGCAGGAAAATGATATGTTAAATTGAAATGAAGGAGCTCTTCACTGACAAGTTGATGTGACCCTTTGTTAAAACACCTATAATGTAAAGTATTGAGCCAATTTAATCTGAGTAAAAATTATTGTATCTTTTTCCTCTGTACAAAAACATTTCCTATTCAATTGCTTTACTCTCCAAGGATGTTCTATAGGAAGTATATCTAAAGCACGTACTAGATAAATTAACAAGATCGGTGTCAGAATCAGCCTTAGGCTCGTCAAGAAAATCTTACTGTCATATCCTTTAATCTGTTTTTAATCAATAATTTTTCAAAAGACTTGCTATATCATTTGAGTCTAAATTATAAAAACAGATATTCTGAGGTAAATAACGAAAGACCTTAAGTACCCGGTAAAAGGTAGCAAACTATCCTACTAACAGTACAGTAGAATCAAACAAAAAAAATCTTTAGGTGGAAATAATTGCAACCAAAAATTATTTTGTGATAATTAATGAGTAACGTGCTCCTAACCAAAATAAAAATAAACATTCATGCCATCGCACAAAATGTATTTGGCTGTCATCTGAAGAAAAAATCAAATTTATGACATTTCTTGACCAAAACATTATTATTCTATTAACGATTCTGCAGCTTGGAAATGAGTTCTCTATGAGAAAAAGCTCATAGAATAAAAGTTATAGAGCATCAAATTCTTCATCCACTGAGTACCAATATTTTTATGAAGGTCAATCACTCCTCTTGAATTGGGATACTTCACTTGCTCATGAAGTTTGGCTTCTTTTGACAGCTCGATGACCAAACTCAATGTTGAGAGGAGAAAAAAAGATCTATACGGCATATAACACATTCTAAACAAGAATAGTTCAGTAGAATTAACAACCATATGAGCCGTTTATTATGAAAGTGGCCTAACTCCGTTTTTTAATTTTTTGCCAGTTACCATGGTTACGTGTACAACTTCATACTATATATCAGTAAAACATTTCAGGTTTCTTATATTCCGAGCAAATACGATAAATCTTTGACACATAAGTTTTCAGAATTAGTTCAATAACTGAACCGTGTAGTTTGAAAGTGGTCTAACTCCATTTATTTTATACTTTCATCAAGATATTTACTATTGATAATGTTGGAAATGAAAATTTTATTGTAAATGAAATGAGATAAAAAGATTTTGTATCAACAAAATTATTAGAAGACGCAATTTGTAGAAGGATAAAGAATTCTTATGGAGAATCAGTTAACTGGTTACAAATAATTTGGATCAGAAATGAACCGTATACAATTTTCTATAAGACAACAATGAATGAAAATTTTAAAGTCCTGAATTTATTACCACATCGGGGTAGACGAAGAAAATTCGAAAATATAATATTGACACCACTCTATAAAAATATCAGACAAATTACAACAACAAAATTTAAGGACATGATTGACTTATTGCGATATATACCACCGGAACATCATGACTACTTCAAATCCCTTCCATATGCGCAAAATGTAGATGAATAGTAAATTTTTTGTTACTAGAATGTTTGTAATTTTGTATGTTCTATTATTGAAAAATGTTTTGAATCACATAAATTGTGTTTCCGAAGTGTTTTAAAGATATGTCAAATAAATTGAGTATTGTGTTTTTCAATTTGAAGCATCTTAAATTATGTTGAATAGACTGGAGTACCTTCAAATTTTATAATGAATCTGGTTGTTAATTTTGAAAGTGGCCTAACTCCATTCTTGATAAGAAAACACACGTTATTCACTTAATAATTGTTACTATTTTAATAGGAACCACAAATTTAACAACCTTAGATACACTTAAGCAGTATGACTCATTAGTATCCTATACTTATATTTTTAAATTCATTGAAACGCAAACCATTAAATATCTCGATTCGAAGATAAATGGAGGTAGGCCACTTTCAAAATAAACGGCTCATATGGATTGAACTTTCATAACCAATTGCCCGGGCCTTCCAGAAGTTTAATTGACCTGAATTAAAAATGATACTCAGTGGTGCTCAACAGCTTTTATTCCATGAGCCTTTTCAAAATAATAATAATTATTAAATATTTCTTTGTTTATACAATGTTTTTTTTTTTTTAATTTTTTTTCCATTACATTTTCCACTGCGTTGTAATGCATCAAGCAAATGTGTAGGAGTTTATTGTATCTTCTTGTATTCTTGATATTTTTTTTTAACTTGCCAGCAGAAGTACAAAATTAGGAACAAAAATAAAACAGCAAAACATTTCATAAAATATATTTATAGAAAATAAAATTACATTAAAAATATCTATGCCTCTTATAAAAGTCAAATTAACTAATTGATAAATTTCCTAATCAAGTTAATAATAATTCTCTTTTAGAGAATTTTAAAAAAACATTTCTACCTTTTTATAATAAAATGTATGTATTTTTTTTTTTTCTTTTAAAGTGACAGTTCACAACCTTATTTCATATAAAATTAAATAAAAGAGCTTGACGGAAAGTAAATTATTTTTGTCAAGATATAAGGCACATCTTCAAATAAAACAACAGAAAACTTGTTGACCCATCAAAACATTTCGGTTCTGACTAATATTCCCAGGAAAAATAGTGATTGCAACAATGACCATTCTTATTCTTTAAAATTTTTTTCCACCCATTTAAGCAAGGTTACAACGCAATCAGTAGTTGGCAATCTGTGATCAGCGGAAGTCTTGATTGATAAACCTTGTGTTATGCGGAATGAAATTGCCATACCTTTTAATGCCTAAAACAAAAAAAATGTATTTGTTAAATCAATGCTTATTAGTAACATATATTTGTCAGTGTTATAATATCAAAGAACTGTCAGAAGAATAACATACACAAGACACCAATAGGTTATATTGTCATCTCCGTGTTCGCTAAGCTTTTTATTAATAATAATAATAATTATGTGTTAATTATATAATAGTAATACTGTTAATTATATTATTACCAGAAACTATTTTCACAGAAGAAAAAAACAACTTTAAATATAATTTGAGAAGGAGTTAATCGGGGGGGGGGGTGATCAAATAAATACTAAATTAAAATATAGTAATTATTTAATTACTATATTTTAATTTAGTATTTATTTGACCGCACCCCCCGATTAACTCCTCATATTATATCAACGGTCAACCATCTTTACATCATTTTAAATATAATTGTTTTCAATAAAAGAAATTTAAATTTTACAAAATTATACTTTGACTATTGATATCGCAATGACAGATTTTTTGTCTTTAAGCTTTGTTTATCACAACTCATAAAGTAGCACTACATAGCCTGAATGAAGAACGATAACAGTATATTTAATACAAAAACAAATGTTTGTTTGGACTCAGGGAGATAAGAATCTATAAATGAAGCAAGATAGTGAAAACTTATTTTTAAATAATTATTTAAAAATAAGTGCCTTAAACCATACATCCGCCATCAACAGAACTGAGCCAAAAACTCTAAATGGATTTTAGAAGTAGAACTTTTTTTGGTACTTGTGACTTCGCCGGTCGCTATGGAATCTCTTATCTCGTGTAACCTCTTCTTTTTGTTTAATTGCTCTTTTCTTTTTTTGATCTCTTCCTCTTTGTTAATTACTTGTTTGGTCTTCAAGTTATTCAATTTCTTTTTTAATTTTGTAATTTTCTATTAAAATTGATATAATAACACTTTGGCAGAAAAGCAACAAGTAAAAGAACAAACTAAAAAAATTGGAGAGACTGAAAAAGTAGTGGAAATAGACGAAAATCTTTTTTCTAAAAGAAAAAATCATGTAGGGAGTGCTCCATGAACAATAGACATTTGCCGAAAAACAGACGAGTGTTTCATTGTAAAAATAAAAAACAGAAAAGCAAAAACTATTAGAATGTATTAAAAATAATATAGAAGAGAGAACCATTATATATTCTGACTGTTGGAAAGGATACAACACCCAACAACTAAATGAAGCAAACTACAACCATTTCCAGGTAAATCACCGGTATAACTGTCGATCCTTCAAGTGGGGTCCATACTCGACACATACAATGCTTGTGGAACTGAGCTAAGTGCAGAAATAAAAAACATCGAGGAACTGTGATGCTCAACACCTGGATTCATATTTATGTGAATACTTGCGGCTTTTTCTACTTTTTTTCTAAATAAACTAAAAGTTAATAATTTATTAAAATAACTTCGCTTACCCTCATTGCATCCTCATCAGTGGTATCATCTCCAACATATATAATATTAAGACGTTCTGTCCAGTCGAGGCCGAAAGCTGTGCGGAGAATGTATATACACGCCCTTCCTTTATGCCAATCGATAGGTGGTTTTGCTTCAAGAGCCTCGTGAGCATGAGATGCTTTAAACCCAGCCGCTTCTATCAAAGATCTTGCTTTTGAAACAATTTCTGTCCTCCATTCAAAAGGTGTTTCTCGATAATGCAATGTAAGAGTGAGTCCTTTATTTTCTACCCAGGCACCTTCTTTAACTACCTATAAATGAAAATCAGTAGAAAGTATATAAAATATATATAATTATGTTGTAAGTATACAGGATAAAGGCACCTATTATTGATACTTTGTAACTTAAATTTGATAAAATTAGCATTTAGGTTCAGGTAGGATTTCAAACTTGGTGCCTTTTCAAAAGCTGATAAATATTCCTTTGACAGAGCCAAGTTTGAAATCCTATCTACTGGTGGCTTTATCCTACCCAACTTAACAGTTGAGGAGAGTTTTCAAACAAAACTTTTTTTTTACTAATTCTTCTGTTTGAAGTAGAAAACTTTTTATTCTCAGGGATTTTAATGAGTTTAAGAAAGTGGTGTGAATTTTCCCTACCAACCCATATACTTTGCTTCACACTTTTACAAAAAAACTCTCAAATACTGGCATAGATTACTATGACTTTTTCTTTCATTTATACTCTTTAGGACACCTTACACTGTTAATATTATTGAAGGGGTACCTCACACGGGTCAATTATATTGAGTCAATATATCAGTTAAGACCTTGCTTCTACTAAAGAAGGAGATTTCCAAAGAAGTAATCTTTCTTTTTTGTGGAAATAATGAATTTCCTATTACTTTAATTGGCTTGGCTTTAGTTAAAAAAAAAAATGTGTTTGTTGTAATGTTTATTTTGTTCCTAGACATTAAAACGTTTCTTGTTTCAAATTGGTTCTGTTCTTGTTTTCTAATAATTTAATATTTTAAAAAAGTTTTGTAATAACAAAAAATTTTGTATAAAAATCCAGTTTTGAACAAAAAGTAACTTTTAAACAGTTAAATGGCATAAAATTCTGCCATTTTGTATAAAAAAAAAATTAAGGACAATTCTTTCTTTCCATCCCTCCTCCTGCCCGAACATATTGCCATTATGGCATTTAAAAAAAAAAATCTGGTGCGGTGCCCTCATCACACAACTTTCACTTACTCTACCCTCTTCTTAGCAGAAATAAGTATTTTCAGACAAAGGAGAAGTGAAAATAAAAATTATAGATGCTATAATTATTAATATTTCATTGTGGGTATTTTTATTTGTATAAGTATCCTTATATATACAAATTTTAATATGTATATCGGTGTAATCTATACAATTAAATATTAAATAATACCAACAATAACATTTACGAAAACCTCATATGAATATTTATATAATATTGTTAGGGTCTTTATTATATTAAGCTCATGTTATGTATGGCCTTGTTATAATCTTTCGGACGAGCTCGGATGCGATCAATTACAACTATTCTCCGTTACGATTTTTTATTTCTCCTTTAGTTAATAATCAAATTCTTTCATATTTTGTATTTAACTATCTTTTATATTAGTGATTAATGTGAAATAGTCAATTGTTTCAAATTAAAAAAAAATAAAGGTACTTTAGAGGAAGCTAATATTGAAAATTAGCCATTTAAGCCCTGTCAGAGAACATCAATCAGAATAAAACCTGCATTTTATTTAAAACTGCTTAATTTTACACTGATATAATGAATTTAATCAAAATCGTTAGAGCCGTTTCCGAGAAATTTGTAAAAATGTGTTTATCCCATGATATAAAGTGCCACTTCCGGTCAGTCGATTTTGACCAAAAACTTACTGTAGCATCCCTAGCATATAAAAACCTTAAATATGCAATTTCACTTTCGTATGACTTTTCATTTTGAGCTAGACTGTTAGCACACACCTAGACCATTTTGCAAGACTTGGTTATTTGGATTCAGGAGACCTCAAAACAAGTATTTCCGTTGAAAACTGAGATTCAAAAATTTTCACGATTGCAATACTTTCATTTACTATATATTTCATATATAGGTAAGTGAAATGCCTCCCCACCCAAAAAAAAAATTAAAATAAAAACAAATTATCACCCACCTACCCAAACATTGCCATTTTATCTTTTAAAAAGAAACTTGGGTGGGATTAATCCCCCTCCCCCAAAACGAAATATTACCCACCTCCTCAAACATATTGCCAAGAGGGGCACCACCAGAAAAAAATTTTAATTTCCCTGAGCTTCTCAAAATCCATATATACGGTTTAATATTGCTCAATATTACACGTGCAATCATATTGATACTGTTTCAATAATATTGAAAGAGCTTTAATAAAAAAAAAAAAAATTTGATATCAACCAGCTCGATTGATGCCAATGTAGCCTTTATATGGTGAATATATTGACGAAACTCAAAATTGACTCAACAATAAGAGACCCTTAAGGTAAAAGTTTTCTGACTCCTAGAAGTGGATAAAAAACACAGGTTATCATAAAAAGTAAAAAAACGTCAAGGCTAAATATATTTTTAGTCATTTCTTTCTGTGGTGTAAATATTTACTGGGTTTTCGCCACAACTCATTCTGGATAAGACAACCATAGTTGTTTAAAGAAAAACTGTTTTGTCTTAAGGCAACTCGAAATAAGCTTGAAAGTTTTTCACTGCACTTTGTTTAATGTGATTGCAAAATTTGCAAGAAGCTGTGCTAGCATAACTGACTTAAGTTTTCCAAATTGGCATTTATGGTTAGATCTCCATTCCAATTGATATCTATCAAAGGCAAAAAGAATTTTCAGAAATTAGTGTGTTTAAGCAAATAAACTCTTCAGATTGAAAAACGTCTGTGACCAACATCTTCATTCTAAGGGGAATAGCAAACTGAACAACACCAAAACAGTGATTTTTTTTTTAATTAGTTCAATAATTAAAAGGAATCGACTATTAATCAAATAAATTATTTATTTTATATGCAAATACCGAACTTTATTTGGCATTTATTATTTACTATTAATTTTGATCTATTAAATTTGATTATTTAAATCTAAGTTTGGTTTTTAATTTTTAAAGTTTTTTACTACCTGTTCTTGAAGGTCTTTGACAAGTTGTGCTGCTTTTTCTTGAAATTCGATAGGCATAGGAAACAAAAAATGATTACCATCAGATTGTATTATTTCCATACCATGATTTCCAGCATATGTTATATTCTTAATTCCAACCTAAAAATATATATATATATTATATAGCAATTTTAATAATTAATAAAATATAATATACACAAAAAATTAAATATTTTCTGAAACTCTTATATCCATATTAAAAAAGATTATTTATTATTATATAGATAGCATCAGTTCTTTAGGACAATATTCTGGTTAATTAATTATACAGTTCGTATCATATATATATATATATATACAGATGGGCTGGAGTAAGTAGCCTTGCGGGCTAAGGCGCTTGCAATAGGTAATCATCAAAGATGAGCAATGCCGAGCGTGGGATGGGTGACCGTCCACCAAGGAAAAAAAAAATTAAAGTTACTTTAGAGGAAGCCTGAAAATTAATTAATTTAATATTGAAAATTAGACATTTAAGCCCTGTTAGAGAACATCAATGAGAATAAAACCTACAATATATTAAAAATTGCTTAATTTTACTCTGATATAATGAATTTAGTCAAAATCATTAGAGCTGTTTTCAATAAAATCGAAAAAAATATGTTAAATCAGTGATATAAAGTGCCACTTCCAGTAAGCCCATTTTGACAAAAAAAAGTTGCTGTAACATGTTCTCTGAGTCAATTGAATTCAAATTATTCACTTTAAGGCAGACATGTATCATCAATGGTCATGTCTGTCAACTCTGTTATGTTCCAATAATTTAATTTATATTATGTTAAGAGAAAAAGTTTACTTTTTACATAATTTAACATAAAAAAAAGTTATTGTTAAAGATGGTTGGATATTGCAGTCATAGAGATGCAGGGTATGATTTAAATAAATATTTTTTTTTATAAACACAATAATACAGTAAAAGAAAATATATCGATAGCTTACCATTTCCATAACATTTTTCACGTTTCGGCCAGAAACAATAGAAATATGAATACGAGGATTTTGGGATAACCTTGTAAGGATTTCCTTTGTTTCCGCTGGTAAAGCAGCCAATTCTGGCCTTTTTACAATCGGGGCCAATGTTCCATCAAAATCTAGGAGCAGAGCAAGTTGTTTTTTTCCCTGCAAAATCCTTCAATACAAAATTATCTATTAAAACATTATGTATAATAATATTACCAATCTAGAAAATAGAATACTTCATTTATATTTTTAAAAACTTCTTCCGAAAAAATTATACTTTCTCAGAAACTTTTTTCCATCTTAACAATATTAATTATATATAAAATTAATAATATAAAAAATTAAATCTTCTTAACACTTAATATTTAAGAATATATATATATATATATATATATATATATATATATATATATATATATATATATATATATATACATATAATGAAGAGAAGAATAGTTGGGGTGTTCAGTCAAAAAGGAAGGCAAAAATAAATTATAATATTTATTTTTACATATGCCGACGTTCCGACCTGAAGTTCAGGCCTTCATCAGGGCTAAGAAAATAACCAGATAACAAGGTATGAGAAACATAAGTAATGATGGTAAAAAAGATAATAAACAATAAAAAAAAAAAATAAAAAAAAATTATTAGAAAAATAAAATAGATAAATATAAAGTAAAATGAAATTGTTGGAATAATGACTAAGAACTAAGAGATAAATAATAAAAACTGTTACATAGTGTGGAATGATGAAGTAGGCATAATCAAAAAGGGGTGACAAAAGTGTTACAATGGGAATCTTAGAATAAAATGTAAAACATAAAAAAGAAAAAGTCTTGATAGACTTTACAATATCTCAATTTTCTATCTAACTACTCCATTCTCAATGTTTTAATTTTACTATTTATTTTCATTTCTTATATAACTTTATATTTCTTTTTTATGTTTTACATTTTATTCTAAGATTCCCATTGTAACACTTTTGTCACCCCTTTTTGATTATGCCTACTTCATCATTCCACACTATGTAACAGTTTTTATTATTTATTTCTTAGTTCTTAGTCATTATTCCAACAATTTCATTTTACTTTATATTTATCTATTTTATTTTTCTAATAATTTTTTTTTATTTTATTTTTTTATTTTTTATTATCTTTTTTACCATCATTACTTATGTTTCTCATACCTTGTTATCTGGTTATTTTCTTAGCCCTGATGAAGGCCTGAACTTCAGGTCGAAACGTCGGCATATGTAAAAATAAATATTATAATTTATTTTTGCCTTCCTTTTTGACTGAACACCCCAACTATTCTTTTCTTCATTATCCACGACAGTCAACCAATTACCAATTATGTATATACATATAAATTGTTGACTAACAACTTAACAGTTGAGCTCATAAGAAGAACTACTAATTGCACATTAACTGTTTCACAAAAACAATTGTGCATTTATGCATATACTTCCAATCTGTTTACTTTCACTCGCCTATATATGTAATATGGTAAGGGAAAGTATCGGGATTGTATAAAATTTCTAATCTGATTTTTTAACAGAAATACATGTTTTGAGATCCCCTGAGTCCAAATAACCAAGTACCACGAAATGGTCTGTTTTACAAAACTGGTATAATCTATTTAAGGTAGATAATTGTTACTGCAACTATTTCCTGAAAATTGACTAACAAGTAGTGCCACTTTATACAATCGATTTTACTCATTTTTACAACTTTCTTGAAAACGGATTTAACAATTTTTATAAAGCTCAGTATATCAGTGTAAAATTAAGCAGTTTTTAATATAATGTAGGTCTTATTCTCATTGTTGTTCTGTAACAGAGCTGAAATCACTAATTTTCAAAATTTCTTTCTCTAAAGTAACTTAAATTTGAAACAATTACAATATTGTTACCTGCTATAAAAATGATCTTTAAAATTTAAGGTTTTACATTTCAAGATATGTAGAATCTGAAAATTTAATTTTAAAAAAATTATCTATTAATCCATCTAAAAAATCCAGGCATCGTTTTGACTATACATGATCATATACCTTTTCATTTCAAAAGAGCGACTGAAAAATGTGTGTTTCCACAGATAATAGCACTAAAACGGTTGTAAAGATTTTAATGAAACTTGCCTAAAGTCTTCTCCTTGAAGCCCTTTAAATTTACATATTTAATATATTTCTCCGACAAGAAGCTGGAAAAAGAGATATGATGAATGCTGAATTTAACTTGCGACTTCCACAAAAATAACAAACCTTTTGATTTATTATGTGTATTCTTTTTTCAAAAATAATGAAATTGCGTAAAAACAAAAGAATTGAAATTAGACCACTTGGGGCAGAAATATGGCGTTTTGAACATTTGGCATTTTTTATTGTAAAGGTGATCTTTGTTCTTATTTTTGATAACTCTGTCACGGAAAACTCAAGACTGTCATTTGAAGGATAATTCAGTTATCTATATCTCTTAACAAAAATTGAAAAAAAAAATTAAGTAGATCTATCCTAGCTAACAATTAAAAAGTAGAGAAATACATACTTTTTACAATACTCATCAAAATCAGAAAATGATACTGGATGAAATAAAGTAGGACGTATATCTTCACCATCTGATTCTATAATTTCACCCATTACTTTAAGAAAACTTTTCATCCAGAAATGCACATCTTGTGATTGCTCTCTTTGTTTGAGGTAATTAATACGCAACATTTTTTCATCATTGGGCATTTCAAGAGCTCTGCAAAAATAAAAATTAATATAGACATGAGATGACTGAAAAGGAGGATATATATATATAAAAAATTGTATATATATAAAATATATATATATACCAACTTAACAATTAATTTCAATTAAAGAGGGAATATATATATATATATATATATAAATTGTTGATTAACAATGGAACAGTTGAGCTCATAAGAAAAACTTCTACAAGGGTGATCTGAAAAGTTTCTGACCTAACAAAAATACAAGACATTTTTTTTTTAATTTTCAACATAGTCTCCTTGTAACTTTACACACTTCTCCCAGCGATGCTCCCATCTCTGTAACCCGTCCAAAAAGTACTCAGCGTTTTCTCTGCAAAATAAATGTTCACGAAGGTGACTGCCTCTCCATTTGACAAAAATCTCTGTCCTCCAAGCGCAATTTTTAGATAAGGGAACAAAAAGAAGTTGTTTGATTGAAGTTGGTGCTAGATATGTTGAGTAAGGTGGATGGTCAAGCAGTTCAAAGTGTAATTTGTGGATTTTCGCCATGGTAACCGCTGAGGTGTGAGACCGTGCTTTGTCTTGGTGAAACAGGATTTTCTTTTTCTGCATATATGGCCGTTTTTCTGCAAGTTCTGTCTTCAGCTAGCCAAGTAATGCTGCGCAGTATGCTCCTGTAATGGTTTTTCTTTAAGATAGTCTATTAAAACAACTCCATGACTATCCCAAAGAACAGTCCTATCACTTGCCCAGCCGGAAAAGTTTTTGCTTTTTTTGGAGTCAGTTCCACCTTAGCAGTCCACTGTTTCGACTGTATTTTTGTTTCGGGTGTATAATGGTGTATCCAAGTTTCTTCTACAGTAATTAATCGGCGCCAAAACTCGTATTTATTGTGCCTTAACTGCTCCAACAGAGTGTTTGAAATGTTCATTTGAACACGTTTTTGGGCACCCAATGTGCGGACAGCTTTTTCATATTTAAATGTTGATTTAATATGTAATAAACATTTTCTTTTAACATGTTCATAACCTCTGCTATCTCTCTCACTTTAATTTGGCGGTCGTCTAACATCATTCGGTGAACTTTGACAATGTTTTCTTCGATAGTTGCAGTTTTTGGACCATTGGAAGATTCATCGTCTCCCAAGCTCTTATGGCCACGTTTAAATTCAGCTGCCTAAAATTTCACTATGGTAAATGATGGTGCAGAGTCCCCATATACAAAATCTAACCCATCTTTGATTTGTGTAGGCGTATTGCCTTTCAAAAGCAAATATTTAATGACAGCTCGATACTCGATTTTGTCCATCTTCACAAAAACACTCACATCAATTCACACAAACGACTGTTACATAAAAACTGCGTGTCCAAAATGGCTGAAACTTTGGTGGGTAACTGTCAACAGATGAACAATGAAATTCACTTGCTTTTTTTTTTATGAGTGCTGCCATCTTCAAGCTCTGGTCAGAAACTTTTCAGACCACCCTAGTAATTAAATATTAACTGTTTAACAAAAACAATTAGGCATTTATGGGTATATATATAAGATATATATATATATATAAGATATATATTTAATTTTAACTTTAAACTTTTGCTTGCCCTTAGTATCTCTTAAATCTTCTTCCCAATGTCCACATTGATTTCAATAGAACCAAGATTTCAATATCTAAGTTCACTAATATTGAAATGGATCAGTAAAGTAGTTTTCAATTTCCAATTATTTGATCAATCAAATTTTAGACATTCAGACCTATACAATCTTGGTATACTAACCCATACATGCTAGCACAATGTTTCTATCACAGACTCCCCAAGAATTTGTACTAATTTCGGCGACACTACAATAAATAACTTAATCTTATTACTGTTGTGATGTTTGTATCACTGAAGTTCTTCATCATTATTCCCCTGCATGTGGCTAAAAATAGTCTATTGAAAAAATAATAACAATCTCAATGATAAACAAACATATAATCACTAAATTAATTACCTGATAAGAGTGTCAACGATATCATCTATTTCGTATGGGTTAGCAATCAGAGCCTCTTCCATCTGTTCGGCTGCCCCAGCAAACGGCGATATAATTAATACACCAGGAGGATTTTTTATCTGACAAGAAACAAATTCTTTAGCTACCAGATTCATTCCTGAAATTCAAATGTCAATAGAGGAAATGTTTGTATAACAGTAAAGCTTCTGTTCTCATTTTCTATGGTAATCATATGAGATATTATCAAAAGACACCACGGTTATATAAACATAACGATAATGAAAAAATTGCTATATGTTAAGAAAATGTTTTCAAAATAAATGAAATATTATTGTTATGTTCATATAACCATTACCTCGGTTGTACCTATATTTAACATTTCTCTGATGTGTACTTTTATTGCTATTATCTTATTTATTTACTCTCATTAGTATCATCTTATCACTGTTATTCATTACTCTTGCATACGTTTATATTTGCAAGTTTCCTGATGTTGTTTTGTTTTGTTTTTAATTTTTAGCCCTGACGATAAGCCCACATATTTGGCTTGAAACATCGGCAAACTCAATAAAGACATTTTCGACTTCACATGCTGACAATTTTTCATCCTTATAATTTCAACAATCAACTATCTATTATATACCTATCTCCTTGGTGAATGAATGTTTTTTTAATTTTTGCTTTCTTTTATGAACAAGTTTATGCATTTCTTGAATATTTCGGTTCTATATTTGAATACGCTGGAGTTGGCACATCATTAGGATTAAGTTTAACGAGTTATGTGTACTTTTTAGTACAATGTCCATTATAGTATTATTTTATCATTAATTGGATTTCCTATGTTGTTTATAAAACAATATAATGCATAAGAAGTGATTATATCCTGGAAAATAAAGAAGAAGGAAACAAATTGGGCTTTGAAAGTCGATAAGAAATCAGACTCTTCATGAATTAGTGTGAAAAAAAAAAATAATGACGCCTTCATTGTTTGTTTCCATCATTATTTACTAAAATTTCATCTAAGATCGCACCAGCCATCTGAGTTTAGAGGAAGAATAAAAGACCAAGTATATCTGTGAGAATGTAAACCTTGGCTTTCAGAGACTGTAATATTTAATACACTAAATTAATAGAGAGTTCCAAAATGTGAACACTAAGTTAACAAATGAGTCTTTGTGAAAAAGAGTTTCCAAACTTTCAATATAATTGTAGTAGTAATACCTTAACGGTTCTTTCAGACGATAAAGAACAGTTGTCCCTACTTCGACAATATACCAGAATTGTTTGTGCATGTAAACTAAATTATTATAAATTTTCATTAGATTGTTCAATTTTCAAACAATTAATATTTTCTATAGTTCAATCACAATTATCACAACAATTAGTTGGGAGCGCAAGGATGAACTCACACAGATTACGATATCATCCTTCAATATAAAAATAGAAAATGACTTTATTCCGGGATGAAGTCCCTTAAGAATAACATAATATAGAAAAAAAAGAATTATCTCTGGCCAGAAGAACTGTCACATTAAATAGATAAAAAACCTATAGTAAACTAACAAAATATTACAAAATAGTAAATAGTAAATAGTAACCTATAGTAAATTTACAAAATACTTAGAACTATACAATGCAAAAAAGAAATAAAACAAAATAATTGCTGCTTAGTTAAAAAAATAAAGAAAAAAAAAATCCTCTTATAGATGAGCACCAAGTAAAAATAAATTAAAGTAAAAGATAAAAGAAATAAAGATTTATGAATTCTATCTTAAGAAAAAATAAAACATATGTATATTTTTACATAAAACAAATACATGTATATATCTGTAATATTTTGTAAGTAATATCGGAGGTTTAGAGAATAACAGAATGATAGTTTCAAATTGATGTGGCATTGATTATGCCTTGGGCTTCTAATTAATCGTGGGTTAAACTATAGATATGTATAAGCAGAGTTTTAAAACTATATCTTAAATAATGGGAAATAAAATATGTTAGCATGGTTTCAGAATAAAAATTGCTGTAATGATAGATAGTACACCTCATTTAATAATGTTTTAATTGTTTTTCTACATTGAATCTGATCCTGGTGAATTATTTTTTATCTCTACTTGGATAAAGGAAACAGTAATAGAAGTTAACATGAAATATTTAAGCATCAAACGAATAAACACTTACCATCCCTGAAAGGAGTAATTAAAGCAACATCGCTGTCTCTATAATAACCAGCAAGTTCTTCTTGTCTTACAGTACCAAAAATATATCTGATAGGGGACCATTTAGGGGTAGAAAATTGTCCATTTATGTTACCCACAAGTTTATCCATTGCTTCTTTTAGATCTTGATACTCTTTTACATCTTGTCTAGATGGAACAGCTATTTGCAATAACGTTACCTAAAAAATGAATTCGTAGTAATAAGTCAATGATAAAATCAAAAAATTATAACACTGAATAAATTTTAAAAAATCATTGTTATCATAGCTATATAAAATGTCAGTTACACTTAGTACTAGAAAAATGGGCTTCTAACATATCAATAAAAATTTTTGTACATGAGAAAATTCAATCGAAACACCATAGTTGAAAATTTTCTTTGATTTTAATATCTTTTTATCAGAAACATGGCAGTTGGGGTAGATTTATGTAGAAAATCTTTGGCCAAATGTTTACGAGCACATAAGTTTCTTTGGATTTGCACAAAGCAACTCCAGAAATGATATTTATATACTAACAAACCACCTGCACTGAATATGATGTTCTTTGTTTCTCAACATAGTAACTTCGAGAGATAGTTAAAAAAGACTTTAAAATAAAAATTAATGAGAAACATGCATGAAATCAAGTCTAAACTACGATATACTAACCAGTCAAAATTGTTGAAAGAAAGAAAAGTAATAATAATAATTTCTAATAGTTGTAAAAAACTGAATTATAATAATTTTATAAGCTAATTTTTGGTTAATAATAGTATAAGATAAATTTAATCACATACTTTCCCAATGAGATCAGGTTTCTTCTCAAGCAATCTTTGAAATCCTAACAAACGATTCTGTATTCCCTTGGTATAATCAAGCCTATCAACTCCAAGAATGAGCTTTATTCCTGGTTCCTTTATCACATTTGATGCATTTCGGGCGAGTTCTTGAAACCTAATGCATTTAAAAGAAAATAAACCAAAATAACAATTTCATTAATAGACAACATCGAGTAATCAGAAAGTAACAAGTATAAACCAATTTTATTATTATAAAATCAATGATAATGAAAAAAATCTGGCGCAACACACAACTTTCACTTACTCTTTGAACTTTGCTCAACTTTGAATATTGTTTTCTGTCCATGATGGGCTGTTATAAAATTTTTGAATTGCATTTTTAACTGAGCTAATGCTAAAAGATTGCAGCTAACAAATCATAAATACTATTAAAAAAACAAAAGTCCTATTTATTATATCACCAGTTCATTAAGGATTGTACGATTCGTAAATTATGGATTGTAGATCTATTAGTTATTAAACTGTTATTTTCCATTGCAAAGTTTATCAAAATGGAATTAAGAGATTTCCATTGTCTGTCATAGACAGGTCAAAAGTTGTCACTCAATTGTAAGTGGATTCTGTTGGAATATCGCAAAGGCAAAATTTATCAAATTATTCACTAATTTAATTTTCTAAAAAAAATTACATGATGATTTTTTAGAATAAACGGACAATAGATACCTAAATATTTAAATATATTATCAGATCTGGAGTTATTAAACTACAGTAAATATATTTAAGGTTATAACCGTATCTATGAAATATTTTTATATTTCACACAAGTACAATGAAATAGTAGTAGATACTTCGTCGTAGATACAAAGGGAAGGATTCGTCAAATTATTCGCTAATTTAATTTTCTAAAAAGTTACAAGACAATTTTTCGGAATAAACGTTGATACCTAGTTATTTAAATATAATATCAGATCTATAATCACTCAACTACAGTAAATGTATTTTAGGTTATAAGCATATGCTTTATACATCCATGAAATGATTTTATATTTTACTTCTTCTTTCACACAAGTACAATAAAATAGTTTTTTTAACAATGCCATTGCCTTGATTAGGTGGATTTTAAATACTTTCTACAAACGTAAAAATATATTTTTTTGAAGTTTACATCTAGTAAGTAAATTTCATTTAATTTCCTTGAAAACATGTGATTTACGTTATATATTATCAGTTTTCAAAAATTATTATTTATAATTTTTTCGCTGCTCTCCGTTACCTTCTACAACTTTCTATATTAGATATTTTTTTTCTAAAATACTCCGCTTTCCAACGATATATTATAAGTATACCTTTTGACTTGTATATCCGGAAATTCATTTTCGACCTGTATAAGCATTTTTATTTTTTTCTCCTTTATTCAATTATCAAATTCTTTCAAAAGTTATATTTAGAATTTTTTCGTAACTTTTAATAATGAGAAATAGTTGATTATTTAAAATAAACCGTATTAAAGGTACTTTAGAGGAAGACGCATATGAATATTGGGCATTTAAGCCCTGTAAAGTGACATCAACAGGGATAAGACCTAAATGGTATTAAAGACCACTTAATTATACAATGATACAACGAGTTTCATCAAAGTAGTTCAATAATCAAAATCAAAACGTGGCGGTTGATCATGGTCTCGCTCAAATCACCTCCTTCCACAACTGTTGACCAAGAAACAGTACTTTCCCCGAATAGTTCTGAACCCAAGCCCTTCTTTGGTTGTAAACGTAAAGGTTTTTTATTTTTTAATTGTTCAATTTATTATTAATTTTTATTTGTGAATTTAAAAACAACTAAAAGTGTTTTTTTTCTCTTTAATTGAAAGAGGTAGTTCATCTCTGAGAATTCTGTAATAAAATCTTTTCAATTTATTTTATTTAATTTTTTTATATCTTTTAAATAAATATTATGTCTCATTATTTTGCAATACTTTTCATCACTTCACAATTAATTAATAACAGTTTTGTTTTTTTTAATTTAAAATCACTTTACCTTTCATAAGGAACTCCGATAGGAAGTGGACAAACTTTAATAGTACGTGCTCCATGTTCTACCAGTAAATTTTCGGTATCCACTCGGCACTTCAATCCACGCCGACAACATTCAATAAAGTTCATGCAGTAATCTTTTGTGTGAAACCCAATCATGTCGTTCCCTAATGCAATAATGGTGATATTAATTTTTAAAAAATAACAAAATAAGGCAAAACAAATCCAGAAAGTAATTAGAAAACAGTGATATGTATATATACATCACTATATAGATTTTATTTGTATATATATGTGCATGCATACACAAACAATCTATACAGAAAAGGAATGAAAAATTGTTAAAATAAATAAGCATTACCTAACAACCCCTGAAGTAAATCATCTACCCATGGAAAGATGCGAAGAATATCCCAAGGAGGAAAGGGAATGTGAAGAAAAAAGGCTAATTTGAAATTAGCATTTTTTAAGTCAGGCGCCTAAAAGTAAAAAATAGTTGATTAATAAGTAAATACAATATTTAAAATTCCTAATCTACATTATGTTAAGCATGCTATAGTTAGCCCATACATTTCCATCTTTTGGAGAAGTAGAATTGATCATTATAAAGTAAATGATTCTTGATCTGTACTGTGTTTCTATATGGCTGATCTAAACGGAAGATTTAATTAACTACATTAAGCACAGTCATAAATGAATAGTATGACGTCTGGATAAAATAATAAGGACAAAGACGCTATGATCTACACGACGATAAGAGCACAATCAATTGAGATAATATTGATGAGAACATAATGTAAATTTAAAAAGAAGTTACAAAAAAAATATTTTTTTATTTCTTTTTTATTTTAATGAAATTTACAACTGTATTACATAGAAAATACAATAAGTAAATGTGACATTGGTAACATGACATGTACAACATGAAGAGAAACTACCCATTGGTAGAACTCAAATCAAAGTTCTATATTAGAAGGTCCCGAGGCCATCTTCTTTTCAGACGCCTCGGAGAGTTATCAGGGATCGAGGAGGAAACAAGGTTTAAAACGAGAGGATTCGGATGGTTCTGCAGTTTGTTATGGAAGGAAAGGTATCTGGATTGGGCCAAATCGGAAACATATGGAACATTAAGGTCTTTATGGATGATTTTATTTGTGACAAAGTAAGGAGCGTTGAAGATTTTACGAAGGATTTTGGATTGTAAGGATTGGATACAAGAGGAATTAGATGGTTTAGTGGAGCCCCAAAGCTCAATTCCGTAAGTCCAAATAGGTCTTATTATTGTCATATATATGAGTCGTTCGTAATTGATTGAAAGCTTAGAGCGTTTGTCTAGTAAGTGCTGCAGTAGTCGAAAACGTCGGGCAGTTTCTAGTCGTTTCAGTCTGGTATGGGGGTTAAAAAAAAATATGTTTAAGATTTCAAATAGAATTTAATCAGAACGTTGTGTTTGAAATTATTTTATTTAACCCATAAGAAAAAAACTAAATATATCTAAGCATAAATTAAAATGTGGCAGCTCTTTAAAGAGTTTTGAAATATAATTTCATTTATTAAGGTTATGCTAAATATTATTGTGATAAATAAAATACAATCAATAATTGACTAAACCAAAAATCATATTTAATAGAACAAATAATAGAATATTAATTAAGACACATAAAAAAAAATTATTAATAAGTCAAGGGAAGTGAGCAAAATAGCAACCGTATCATTACAGCCATTATCAAATAAAATATTTCTAAAGCAGGAGTAAAACTGCGGGATCATTCCATATGAAATTATAAGCGGCCTTAAACCTCTCAGAGATACCTATAAAGGGTATCTCTTCTTTAATGGACAAACTCTGGAAGGTGATTCTATACAAAACTTCCTACAAAAAAGTTCATTAGATGCATGAGCCGAATGGAAAAAATGAGTTAAGACTAATTTTGTATTTTTCTTAAGGTGATCATGTTTTTTTATTGAATAAGAAGTAATTGCTCAAAAACTGTTCAAGGTAATTAACTTATAGAGATACAATAGTATAGTGGACAAAATTTTACAGTGATTAAATTTACTAAGGTCAATGGTATAAGGGACTTACAGGAGTCTAAGACTGCAACAAAGTATTTCTCAATAAATCAGACGTTTCTCGCGTTTTACATTATTAAACTGTTTATTTATTTATCCATAAAAGAAAAGAATGTCAATTCAAAGGTTTCGAACCTTTACTGTACAAAATGATCATTTAATATCCCTCACTTAGATAGATAGATAGATAGAAAGTAAACTTTATTCTGGGACAAGGTCCCTTATGAATAACAGATATAAACAAAAAAAAATAAAACTACATCCGGCCAAAAATTACATTAGTCAATATTACAGAATATATACAGTATCTTCAGTGAAATTATATTAAAACAAGTAAAAATAACACCATTTTGAGAAAAAACGAAATAAAAAAAACCATTATTTAAATGAAAAAAAAAATAATAAAATAAGCATGGGTTGATTTTAAAATTAAAACTCAATCAATTTTAACAACCATTCACCTCAGTCAAAATCTGTTTTGCAATATTTATTTTATTGTATAACGTCATTTTGGGATGTGAGAAGGAATTGATAGAGGTGATATTTAAATGAGGACAAGGAAGAGGCATGGAGGATATCAGATGGCAAGAAATTCCAGAAGGCTGTGGATCGGGCAATAAAGGAATATTCAAATGTCTTAATTCTATGGGAAGGAATATAAAGGTCAGAAACACGGGATCTTGTTTTCTGGGAATGGACCACGGGTTTGAAGTTATTGATCCTGAGAAACAATAATGGTGGAAGGATAGAAAAATCAAACTACACATAGTACACTGATAGAAAGGGAGGTATTTTTGCTGTATTATGAAGGTTTACAATAATTTTTCCATAAAATAAGAAGGGATTTCTTACAAACTGATCAATTTAATTAAATTCTAATACACTATCGCAAAGTAGACATTTGTGGAGAAAATGGTGATTACATTTACCAAGGTCAATGATAAAAGAGCCTTTCAGCAGGTCTAATTCGCTGCAGTTACAGTACCTATACATGCGCAGCATATCTCTGTATTCCTTATTCGTGAAATAATTCGGCATAATGGTGGGATTAGCATTCATAACGTTAAACATTAACTGACTATAAGTCTTTCTCTCGATGTTAGATAAGAATATTGAACAGACATCATAAGTTAAACGCATTTTTGTAAACATAAATATTGTAAATCTTCACATGTCTACTGCAAATAATATCTCCCTTTGTAACAGTGTACTATGTGTAGTTTGACTTTGACTATCCTTCCACCGTTATTGTTTCTCAGGATCAATTAGTGACGGATATTAAAAGATCATTTTATACCGTAAATGTTCGAAACCTTTGAATTAGCATTCTTTTTTTTTACAAATAAACAGTTAATGTAAAACGCGAGGAATCTTGATTTAACGAGAAACGCTTCTTTGCATTCTTAGACCTCCTGAAAGTCCCTATTACCATTGACCTTAGTAAATTTAATCACTGTTTTCTCAAAGAAAATTTTGTCTACTTTACTATTGTGTCCCTATAATTTAATTACATTGAACAGTTTTTGAGCAATTACTTCTTATTCAATAAAAAAAACATGATCACCTTAAGAAAAAAGCAAAATTGGTCTTAACTCCTTTTTAGTTTGGAATCGCCCCCATTCATCTAATGAACTTTTTTGTTAGAAATTTTGTCTAGAATCACCCTCCAGAGTTTGATCATTAAGAATTGAGATATCCTGTATATCTCGGATTTACAATGATTTTTTGTCTGACAGTTATACCAACTAAATACAATACAAATCTATTTATTTCATATTTTCACTTAAATTTTTTTTATTATTCATTTTTAAAAATTGTAGAAATTATTGAATTACACCATGTTTTATACCACATAAATGCGCAAAGATTACAGATTTAAAATTTTGCTAGGTAAATGTTCAATAGCTCATTTTAGAATTTATTGTATGAGCTTTAATCTGATATGAGGCATGAAAAATAAAAAAAATATTTCTTTTTTTTCATGTCTTAAAATTTTAAAATATCTAAAACATCATCCGAGATAATTTTGTAAAAACTTAAAGTGAATGTTATTTGGACATGTGAGCCGTTGGAGTCAAAAGTGTTTTATCGATTTCATAATAAATAAATAATTACAGAGTGTATTAACTGCATGCTTTTAAGTAGTTTGATATATTCAAGACTGACTATTTTTATTGTATATTTACTATTATTATTCTACATAAAAGCTTGTATAACTTCCCTTAAAGTGTTGATATCCCCTTAAGTGTCAGTCATTGATATCATCAAATTATTTCATTTCAAATACTATGCAAACCTTGATCTCAATTAGAATATTTAAAAAAATGTAATTTCAAATTTTAGTTAACCAAAATGGGATTAAAACATCAAATAGCCTATTTTATCCATTAAAAATTAAAGATGTCTATTAAAAAAGCCTATTAAAAAAATTAAAATTGTTCTAAATTATAAATTTCTTTTGAAAATTAATAACAATCTACCATATTTTATACAGAATTACATACCTAGATTTTATACAGAAATATAAAATAATAGTTTAAACTGTACTTGTACTCCATTTATTTTCTCTACATTCAATAATCCATTAAGAAATAAGTGAGCACTATTAAAGGTTAAAATGTCTAATGTACATTAAAAAAATTCTGTTTAATAGCTTCTTTTTTTTTTTAAGTGAAAACGTCTTTATGCACGTTTTAAACTTTTTTGTGGAGAGTGAATTAGATTGATCTGTCAGATTTTCGAAGTGTTAACGCTAGGATATAGTCGACTAATTGAAATATTTTTACATTTGGATTAAAATATTTCGTATACTAAAAATTGGACCTGAATACTGTAAGCCAGGGAAATGTTCACTATTTCATTTTCTTTGAAACCAAATGATAATGAGTTTAGTTTAATCTATGGATTAAAATGTTTCACAACTTATATCATGTATCAACACAATATCAAAGCATCACTTTTTGACTTAAAACACTTCTGCATTCAATGGCTCATGCAGTTCAGTTTAGGCTCATGTATATTCTTCCCAAATTTCAAGATGGAGAAATGATAAGATCATGAGGGAATAATATCTAGATGTTAAGAAGGTACTGTAATTAATGATAATATTAAACTTACAAGAAAGGGTAACTTAAATTTGCATATTCTCTAGACTTTTTTTATTAAATATTTATTGAATAGTATGAAGTACATTATCTTTCTAAAATGTATAATGGACGAAAGATATTGCTTTTAGGAGGGAAAAAAAAATCAATGTTTTATTGGTTAACATTATTTAACAGTTTTCATTTAGGTTTAGGCAATTTTTACTTACACTTACCATATATATGAAATATATAGATCTCAGTGTTCAATGGAAATACACGTTTTGAGGTCCCCTGAGTCTAAATAACCAAGTCCTGCAAAATGGTGTGTGTTTTAACAGTCTACTCAAAAATGCAAAGTCGTCGCAACTGAAATTGTAAATTTAAAGTTTTTTATATGCTTGGGTTGTTATAGCAACGTTTTTGCCAAAATCGGCTAACCGGAAGTGGAACTTTTTATCATGATTTAACATATTTTTACGATTTTCTCGAAAATGGCTCAAACAATTTTGATTAAATTCATTATTTCAGTATAAAATTAAGCAATTTTAAATAAATTATAGGTTTTATTCTGATTGATGTTCTCTAACAGGGCTTAAATGGTTAATTTTCAATATTAGCTTCCCCTAAAGTACCTTTAATATTTTTATTTGAAACAATTCAATATGAGCTTAATATAATACGAACTCCGACAATATTATGTAAATATACATACTGTATAGATTACAGCGATATAAATATTAAAATTTGTATATTTAATGGTACTTATACAAATAAAATTATCCTCAATGAAATATGAATAAATATCTATAATTTTTACTTTCACTTCCCCTTTGTCTGAAAATACTTGTTTCTGTCAAGAGGGTGGAAGTGAAAGTTGTGTGCTGTGTGCACTACACCAGATTTTTTTTTAAATTGTTCACGCACGAGTTTATAATGATTTATCAATTTAATTACATATTTCTACCAAAAAGGAAATTTTCCAATTACAGCGGTAAACAATGGCATGTCCATTTTATCTCAAAAAGTAAATAAATAAAATAAAATATAAAAAGAGACACAAAAAAAAAAAACCTGTACTGTTTCTTGGTCAACGGTTGTGCAAGGAGGTGATTTGACCTAGATCACACCCAACCTCCAGGTTTTCTCCCTTGATTAATTATTTAATTAAGGTTACTCACTTTTATAGTAGCTGGGTGAGCACCAGGAGGGTCTCCTGATCCGAGAGACAATTCTCGGCCAATAAAACCAATGAACAGAATAAATAATTTATCTGCCATAAGCCGGGATTCAAACCTAGGACCTTGAGTATTGGAAGCCTATCACTAAACTACCCCATTCCCTCTAATATTCAAAAATAATATATAAGTAATAAACGCTGCAAATTATTTCACAATGGTTTATTATTTCCAAACAATTATAAATCTAAACTAACATTACCTTTTGAGTTACAAAGAAAAAAAAACAAAAGGTGATTCCAATTATTGGACTAAACTTTTTTCTTCGATCATTAGTAATATGCTAAAAAAAAAAAAATAAAAAAAAGCATTAGTTCAGTAACACATATAAAATTTAAAAACCAAACCAAGGAAATAACATTTGCAGTAGAACATATAAAAAAAACCAGAGACCTTTTTTTTTTTTTTTTAAGAAATTTCATAATAATAATAATAATAATAAGGCTTAGCGAACCCGAAGGTTCGATGCCGACACCACCAATCGCTTGTTACACACCTCCCTCCACCGTTCGCCGTCCAAACCCAGTCCCTTCAGATCAGCTTTAATGCAATCTTCCCACCTTCGCTTCGGTCTACCCCTCCGACGCTTACCATTCGGCACAGCAAATATTAACCTTTTAGGCATTCTCTCGTTACTAAGCCCAACAACTTTACAAGCCCATTTGATTCGCCGCGATGAAATTACCTCAATTATATTACCCGGATATAGCTCACGCAATTCGGCGTTGTGTAACCGTCTGAACTCTCCGGTTAACTCATCCTTCTTCGGTCCGAATATTCTACGCAATACTTTATTTTCAAAAACCTTAAGACGCTGCTCATCCCTTAATGTAAGCGGCCAAGTTTCGCATCCATAAAGAACTGTAGGCAAGATAATTGTTTTATAGATTCTAATTTTTAAGTTTCGGGACAAGAGGCGCGAACTGAGTAGTTTTGTCACAGAAAAATAACAAGCATTCCCCGCCTTCAATCTAACTTTAATCTCTTCTTCAATTTCGTTTTTTTTAGTTATCGTAGAACCTAGATACCTAAATTTATCTACCTGTTCAAACATATTACCATCTATATCGATATCACCAGTAGTATCGCCATTTTTGCAGCTAACCATATATTTTGTTTTATCCACGTTTATTTCGAGTCCTAGTTCTTTACCGGCTTTCATTAACGTTGTCGTATTTAGTTTTATAGTTTCAACGTCTTCGCTTAACAGTACCAGATCATCAGCATAGCCTAGCACGGATGTTGTCCCGCCCAGATCCAACCCTTTCTCGGTACGCATTACCTCCCTAATGGCATGTTCTAATGCCAAATTGAACAGGACAGGCGAAAGAGAATCCCCCTGTTTTAATCCCGAACGAACCTCAAATTTTTCGGACAAATTATTACCGATTCTGACTTTATTGAGTGTCTCCGTCAAGCACATCCTGACTAGATTTACTAGTTTTTTTGGAATTCCCTGCTCGATTAGAATATTATACAGTTTCTGGCGGTCAATAGAATCGTAAGCCTTTTTAAAATCTATATACAGCTGGTGAACAATACCGTTATACTCCAATTTTTTCTCTAATATTTGCCGTAAAGAAAATATTTGATCAATAGTCGAACGATTCCGTCTAAATCCGCATTGGTAGTCTCCGATAATTTCCTCGGCGTATTCCGTGATTCGACTGGTTAAGATTACAGTGAATATTTTATAACATACCGGAAGGAGTGAAATTCCTCGATAGTTATTACAATCCGTCCTCGGACCCTTTTTGTGAATCGGAATAAGAATAGATTCTTTCCATTCTTCAGGTAATTTCTCGTTCACCCAGATCTTTTCAACCAACCGATGTATTTTAGAAACTCCAGCTTCCCCGCATGCCTTAATTAGTTCAGTAGGAATATTATCGATTCCCGCTGCTTTATATGATTTTAATTTTCCGATAGCTACTTCAACTTCCTCTTTACTTGGTCCTTCTATCAACGGTTCAGCACTCTGGTACTCAGAAGGAGGACACCGATCATAATTTCCCGTATTTAAAATATTGTCAAAGTGGTCCTTAAACTTATTCAATATGTCAACCGGATCGGTCAGAATATTGTTATTATCATCCCTAATTCCAGACGTTACGGGCCCTACATATTTACGTGATAAGAAATTTCATAAACTTTTAAAAAACTATACACAATATCAACAAAAAAGTATAAACTTTTCGAGTTATTTGGAATTTAATTTTACCATCCCTAGTAACTTTTTTTCCAGCTTTTTTTTGTTGAAGTATGTTATATAGATAAATTTAAAGGGTGTGGAGAAAATGACTTTAGCGAAGTTTCATTGAAATATGTACATTCATTTAGAAGCTACAGTCTATAGCAACGCAAGTTTTTTGGCCGCCATTTTGAAAGTAAAAGGCGGAGAGTAATGTCGATGAAGGAGGATCATCCTCAGGTGACCTCTGATTTTATATCAAAATTTGAAAAAGATTGGTCCAATAGTTTAAAAAATTTTTATTCATTTTTCGAATTCCATGTCCTGAAACGTGAAACCTGAAATTTTGAGAGGGGGTTAAGTTTTTGAATTTTTTGGTCGATCACAATGGTTGATTATTGAAAATAATAAACTAATAGGTCATAACTAAGACTCCACCATCACACCTCTGGACAGTATATAAGTTCTCCTGGTTAAATGATTTCAAAATCTTCAGTTCCAAAATATGAATCATCCAATCTTGGCGTAGGATAAAAAAAATTACTCAGAAGATTCCCTGGGTTTATAAAACTGACTTTAATTCCATTATGCTCATTTTTATAATATTTTTTAATTATTTTTTTTTTTTTTTTCTCCCAAAAACAAGATATTTCATCAATTTTACAACATATAAAGTTCTTCATATAATGCAATTATGGTTTATCAAAAAAACACTGAATGAATCGCAAAAATTAGATTACTCTTTCTAGTTATCTGATTAATCATTGCAACATCTAAATATTGTTTCCTCATAATTTCTTTATCCTAAAATTTTGCAAGAATATTGCCAATATAGGTCAAAATGATATATATATATATTGATCATTTACATCATACATGTATTGATCATAACATAAAATAAGTGAGATTGATCAATTCATTTTCTCATTTTGAAAAGTATCTGAGCGGTGTCGGTGTATCATACTGCACAGATTTCACAAGATATTTTCAATGGATGGAAAAAAAAAATTAAAAATAATAAATAAAATATATTATCGGTGTCTCATAAGAAAGGTGAATTCAACAAACTATCTAATTTCGGATTTTTACCTTTATGGAATCTTGACATCAATAGGTATCAATGTGAAAAAAGGGCGAATCTGTAACTTTCATAATTGTATAAATATCCTCCAATGTAACAATGGCGAAAACAACATCACCTTCTTGCATGTCTTGTAAAATAGGTTCTCCTGAAAAGTAGGGAATTGTTGGATTCAACCTTTTTACAGAACACCGACAATATTAAAATATAACACTATCACATGTAGTTTTAATGGAACACGGAAAATGGTAAAAGGAAAACAAACTGTTGTATTGGTATTAAATTAAATAGATAATAATGGATTAATAATTAACTATCGTAAATATATTGAAGAGATAGTTAGGGTGTTCAGCTACAAGTACTTTGTGACCCAACCATCTCTTCAATATAAATAGACAATGATATTAGATACATCAAATGACTCAATTAATGTTAAAATTAGGATAAATAAATGTTACAATTAGGTTAATATATGTTAAATAGGGAAACAAGGAAAAGACGGACAGTTAATATGTGAAATTCTTCCAACTCTATCCCCGTGATTGTCGTTTTGTGAACTACCTCTCGAATGGTATTGGCTGCTAACATAAGATGATAATCGTGGAGCCAGATCAACGTACTTTCCTTTTCAGTACTCTTTTTTGATTGTTTGTTCAGCGCTGAAATAACTGTTTCCGCAAAAAGAAAATTCGCTTTTCGGAATGCCTGTAATACAAAAACCATATAACAAGTATCAAATTTAAAAATTAGACTCAAAATATTCTTACAGAAAAGCACTAATTTATCTATTTGAAAATATATAAAAATTTATATCATGATATTTACCCCTCTCTCTTTCAATGATTAATATAATTATAAAACCAAGTTTTAATTTGAAATTCTGGTGTATTCCAATTGTTATATTTTAATAAAATCCATTATAATTTTAATTGGATTTGCAGAAAATTAATCAAAGCGGTATTTAATTGAACCTAGATTTCTTACCCTCAGAAACAATGCATATGCTTCAATTTTCCAAAGTTCAATTCAACGCATACCAATTTACAAATTGAATTATACAAATAAGGTATACGATCAAACAAATACCTGCCAATAATCAACATTAAAAACAGCTTTATCAGGCATCAGATGGAATAAAGGCCAAAAAGTGGCATTACAACATCCATTGTAGAAGTTATTCATCAGGTTTTGGTCAATTTCTACTGGTATAATATTAGAAGACAGAAGCTTGGCTGAAGGCGAAGCATCCTCTGGGCTCGACTCTGGAATTGGAGTGCCACTTTTGTAGTTAGGTCCTGGCCAACCGACCCAAAGTCCATTTCCTTGGATGACAACTGGCCCAACAGCAGTCACTAGGCCACCAGCACTGTCAAAGTTTTACATTATCATAAATTATTTTTAAATATTCAGGACTGAATTTAAAGATACTTATATAAATAAATAGAACCTACATATACATATTAAACTCCAAGAGGAGGGAGCTTTCGGGCTGGTTAAAATTGAATTTATTTTTATTTTCATTGGTCTAAGTGACTTCTGTGAATGATGTTAGTTAAATATTTAAAGAGTCGCAATATAATATATATAGAAGCCAAGAAATAATTATTTAAAAGATCACTAAAAGCCATAACTGTTCCTGTAATTACCAATGTGTTTTAATAACTATAATAATCAGAGGAAAAAAAAAATCCCCTCCCTTAAATTGAATACTAAATCTGTTACTGCTTTTAGACAAATAATTCCTTTTGTATTCTGAAATACGAACCTAGCAAAGAACCCAAACAATCAAGTAGTTTTTAAATCATCACTATTTATTCAATTAAAACCACAAAACTTAACTTTCCTACATTTCTTTTTGGATTTTGTGATCTAGTAATTAGTATAAAAAGAATGGGGTACTCTCTTGCTGCATTGAGTAAATTTAATTTTTTTAAGCCATATGACCATGAACAATATCACTGATGAATATATTATCATCTCCAATCTTCTCTTTTCTATGGGTGGCTGCTTAGTAACTCTAATAGGCATGCAAGCTTACTATCTTAATTCTTTTTAGATGTTCTGACAGAGGGTGTACACCTATATTATGGAGAGCGAGACACTGGCTGAGACCATACCCAACCCGAAAGTCTTAAACAGTCCCAGCGTAGCCCCACAATCATATTAAAAGGATAGATAAAAGAGTGCAAGCACACCACCGGTGCTCATGGAGGTCATAAATCCTACTCTCATAGCTTTCATCTGCTCATCTGTACACTATACCAGATGACTGGCCTGAGCAATGTCACGACCAGCTGAACAATGGCGTCGTACAGCTAGCAGTCGCAAGCACACGACCGCCACGGCCAAGCAGTGCAAGCACTGTTGTCGTCCACCCAAAGCACCGCCAGGGCTCCGGTGACGCCCCATAGTACCAATTTGGTCGGGAAGCTTCTCTTCCCTGACCTCAGAGCACGATTGGTCTCAGTCTCCGCGATCATTACCATCGCTACGGCTTTACATCAACTGCCGATAGTGCAGGATGCCTGTACATCCGCAGTCCATGGAGGACGACTCGAACCGAGGGCTCAGCCGATAACCGTCCCTGCAGATGTTCTGACAAGCAAAGTCAGATTAGGAGGACAAAATCCACTACAGATATGTTGGAGAATTTAGAGTAAAGTTTCCTGTTGTCATGTCTCCTCCAGCCGCCATTCTCATAGTGGTCCATAAATTCTTCATAAATTTTTTCTCTTGAAGATAGCTAGTCTGTGCTAATCAACCCTGTTAGTTACCTAGGATTCCAATCCTAAGGTAAAGACTGGTATGATAAGCTTCATGTAAAGAATGGTTTTTGAGGTACTAGTCTTTGAAATCCTGAAGTCCTTGTTTTGTTTTTGTAGATCACTTAATGGATGACCTTTGAACTTTTGTTTATTTTCATTATTGTATTTTTTTTTAAATTAATTCATTTAAATCTATATTGGTCATGTAAATTGTGTTGACAAAATAAATTAAGTAATTTTAACATAAAATAAAATAATAGAGTTCATGAAAATCTTTAACAGAAGACTAACATAATCTCTGGAAGATGCAAAAAATAAACAAATAATAGATATAAAATAAAATATAACATAACAAAAAAAAAAATTGTCCCAATCCAATGATATGAAAAAATATCAATTAAACATGAAACTCTTTGTACATGGTACGGAATAAGATTCCATTTACTGTAGCCTTATTCGTGCCTAAACACAGCAGCCTGCAACGATATCGAAAAACATCCCTCGAGTTATGTATGCAACAATAACCATATTAATTAGCATGATATAAAGAAACATAAAGCAAGATTGTCAGAAGTCAGCTACATTGGGTGAAGCTGTCAAGAAATATAGCAGATTAGTTTTGCGAGGTCTTCAGAAAAAAAAAAAGTAAATCAGATTAGCATATGGTTAATATATATTGTGAGATCAAATAAAAGGAAGCAATCATACAAATTTTTTGAATAGAATCCCATAAAACAACACATAGAACAGGCATAAGATGACTTTTTTTATTATTTCAGGCATTTAAACATGATATGGCAAATTGTTAATTCTCTAATATCAGGTAGTTGGTTCCATAAACTAATTTTGTCAAAAATAAAGCACTCATATAGTAATAATAACAATAAAAGGAATAGGTCAGCAATTATAAGAATCTTTTTTCAAAACTAAATGGTAATTACATAAATAATCTGATATGTGTTCATAAATTTAAAACAAGTTTAGTCACAATTTAAACTAATGTTACAAAATACAACATTAATTCATTACCTCGGTACCCTTTCTAATTCATCTTCACTATTCTTCTTAAGAACAAAAGGCAGTCGGTTCGAAACAACTATTAGTTTTGGTGAATACATTTTAAATCCAGAGATTGGTCTGAAAAATGTAGAAATAAAAGTACAAACTACAAATAAAATAGAAATGTATTTTAACAATAACAAAATGACTAATAGAAATGTTTATTTCAAGTGAAATGTTCAGATTATCCTAATTATTTCTAAATAGAGGAGTCATAAACCAATTCAACTTTTAGGGGTTAGTGACTAAGTGAAGCAAAATAGTACAATAAATAGCATTACCTAGAGCTAGTTCTTTAAGAAACAATTATTGATTAATATTGACTATAGCAAAATGCTATTGTTTAGTAACAAAGAGCATAGAACTGACATAGCAAGGTCACCAATCACAAAACCTAATAAGAAAAAAAAAAACCAAAAGCCTAGATCTGAAGATATAAAATGATCAGATTAAAAGGCGTTAAATTTTGGATACATTTATTTTTGTGATAGCAACTGATAAGACGTTAAAAGGGCAAATTATTAGATAAAAAGGTTAAAATTCAACAATAGAATGGTCTAATATACATATAATATAATGAAGGAGTTATCAGGAATGAAAAAAGAAAATGTCAGTCCCTAAATTAATGGAACTACATAAAATACAATGACTTAATGAACTTTATTCTAAAAACATCGCCAAGTTATCATGGCTGCTGATGGTTGGATTACCTTCCTTGACACTGCTAGCTTGTATAGGTCCGCTATCACAAAGCACAATGAATTTCTTCGTTCAAAATAAATTCTTTTTTCTTAAAATAGAGAGGTCAACTAAGTTGTAATTTTAGATAACGCTTTAACCTATGAATCCTTTTTAATTGTTATCAAATAATTTAGTAATTATAATTCATTGTAATATTTGAGTTTATGTGAGGAAAAGCCATAAAGATATAGAAGTAAATATACTTCTATATCTTTATGGCTTTTCCTCACATAGATAGTGATAGTATAAAGGATCATCGACGATGGAATTTTAGGTAAGGATGATGCAATGTTTGGATACGTTTTTATTGGAATATAGGCTTAATATCTGTAATGATATATTTAACTAAATATACCAATTGGGTTAACAGATTTTTATATTATTTCTAAAAGGTGTTTTTTTGTCGGTACGCCATAACTTCGTCAATTCTTCATCAAATCCAATGATGAACGCTCATTTTGAAGATATTCCTCTCCTTCATATGCGAAAAATAGTCCCATCCCTCCGAAATTTCTGGGGGAAAAGTTATGGAGGAAAAGAAACTTTATTTGCGAATAACTAAAAAAGTTAGCATTTTTTCTTGATTTTACCCATGATAATTAGAAAGATTACTAAATTACCTACAAAAGAAAAAGATAATCGTAAAATTCGGACAATTATCAACAAAGATACAGTCCATTAGTTTCGGTATACCTAATAATGTCTTCCTGTTTAAAGATATTGCATTTAGGAGTAGAATTGTCTACAATTTTTTTTCCCCTGGCTTTTATATTAACTTTATTATTTCTTAAAGACCTTTGGTTTTTCTTAAATTTTATTTTTTTTAATAATTTAGAATATCCTGTGATCGGGTCATTCTTTTGTCTTTATTACTTTTATTATCTTTCCAGTCAGCGTTTAAAAATAGGTCCTAGCAAAGAAATTTGTATAAATACTTTGATCTATTATGTTTAATGGAATATTCTAATCGACCAAGGAAAAAAATATTAATTTCGTCCTTACATAATACATAGAAACTACTTATTTCCAAATTGTTTTACTATTTCTTCCCTAAACTTAATTTAAAACTCGGTAATTTTTATGTCAATAAACTGTATTTATTTTTTACTTTCGTATATATTTCGGCAGACATTTAAAAATCAGCTTTCTAGGTAATTTTCTATCATTATTTTCATCATAATTTAGAGATGGTTGACCGTGATATAATATGAGGAGTTGATCGGTTGAAGGAGATGCACCCCCCGATCAATTCCTCACATTATTTTCATCAGTCATAATTCCTAATTTTTCAATAAAATAATGGTTCAAACTCATAAACAAATGTAATATTGATAACATAGGGAAAACATTCATATTGACACCCTTTCAGCAGAACTAAAGTGGCCACGGTATAGGATATCACCGTTCTTTCAGGTGAGCTCAAATTTTCTTGTTTCAGATCATAGTTAGAACTGGTATACGAAGTTTAAAATAGGTGCATTAGCATGGGCTTATTTTCTCACTTCTCTTTCCCTTCTCCTCCTCCCCCCCCCAAAAAAAAAAAATAACTTTTTTTTCATAAATTGATTTGATTTTTGGAAAATGCTACTAATCGATAGTTTAAAAAGCATTCATGACAAAGTTGGCAATCTTATTTTAAGGCTGATGACTCACTCCTTGAATATTGGACGATATGAACGACAAAAGGTTGGTAACTTTACTTGACACCAGAGCGTTTCCGGAGTGTCTCATAAGGCAGATCATCCAGAGTTCTTTCTACGAGAATATATGTTTAAATATACATATAAGAGAAAAGGCGTATCATATTCGCTGGCAAATCTTCAAAGATTTAATAATGACCTCAATAATTCTGAAATTTTATAATGACATCGGAATAACATCCCGGATAATATAACTGAAGAGTAGATCAGGCAATGGGTTACTAGTCCGAAAGTATTATTGATTATTAGAAGAGATGGCGTATTAGATGCATTTATGATACCACTATTATTAGAACCCCATTTGTCATGAACCAAAAAAAAAAATAATTTAAATAAATAAATAGCTGCATAGTTCTTTGGTATCATCACCTCTAGACACTAGCGGATCCAGGATTTAATTTTTTTTTTTGGGGGGGGGGGGGAGGCTTCAGCCCGAAACCTTTTTTTTTATTATAAAAATAACGATAACTACTTTGGAAAAAAAGAAAGAAACTAACTACCTATATGAAATGATGTTTAAGTGATTTCTAAAGCCCTTTTAAATTTAATTACACGAACAATAATACTTTATAATTTTTTAATATTTTTTTCGATAAAACATGGCTATATTTTACATTTTCGGGAGGAGAGGGGAGGAGGAGTCTTCAGCTCGAAAGCTCCCCCTCCTCCCCCGTAGATCCGCCCGTGCCTATAGAGAAAGTACCTCTCCACCATAGTCATATTTGGAAGCAAAATGAGTCCAAGACTCGTGGGTATCGCAATTCATCACAACAGGACTTTGAGCTTTCAAACCAAGCCACATGGATTTGGGGAGAGCATTGGTCCCCTCCTTTCTAGTTGCGGTTTCTCGCAAACCAATTCAAGATCTCATCATAAACTGTACCACCTTTGAATCAGAAACGACCATTCTCGTTAAGGGCAAGACTGATGGAGCACATGGATATATACTTAGAAGATAGCATATAAATATAGAAAAGGGTACGTCCAAGTAAGATGGAAGCTTACGAAGGTATTACATTAAGTAAGGCCTCGATGTTGATGAAGCAATACCTAGCAGGAGAAGTATATTTAGACATGTGAGCAAACATACTTTCAAAAGAGAGAAGGCTGAACTAGATTTAGGAGAATCTAGAGGTAAATATTGTTGATAACCATGATAGATGGTTGAAGATACTTGGAGAGAATGATCGAGGAAGATGACCTTCACCATAAGCCAATGTATCAATGTAGAACATGCTGTTTGCACAGCACTAGTAAACAGCATAGTTTTACTTACATTAGTGTAATGTTACGCAGTCATATGTAAAATCCCACTACTGAAAACAATCATGGTCAAATAAGAAAAACAGGATTCTACGTCCTCACAGTTCATCAGTTCAGCTTTTGATGAAAATTAACCGTACAACAAAGATTTTGTGTGCTCGAAGAAAACTCGAAGTGGTAAAATAAAAAAGTAACAGTTATATAATCCAATAAAACTTATTTTTCAATCATGACAGTGTGGAAATAGTTTACAAGCACTAAAAACACCCATTTTCGATGAAAAAATCTGCTTTTAATTAATTTTTAAAATACATAAAAGTAGTTCATTTACTTTTTTTCGATGCATTAGATAAGATACTTCAATATTTTTTTTTAAATAATTGAAAGTTGGGGCTATTTAAAATAAAGTAGTGATTTTAAATCTAAAGTGTTTACAATAATTATTTTTTGATTTCTTCAAAATCTTGCTGTCTTATCCAATAACAACTTAAATTCTGCTGCATATAATTTGACTGTTCACTAGCTCCACTTGAAAAGGCAATAGGTTTATTTTGAGCAGCAGAAGTGGAGCATCCAATTGCTAAGTATGGAGAATATTAAGAGGACAAAAAGGAGAATTACATATTTGAGAATATCAGTCACTATAGACGATAATATTAAATTATTATTATTAAATTTAATTGTTAGCATAACTGATAACGTAAGAAACATTCTCTAATCACGGTCACTAACATTTTATTACATAAATACCGCACTTTCGGTATGATAAATAAGGTAAGGTGTTCTGATATATGATTATCTGATAAGCTAAAAATAATAACAATCTGTTGTAACTGAAGTGTTTCCATTTACACCTCGTGAGCCTAACGTCTAATGTAAAACACTTCGCGTGTTTTGCTTCTTTTAGTAAGCAAATGCAATAAATTGTTAGTAACAAAACTAGATATAACAAGTAGAAACCTACCTTAAGGTTTGTTCAATAAAATACTTGTGACGAGAGGCATAATGTCTTGCCTCATGGCACAGGTGGCGAGTCATGCAGGCTTATAACTACCCCATAAAAAAGAAATAGCTATTTCTGAAACTTTCAAAATTTTAAAACCATATGATCTTAGGACTTTTGGGAACACCCTCCATCAGCTGTTAGGCTTCTGCTAGATTATTTGTGAAGCGTTCAGTTCGTTATCGTTAACTTCATGAAGTCGCTTACATGGTGGTGATATATATTTATTAATACCCCATCTTTCCATTATTAATTTTAATAGTTGGTAAGAAGGAGAATGAATAAAAATTGAGGGTGGTTAAATCAATGGACCTAATACTAAATGAAAATTTTACAGGAGGAAAACAAATTTAAAGTTACCCTGGCATTTGTATCATAATACTAACATGTGGAGGACCATTAAAGAACAGCTAACAGAAACTAAAGACTTATCATTTAGCAGTCATTCTTCAGTTATGATGAAGGTTCAGCCATCTCTTTATATCACTCTTTAGCTTAGTCTCTTTATCCCCTAGAGTGGAGGGGGTAACATAAATTATAGAACAATAATTTTTACATTCAATAATGCATCTACAGTACCGAAACTGAAAATGGAGGTAATATTCTGGGTCAAATTGTTTAACTCAAACTGAGACAAATAAGTTAAGGTTTTGGAATTCTTGACATTGGTCACTGGTCACATAGATTATAAGATAGGTTTGAGGCAGGCCTCTCTATGTTGTGTGAAGGTAAATGTCTTATCTACAATTATAATATATCCATATTTGCTAGAGTCTCCTAGTTTTGGTTGCTTTCTCATTTTCTTAATTAATATTTTTCTCAGCAATTAATAAAAGCATTTTTTTTTTTTAAAGAATAGTCAAATCGGGTAAAGATGGACTTAAGCAATATCCATTTAACTCCTGATTCCCTATTCCTCTTGAAAGTATTTTAGAATTAGCAACTTCATCACAATCTTTATCTAAAAAATATTTCAGCTTGTCAAATTATTGAATACATTTTTTATGCAAGTGTTTAGAACATAAAGAGTTCCCAGTTTTTCACATAATCATTCAGGAAGATGACTTTCTTGTACACATTTTTTTTCTTCTAAATTTATTACTTCCAAGCAGGATGTGTCAACTAAATCCATATTTTGAAGGTTTACAAGTGGTAACAGGTATTTCCTCATCTCATTAGTTTCATTCCCTTGATCAAGCATATCATTTTTTAAAAATATTTTCACTAACTTATGGAAAGAAAAAATAATAATTTTCTGTTGTTTCTATAATCTAATCCAATCTATCGATAATAAAATATAAATTTGTTTCTTCAAGTTATTAATATTATGGTTCAGCCAAAAGATTTTCGATGTTTTAACTTCACCATCCTCAGCAAATTACTGTCAAAATAATGCCAATAGACTTTTCTTGAAATAATATTAATTAACTTTTTTATCCTCAACTAAAAAGTTATTCTCCATCCTATTTTATACTATCTCTTAATAAAAATTAGAGTCCTGTCACCTAATCTGAGATTGTTGCATATCCATATCTCATTGCATCTCACTTCAGTTCGTACAAAAGGTTGTATGTAAAAATTGAGTGTTTTACAAGAGAGCACAAAAACTGATTATTTCTTAATGAATTATTAGTATAATAATATATATTATTTTTCCCTGCTATTTTCTATAGTAGCAGACTAATAACAGTTGCAAAATACAAAATGTCACCTTTTGCACAAATAGAATAAAAATATTTTTTACCTTCAATCTTTTGCACTAACAGTAGTGATGTACACATAATTTATTTGACATATTAAACATACATACAATAGTCAAAATATATCATTCATATTATGTTGGAAAAAGGAACAAATGGAAAATTTATCAAAACTAATCCATTATGAATAAAAAGGGAAAGATTTTTTAAATTTTTAATGTACACCACACTATACACAATCTTCAATAAATTATACAGCTCATTAACAAAACTTCACATTGGTAACTTCGGCATAGCCCTGAAATATTATCAAACAATAATCTAGCCCCCATATAAATAAAACAAGGAAATTAATTTATTTCACACACTTTTTCGTATAAGATACTTTTAACATACCATTATTACTTTCTTTTTTTTTTTTTTTTAATTTAAAATATGTACAACACTTGTTACATCTTAAAATATAAAAAATGTTAGTATATTACACATACAACTCACTGTGCAAAAATAATTACAAATTCAATACAGGAATGAATCATCAATACTTATGATACAAATAATTAATTATTTGAGGCATCATTGATTTATAACACCTTATTTTAATAAATACATCTACATTGACAAGAAAATTTCAAACCCATTCATGAAATACACTTACATTCACGCTAAAATACATACACATTTTTTTTTTTCTTCCCTTTCATTTTTTGTAATTACAGTAAAACCTGACAACATAAAGTCATTTTTTCATGAAAGGAAATTTCTTGAAATAAAATGAATAGTGTATATCTTAAAAACCTAAATGACTAGATTATGTAATATTGCATTCAACCATTGGAGAACAATTTATCTTTAATACATAAAGCGGATCACATAAACAAAATTACTGCACATGAATTACTAAGCAGAACATAAACCAAAGGGATTAATAATGTTTGGGGTTGAATTTAGAATCAAAATAGGAATATTGATAAACATCACTGCAATGAATAGAAAAAAAAATCTAAACAATATTCTCCAGTATTGAAGAAAAAATGAATTAAAATTTTATGTTGGATCATTCTTTTTAAATTTAAAGGACGTTCTTCTTTGCTTTAATATGTATGCGTGTTTAAGTAAACATGAGTGGTATTTGTATGTGTAAACACAAATATATATATAAGGTTGAAAAATTTAATGAAGAATAACAACAGCAATTGGCTTTAATTTAATTATAAATTAAAAAGCAACTCAAACAAATGTTAAATAAAAACATAACTACTCCGTCAACTACAGGATGCATAATGATTAGATCTTTTTCTTTTTGGCAAAAAAAAAAAATCAAGTTAATTTTGTTTACACAAGACATCATGGATTCAATCATATAGTAGTACAAGAAACAGGTTCAACAAAAAAATATTTAAAATAGATTCCTATTAAAAATATTTTATTTTATCACTGCCCATAGGAATGATATCTAACACAACATTGTAATAATGCAAAGAACATAAATATATCTATGTTTTCAAGGAAGGCTTTAGAATAATTATTGGTAATAATATTCTTGGCATTTGCTTATTGTCAAAACAGGTGGTATGGAACGAACTATATACATATATGTATATGTATATATATATATATATATATATATATATATATATATATATATATATATATATATATATATATATATAAAAAGAGAGAGATTTTAAACATTGGAGTTATTGTTTTAACTAACATTGCCGTTTCTGAAGCTAGTTCTGCAATTTTAGTATCACACAGTAAAATGTTTATTTATTGAAACTTCCGATTCCCCAGTACCACACTTTCTTTATGAGAATGAGGAAATACCAAGAAAGTTTTAACCTTCGACTGCTCTAAAGCCTTGAAAATTCAGATATACTTATGTACTTGAAATCGATTTTGTATTATTACTATCTTTTGTTAGATGCCATTTATATATAAAAATTCCAACAATGAAATTTTTCCAGACAGGAGTTAATTTCTTCAAAAACAAATTAAGGTTAATATATATACTAAACCTTGAATCTTAAAATAGACTAGTATTAAAACTCATTGGGATAAACGGAGAAATAAAATTAAAACAAACTAGAACGTAAATATGCACAGCCATAAAAAAAAAAAATTGGAACATTCATCTGAAATGTCATTCACAGACAAATTGCTTTCAATAAATGATTTATACAAACATAATTAACAATAAAGAAAACTCAGATAGAAGTAACAATAATTAAAAATCCCCAAGGAATTATTAATAATAAATTGTCAGAATAACGAAATAATTTAAAAATAAATATAAGAAGAAAAAAAACGAAGTGGTTAGTAGTTTCTTGATAGCCTATAAAATTTACACAACCGTTTAATAAAACATAATCAAAGGTGAAAAATCAACAACTTAGGTAGCCTCTTGATGATTAGTAGTTTCGATATTTATTTTTCTGTTCTAATAAATGAAAACTGCGTCATAAATAATTATAAGGTATGTTAACATTTTCTGGCTAAACTTCTTTACGAAAAATTCCATTTACCAAAATTTGCAGCTGTATAGTTTATGCATACATATTTACAGTTGATCTTCTATACATTGATAATATCTTAATACTGATATTTCATCAGGACTCTAGAATTATTACTAGAAAATATTTCTGTAGATAAAATGATTTTTTTTTTTTTTTTATGAATAAATAAAATGAAAATGTTTCTATTTTAAAATTTAATAAATATATGTAATTCTCAAAATATGAAATAAACAAATAAATTATCAGCACAAAAAAATAGAAAAATCACTGCATTTTTAATGTATCACATATGTTTCTTTAAAATAAATGTCTGTATTACTTATGTCCATGTTTCATTTAGAAAAGATAAGTCTCTAACAAAATACACAATCTATTTTTAAGAATGAAAAATTTTAATGAAATGCAGTCATTAATGGTGGTTATTAAGTTTGCTGATGTTTAGCTAAGTGAGTCATGTCCAGGACTAAAAATTAGATAAAAAATACAGAAACACGTAAAAAAAAAAAAATAAACATAAAATTATTTAAATAAGAGAAAAAAAATAAGGTACTACATAAAAATAATATAACAGTAATAAAAACATAACAATGTGTTAAGAAAATGTTATTTGTTATCAGTAAATAAAAGAGATAAGTATATAAAAGTAAAAATTAACTAAATAATTGGTTCATTAACAGAAAATATTATAGACATATCAAAATTAAATGTAAATATTTAAAAATAATAAGTCTCGTAGCCAAGAGATTCTTCTAATAAGAAAGTTATGTTTATATTATCGTTATCCCATGTTTACGTTTCCTATTTTTTCTTATCTTATTTAAATACTTTTATATTTATCATTCTTCTAACGTAATTATGTATTTTTTGTTTAATTTTTAGACCTGCTGATGACTCACATGCTTGGTTCGAAATTATGGCAAACTTTAATAAACACCATTGATGACTGAATTTTCACACTATTTTTCATCTTTACCATTTTAAGCCAATTATGTATCCATCTCTAAATTATCTTTTTTTAGTTGTTACTACATATATATTTAGAGATGAAAAATTATTCTGTACATAAAATTCGTATTAGTTTTCAAAAAGCATTCAAATTTGATAATTAAAGGTTTAATTTTAATTATTTTCATTTTAATTTAACTGAATTAAAAGTTCAATTTTTTAACATGTAAGTCTTTATCATGTTATCCAAGAAATAGTTATATGAGGGTGAATAAAATATGGAAAAAATAAAATTTTAGCAATAAATTTTTCAATAAAACAGATTATTTTCTTCTGGCTTATAATTTGTGTCTATCAAATATTTGTGTATGATACAGTGATAAATTATCAAAAGTCTACTGAAATTTCCTAATTAAAGTAATTTAGAAAAATATTTGGCTATGCCGTAAAAATAAAAATATACACAATTAGAAATTTAATTTTCAATTATTGTAATGTTTTTCATAACCTTACTTGACTAATACTGAACATGAACGAATCACTTGTTTCCTAACCACATTGTAATAACTTTAAGCCGAATGTTGTTAGGAAAAATGTTTTATGTCGAAAACTTAAAATCAGGTCATTTCCCTTCACGCTAGATCGACCGACAAATGGGGGCTATCCTATATTGGACAAAAATAGTAAATTACAAGTAAATATAAATTAAACTACAATTTTTGGCTTTATTATTTTGTACAATTATATCTATACAAGAACACTTATACAACATTATCATACAATATGATCATGTCTATCGATTAAGAAATACACTTAAAATATTCCTTATAAGACTTAATTCACTTTCTTCATTAATCACTATGACATTGCACATTTAATGTTTATATCTGAAACAGAAATCGTGCCACTCGCATCAGACAATTATACAATTTTTAAAAAATTGGTAAAATTCACTCTTAATAATTTTGATTACTTTTATTTAATTAATTATTAAGTATTGAAGGAAGTTACTCAACTGTTCTACATATCATAATAATAAAAAAATATTTTCATTTCATTTCATCATGGGTGATAAATATTCAGGACGCAGTCATTATAAAGTTTTGATTAGTGCCGACATTTCAACCCAAACATATGGGTCATCATCAGGGAGTGTTTCGAGCACTGAAGGTATTTAAGTACTCGAGTACTTAAAAACTTTATAATGAGTGCGTCCTGAATATTTATCACCCATAATTATCAAGTGTTATTAAGGTATTAGATATTTATCGCTCTACTTCAAAATTTATAGTAATTGACTTTTAATTTAATTTGTATCTCATTATATCTAAGGTACTATAACTGTGAGAATGCATTCATATATTAACAATGTATGTTACTAATCCTTTTATCACACTATAACATATCAAGTTTAATAGCTAATCCCAATTACTTAAACCTAATCCAAAACATGATTGAACAAAATATTATTCAACAGAGAGAAAACAGAAAATAGAATTGAAATGAGGAAAAACTTCCTTGAAGAAATTCTTCAAAAAAAATTGGAAAAACAGTACAAGAATTAGATAATATTCTAGATGTGCCGGATTCAATTGTTCCTTGATAGATAAATGTGACTCTAATAGTAGAGAAAGTGATCGCTACTTGTAATAAAGAAGTAACTACCCCAATTGAGGCATAAAAAAATTTCTGGTAACATTAAAGAAATATCAAGAGTATAACATCTAATATATGGATGCATCGAAAGCAGACAATGAAGTGGGATGTCCTGTAATAAGTACTGACATAGAAAAAATCTTTGAATTGCCAGATATATGCTCGATATTTACTGGAGCAATGGTGGCTGTATGGGAAGCTCTCTTACATATTGAGTTGAGTGAAGAAGTCAAATGGAACATAATAACAGACTCTAGGAGTGCACTATTTGCCATAGAAAACTTTAGACCAAAAAATACTCTATTAAAAAAAAAAAAAAAAAGATCTGGTGGTAATTGAAACAGAATGGTAAAGAAATAGTGATTATTTTGAATCATTTCCCATTGCGGAACCTCTGAAAAAGAACTAGCAAATCAGTCGGCTCATTTGGGAAGAAAGCCAAGAATATTACTGGTAACAATAATCAACAAAATCCAAAGAGAAGACTTCATAAAAAAAAAACCCTCGAAATATGGAAAATGTGGCAAACCAAATTGGAACAAAAAGAGTCAAGATTAAAGGAGACAAGAAGACCATGCCTCAAATGGAAAAACTATGACAGAATATCCAGGAAGGAAGAAACTACCCTCTGGCAGTTAAGGATTGATCACTGTGAATTTTCAAATGGACGCTCATGAAGAGCCCCCATGTGAAAACTGAAATGTCAAATAGTCAAACATGTTATTGAAGACATTGAAAGAACACAAAAAAAAAAAAACGAAGGAATTCTTGAAAATAGTAAAATACTGTAACAGAAACAGGGTTTAAGATAACTGTATTGCCAATGACCCTACATGTTAGAGGAAACAAAATAAAAATAAAAAATTAATTATTTGAACCATTTTCGAGTCGTTTTACTAATCGTTGTATATTGTATAAAAATTAAACTAAATTAATGTTCAATTTATTTATTTTTTATAAAAACTTAACCATATGGAAGATGAACAGTTTGTGGTAACAAGGAATTTCTATAAAGCAATTTTTTTTCAGTAAAATTCAATTTTATTGGATTTAGAGTTTAATCCTTTTAGAGACTTATAATTTTTATTAACAAAAACATTTTTTTTTTCCAAATAGTAAAAACTGTTAAGGTGGTTAAAATTACTAAAAAGTCAAGATTTTGTTCACCCAATAGATCAAAATAAAATTATACAATTATGACTTGTAAAATCTATTTGTTTTTTCTTATAGTTCCTAAATGTACTTAGTAAACAAAAACAACTGTTTCTAATAAACATTTTTTTACCTTAAGTTTACTTATTGCATATAATAATAGTTTGAAGAGATTTTGGTAAAATTTAAGATAGGGTTGAGTTGTTCTAGAATTGCCATAATTTTGTACCACTATCATAAAAATAGCTGTAAAACCATTAACACCGTAAAGACACATATACATATAAGCATTCGCCCCCAAAAAATATTTGCTATGTTTACCTCAGATGAGAATAGGACACACCTAATGATAGCCAATCTGAGAGCTGTAGTTACATCAACGTAAGAATGGCCTCAGGAAGTATGGGAGAAGAGTGGTGACTGGAGTCGGATCACATAATATTCTACCTTCTAGCAGTTATTCCTTTCATGTCGGTCCTTACCTGTCTCGAGCTAGTATCATGATTGTTATTTTTACTTTCCATTGTATTCAAATAAAATTGTTTCGTGATGATTCCCCTTTCCTTTTAGAGTACCACCGAAATTATCTCAAAGATTGGAATCCTAATTACGAATTTTATTTTTATAATTTAAAAAAGAAAATGCTTTGTAGTAGAGGACCTCTAGTATTTACACCGTTATGTGGGGGAATGTAAGGTTGCACTACGAATTGTACTCAATTTTGCTGTGGACAAGTGGTTTATTGAAAAGTATCAAATCGATAAACAATCGACGAAAAAGGTACTAACACAGAAAGGAAAAGCCTGGAAAAGTGCCGGCAAGTGGCAGCAGCTGGAGACGGATACGGGAGAACGAAGAAAACACTTGAGGGCGGACAGGAAGGAGGAAGGACGTTACCAGAGGGGAGAAGCCCACTACACTGAAGATTAAGAAGATAAATTCATTTATTACTTACAGTTGTGGAAATAAATTATGTAATGAATAGTCTTTTTATTTAGTTGTCCTATATGTCTCACAATTGAAGAATAACAAACCAGGGGGGTCAATTCATTCTAAGTGTATTTACTCAGTCCTTATACTTATATATTCATATAATTTCTTGTCACGGAAGTATTGGGTTCCCGAATTCCCAACAACGGTAAACACCCTCAAAAAGTCTATATCTATTGACGGGGTTATGTTTTAAAGAAAATTAAATTCATGAGTGCAAATGACCAATACCCCCGACAAAACGGAAGGCATATTTACAATTACCGCTGAGCAAGGTTCTTTACAGCTCGGAGAAAAATATCTGACCTGCCAATTTTAAATGACGAAGGTTTGATTTTAAAGAATATAGCATCATTTAAAGTAGACTCGATATTAAATGCACAGCGTAGACTAGACTGCCTGTCACGCATTAGCTCACTGTTCATTTGGAGGACGAATGCTTAAATGTATAAGTGGCTCAAGGGACTAATGATGAGGTACAGGACTGTTTTTCAGGGACTAAGTTTATTTTAAAAATTTAGAGATGAGCCTTAAAAGCAAGTCTTGTTCAAGGCATCCTTTATCATCAGAATATCAGAGAAAAGTTAAAGTGATGGAAAATTTAGAAGAGTAACCTTGATAGGCGATTGAACAATATTTTTTTTACTTCCCTACTTATACTAGGTAAGGAAAGTATTGCAATCGGGTCAAATTTCCGATATGAGGGTTTTCGATGTATTTATACGTTTCAGAGCCCCCTCGCCGTAAAAAGTGCCGTTTGACAGGTAATGACATTCCCTACAAAGCAATATAAAAATAGTGCATTTTGGACAACTATTAACGAAGTTACAGGTTCATATTCTGGTGTCAGAAAGGGGTGAATGAGAGAATAAAGATGACTAATTGAAAGTAAGAAAATCTGTTGCCCGGATCACACAATCTTCACTGTTTCCTCTACTTTTAACAGAAATTATTGTTTGACAATACTAAGCTATGGAAAAGTTTTTTATCAGCAATATCAGTGAGTATTGAAATTTTTATACTGAACTACCTAAAGCCAGTTTACATTGCTTTAGTTTATCAAATAAATCGTACTCAAATCTTTTGTTTGATCAATTTTCAGGAAAATAAATCTAGTTCAATTCTTTTTTGTTTCTTCATGAACATATGTAAAGATATAAAAACTTTTCTGAAATAGGTATGAAAGTCGTGTGAGTGGACACACCAGATATTTTTATTTAACATTAAAAACACTTAGATTCTGTTTATACCTTAATAACAGCAACTGATACGACAAATAATATTAAAAATGTTTACCTAATATCAGTCAATGCCTTTCTGAGAAGCATCTTTGAGTGAAAGCACTTGAAGGACCTGGGGCCCATCTCCTGTCGACACGACTATTTGGTGGGTTTTACTTCTATCAACTTCGACTTCCCCTGCCATTCCCATCATCGCAGGCGTTACAACCTATTACAAGATGAAGAGACTAATATGAATAATTAGCTTTTAAAAATTTGTACTGTTGATGGTAAAGAAACACAATAATGATAAAACTCCAAGACTAACTACAGGTAGTTATTCATAGTTTCAATTAATTTAAAAGTTGCAAAATGAAGAATCAGAAGAATTTCACTTGCCTGTATTGTCCCATCTCCTCCAGCTTGAATATTTGCCACAACAGTTTGATACATGGATCCTGGGACCGTAATCATACCAGACACTGACACTGGATATCCTAAATAGAAAAAAAAACAGTAAAAATAAGTAAGCATCAGAACCTTAGAGAAAAAAGTGTGTCCATCAAGATCAAATGAATTGTATACATAGAAATTATACATTGTGAAACTAATGTAATATTATGAATAAACATATTTTAATCATCTTGTCTATTTGAAAGGAATAAGACAATTTAATTAAAAATGTACGATTGTAATAATAATAATTAAATCCATAACCAACCTGTTCCATCTTCGCCTTGGAGAATTATTTGTCCATCGTGATCTTCAGTAACAGAATTCAGGTCAACCGTAACTGTTTCAGTCTCACCGCTACCATCACCATCGCCAGCATGGATCTGAATAAAGGAAATGTAAAAACTTAAGATACTTAGAATCAAATCTAAGTAATAGAATCTGATAATCTTGAATATATTAATGTCAGAAATATTTCTTTACAATTTAAATGATTATAAATAGTATCAAATAAACATTAGAAAAACTAATTTTCTAGTCATATATTTTAGGTTCGGTGCCATTTTAAAGTATTTGATAAATTATTGGGCCAAAGGTCACCAAATGTACACAGTTTTTACAAAATGTATTATTTATTGGACGTCTCAGCTTCAGGAGCCACTTTCAAGATCCTGCTAACTAATTTCAATCCAGTTGTTTTACTTCAAAATACATCCTTATAAAACACATATTAATTCAACAACAATCAGTAATATAATTAGTCCAAATTCTATTTTATAATTTTTTTTTTTTTTTATAACATAGCAATTTGGTTAAAATAATGTAAAATTTATCATCTACCTAAAATGTATCATTATAATATAATTTGACGTTTTGTCATTTTATACAATAGAATTTGGATTAATTATATAACTGATTGTTGCCCAATTAATATGTGTTTTATAAGGATGTATTTGGAAGTAAAACAACTGAATTAAAATTAGTTTGCAGTATCTTGAAAATGGCTCCTGAAGCCGCAACGTCAAATAAATAATATATGATGTAAAAACTGTACATTTGGTGACCTTTGGCCTAATATTTTATAAAAAAAAACTACTGCTAGACTACTGCTACTTGACTATTGCTAATGCATTTTTTTTTCTGCTTACCGTAGCAACACCTTGAACATGAGCCGTCGTACCATCGGGAAGAGTTATAATTGGATTATTAGGGTCAACTTGAATGATAGAAACTGTCCCATCTGGATTGGTTATAGTTTGCAACACGGCTGTTGGAACCATCTCTGAACCAGCTGTCACCTACACAGAAATAGTACTATTAAAACCTGGAATTACCTTCTAATAGCCTAGTGATCGACAACTAGCTATCAGTGAACAGTATCTAAATATAGTTAAATAATCTATGGTTACAACAATATGACAAAACTTATAATTTTTTTAAAATATTGACATTACAGTATTACACTGAGAAAGGAAAAAAATAAAGAGTTAGAAAGGTTTATACAAAGTGCATCAGCTTCAGATTGTAAAAGAAAAGACTTTAAGAATAATTATCCAACAATTTGTTTTCATATTTTTAGCATATTTGGCTGATATGATCAACCCTTTGATCATTCACAAATTTTATTTTTGTTAATAAGTTTAATAAAAAAAAAAGAAACATCAAACATATATGAGCATCTGAAGCTGATAGAATCAATATAATAACAGAACATCAATCAAGGCAGGATATTCAAAATCATTAAAACATACAAAGGTGATTTCTCATTTTATTTATTAATTATTTAAGTATTTAATGCGTAAGATAGCAATAAGAGTAGCTTTTTTTTTTTTTTTTTTTTTTTTTTTGACCTTCCTTGCCTTTTAGGCTACATGGCGTTTTTATACGAGCTGAAGAATTATGCAGAGTTAAAATATACCACCGGGATTGGAACTCGTAATTATTTTTTTGTATCAAACTTTGGTTATCAGGTTGCCGGGCAACTTATATGCGTTACCCTGCTTGACCTCTCCCCCTTACTAAGAAGCACGGGCGGATCTACGGGAGGGGGGGGGGGCTTTCGGGCTGAAGCCCCCCCAAAATGGTAAAATATAACCATGTTTTATCGAAAAAAAATATTAAAAAAGTATCTCTTAAAGTATAATTGTTCGTGTGATTAATATTAAAAGGGCTTTAGAAATCACTTAAACACCATTTCATACAGGTAGTTAGTTTCTTTCTTTTTTTCCAAAGTAATTATCGTTATTTTTGTGAAAAAAAAGCTTTCGGGCTGAAGCCCCCCCCCAAAATTAAATCCTGGATCCGCTAGTGCTAAGAAGAGCCATTATTATTTTAAAAATATTACATTGGTACTCTCTAATCTTCCTTAAAACAGTACAGACATAAGAATGTGGATCAAAATAATTAGCTCTAAATAAACATGTTTGTCCCAACCATGATAGCTCTGTTTATTTATGCATTTATTTACGTACGCTCATATAATATTATATAATATAATATAAAATGATTGTATAATATAATATGAGTAGAACCAAATAATCAGAACAAAGAATCTCACCACTCCAAAATTGGATTGTTGTGACCTAGAATACTTAAAAGTTTTTTCATATAACAAAAAGTCTTTTTGTTTATAGATAAAAAATAAATAATCAAATAACGAAAACCCACTAAAAAATATAAAATTAATTTAAATAACCAAAAAAATAAAATCGAGAAAATGTAATATGATCAATTGTGATTGTGATATTCAATTAATCATTATACAATGGATTGTATTACTTGACGACTTGTTAAACTGTAACTCTTTTTTTTTAAACTGTATACTCAAAATTAACCCGTTATTTTTTACATGTTTTAGTAATTTCACTGTTATTTACGTTCACAATAATAAAGATTGCCAAACAACCTTGTTAGTTAGTTAACATCAAATTAGTTAAATGCACTAATAGAAGGAGTGACTTTGTATAATGTAAGAATGGTACATGCTAGTTAAATAGAGTGACATAGATAGGTTTGCCACAGCTGATCAGTCTAGTCTGCAACTAACAGAGAACCATAAGTGATTTATTATGAAGTCTGTTTGAACTGGAATAGTAGTCAAAACAGAATATCAAAAACTGATAAATCAAATACAATTTCCTGAGTGTATTTTTAATATGATGATCTTGATACACAATTATAGAAGAAAGTAGAATCATAGTTAGATGTTAAGCTCATCATATCTTACATAATTGTCATTGCTTCTTGGTTAGAGGAAATGTTAAATTGAATACAAAATAAGGGAAACATTAAAGACAGAATGAATAGGAAAATCACACAATGCACATTCTTGATAAAAGTTTTCGTACAGGTTAACGTCAATTTGACCGTATCCTATGTACATGCAGACGGTCTGCTACCAGTTTGACTGATCTCTCAGCATATATACTTCGTAATCTCTGCAGAATATTTTTAAATTATCCATAATTTAAAAATGTATTTAGAGGAGGATGTATCAATCCTCATAGAGAATAAGCATTTTTAATAGCTTCTCTACAAAACCTTACTACTTACTTGAGCATACTTTGCATCTTCATCCTCTGACAGCTATATAATAAAACAAAATTAATAATATTTTGGTTGACATTCGACTAACTGATTAATTAAAAAATGATTTAAATATAAAGAACGGCAAGGCAGTTGATAAACAGATATGGCAATACGCATTTTTTAATTGTAAATTTAAACTGGATTGAAAAAACGGAATGGTATAATTATTATTTTTTAAAAGTGGAGAGAAAAACAAGGGCACGAAGAAAGTTCTTTTAGAACAATACTTAGAAGAGAAATCAAAGGGAGTAAGCAATAATTGTAAAATAACTCAATAAGAGCTGTAATTGGCCGGTTGTTAATCCGGATGGGAAACCAATGAAGAGCGAACATTTTTAGCCATTAGAGGTTTCAGATGGTCACCAATCTTGAAATGCTATAAATATAAGTCAGTTAGAAGAATATTGAATATATTTACATTTTAAAACTAGAATATAGTATTTGCCAGGAACAACAGATCTCCAGAAAGGAAATGTGGTGAAACTACAAATAAATCAGGAAAAATATAGCAGATAACAGTTGAAAAAATGAAATAGAAATTCACATAATCCCCACAAAATTTATCTAGACTTTCTTATTTTTTCCAAAACTCAGCAGGGGATTGTAATTGTTATTTCTGAAATTTATTTTAATCTTCAACTGATATTGGTTTCGTTTTTATAATATGCTCCCAATTCATGTATACATTTATGTTATAATAAGGAGTTATCTATTTGTGATTTTATTAACCAATTATAATAAAAAAAGGACTTATATAAAAAAATTTAAACCAGACACAATCGGCATTAGCTGTATAAAAACATTATAATCAAATATAACAATTTTCAAAAATGATGAAGACAATACTATTCAGTTTGTAGCATACTTGAAATCAAAGGAATGAGTAATATAGAAACTTATGAAGAGCTTCTATAACATCAATCTAACCTCTGGTAAAAAAAAATTAGAACAGGAAATAATTATAAAGCTATTTTAGAAAAATTCAAAGGAAGAATATAAGCAGTTGTTGTCCTAAAGTAGAGCAAGGAAAACTAACACAAATAATTGGTGACAAAAATTAATATATATAATAATAAATATATGAAAAAAAAAAATAAATGTTTAAACTTGTTATTAAAAGTATAAACTAAGATCAAAACAACTGTTGTGGATTTCAGTTCATGTTTCTATGGCTTACATTATATGTTATTTTTTTTCTTCTGATTTTATCAGACTGAAATTACAAATAGTTTTTTTCTAATTAATCACAATAGAAATAAATAAGGCCGCCTATCTAAAACAATGGCTCAATTTTCAATAAATATATTGAAGAATTAACAATGTGCCCAGATATTATTGAATATAGCTTATAAAAGACTATATAACATTAATTAAGCTCATATACCTAATAATAAAAATTAATTCTATAAATACATGCATATAGATAGATATATATAGACAAACTTCAAAGCTCATAGTTATCTCAATGTCTTTATTAGAAATCAACACTGTTTCATGCATAATCTCATTTGATTATTACAATCTTGTTCCAATGGGGGATAACTAATCACATCCTGTCGCGAGGGAGAAATGGTTCTTTTATTCATCTCATGAATAATAATTCAGAGAGAGGTACACTGAGTATACACGTGAAAAGAATCTTATAGGACTTCTCGAACAATCAACCAGTTGATCCAAATCTTCTGGATCTGCTAATAGGGCCAGATAAAAAAAACTTCCAGTTTGGGGATCATTTTTAGACATAGATACATATAGATCGGTGTTTCACATGAAAATATGACAACTTAGTGAAGAATTCCGAATTAGATGGAGAGTGAGACAAGCTATCAGGCATTGCCGGAACTTCTTATGTAAATTGGTTTCATATTATTTCTCCCATATTGCCAATACATTTATTTTCTAGTCAGAGTGTGTTTTATAACTGAACACTTACTAAAGAAGGTGCCATGAAGCCAAGAGATTAATAATTAATTTGCACCTGAAGTTACATCAACTTAATAAAGTTTTAAATAAATAAGTCAAGAATAATGTCATAATACCCACATTCCAAATCTTTAATTCTATGTTTTTAAAAGCATGAATGGTTTCACCCAGTAGCACTTGAGAAAACTCCTGTGTAAAACAACTTCAGTTTGTATACGTAGCTCATCTTAAAATGTATTAATGGGAAAGAATATGTACAGCCTCTGCCATTCGAGCATTCACAGAAAATCTAATCGACAGGCAACTGGGTAATACAAGCCTGACTTCAAAATAATCAGATTTAAATAATTCAAACTGTAATAAACAATTGGTCGTAAATTAAAAAAATAGAAACATCATGCATGCTTCTTACTTTTACTTTTTATTCTACAAATAACCGACCAATTATAGCATGAGTGAGAAGATTGAAGTTCATTCTGTGGGACTGCCACAAATAAATTTTAACACACCCAGGTCAAATCCAAACCAGTGCTACTTTTGACTAGAGAATAACGATTTAATATGCTCAGCCATGACAAGATAATTCATCGTAAAATTACTAATTATGCTATTTCTTAAATGAATAATTAAATGTAGATTACAAATTCAATACAATTACAAGAATAAATTCATATACAATAAAGTTAAATATTTCTATACTTAGAAAAGTATAGAATTTTTTCTTGTTAATATATATATATTTTAGTCACATAAAAACCAATTATAAAAATACATAAGTGAGCGACCACGTACCCCAATAAGTCCTGCATTCAGATCCTTTAAGCTCTGCATATATGTAGAAGAAAGCAAAAGGGGAAAAAAAAATTTTGCATATTATAACTTTCATCATTGAAAAACAAATACATAGTTCAATAATACAAGTAATATAACTTAAATAGGTTATTTATAAATTTATCTTCCAGTACATGAAATTTTGATACGTCATAACAGCACATACAATAATCTAGAAGGACAAAGATTAATAACAGTGTCTGAGAGTCCTGTTTTTCTTTCTTATTTCCCAGGGTCCTGTTTTTTCCTACACAGATGGGGAGGAGGAGGGAGGGAGACAACTCGAATTGAAGTTTCATTTAATAATGTTTGTAAATAATATACATAAATATGCTTATATTTAAGTTGTCACATTGATTAGTTTAAGTTTCTTTTTTGTTTATATATATATATATATATATATATATATATATATATATATATATATATGTGTGTGTAAAAGTTTTTATTATTATTATTATTTTGCTCTCTGTTATTCTGCTCTATTGTTATTATTATTATTATTCTGCTCTATTAATATGAAATATAACTCAATAAAGAAATAATTAGGTTAAAAACAGGACTGACCAACCCAAGATTAGAAAGCATCATGTTAGGGGAGAAGGGGAGGAGGAAAAAAGCAATCGCATTTTATTTTATAGGAAAATAACTAAATAAATTGGCCTTCAAGGAACAAGAAAATCAATTAGAAAAAAAAAATCATTGCTAGCAAATATTTACAGAAAAGAAACGGAAATAAATAAAGTCTAAGCTCAGTAAATGTAAATTAATATTATAAAATCCCTATTTTATTTTTTCAAAGAAGTGGTTATAATTTTTTATCAATAGCATCTGATTTCTTCTGGGTTTGGGATAAAACTAAATTTCTTGTTTTCTTCAAGCTCTTTTATTTTTTTCTATTAATATATTTTAAATTTTATTAGAATCACTACCAGTCTTTAGTTTTTTAGAAGAAACAACTTATGTCATGGAAATACTTTGCTCAAACTATGATTAAAGTCAAGAGATTAAATTCACAATTTATAAACCTCGGTAAGAAAATACAGTTAAATTTCTTCGACTTTTCCTGATTGTCAAGGACTGGTCAAAATCAATTAAATATATTTTGCTGACTACTTATACTGAGAGAGATAAACATAAATCAAGCATTCAACCACTATGTCTTATCACTAAACTCAGACATTCAGCGCCCCCGGGCAATGAAGTCATCCCCCCTCCTAAAAATATTAAATTTATTTCTTAAAATATTTTAAATTATGTAATATTTGAATTTTATTTAATTCAATATTTCTATAATACAGCTGCTTTATTGATAGGCTAAAATTAACTATTTTAATACGTTTTGTATTTTTAATTAATGTGTAACAATTGGCAAGCACCCTTAAGATCAGTCGGCGCCCCCAATGGGGGCTCGTCCTAAAGCCGGTACTCACTAAACCAATAGAATAAACACAATTTAGAAAGGATCTCTTAGATTAGTTGCATGTGCCGAAGAGTCAAAACACCATTCTTCAACAGTTTTATTAAGTTATATTAAATTATTCTTCAGTGAAAGGTCAAAATTTTAAACTATAATGTTACCTGATGCGAGTGAAGCGGGCTCGCATGGTTGGGAGATAATTTTATTCTCTTTACGTCGTGATGATCTAAATCTTCCGTACTACTATCGTTAAAAGCAGGTAATAAGTCTTCTCTTCCATGATATTTGTAACAATTTATAACAATTTGCCTAAGCGCATGGGTCCAAGATGTCTAAAAAAAAAGTTAAACATTTTTTTAATCTCATTTATATATTCATGATAAATTGTAACATTCATTCATACCATTCAAAATTCATCTTATCTTCCAAATACCTATATTTAAAGTATTACCTTATCCTCAGATTAAACTGCAATATAGCCAATAATTATCATATAAAAAGAACAATAATTAAAATAATATATTATTGAAATATTTAATTAAAAACAAACTGATTATAATAATATGTTTAAATTAAACTTATTAATTTCTTTCTAAATTATAAATAGGAGTAGCTAAAATTTGTGTCCATGCCTCAATAGTTACACAGGGCTAGGAACATTCAAGGTTTTTAAAAACTGTGTTACACTTTCAACCTTTATTGATAAGATACAGGACACAGAAAAGTTATTCCATAACTTCTACAGTCTAACTGACTACAATGCTACCGGGAATAAGTGCCTATTTACATAACAATAAATATCTTATCAGTAATAATTCTGGATGGAAAAATATTTTCACAATATTATGGATATCCTCAAAACCAGAAAAATTGTGTTAAATTTGGTGACTTGGGTATTTATTTAACTTGTTTATGCTGGCATGTACAGGGGCACGCATTTAAATGTACTACCAGGAGGTGCGTAGCATCAAAAATTAAACTAATGAAAATTTAGAGTATAATAATTAAAAACATTCAACCCCAAAGGTGGTTTTGGGATTGGAAACCAGAAAGAAGATGGCAACGACTTATATTTGTGACGACATAAGACCAATGTAAAAATTGTGAAATAAATAAAAAAAGTAATAATTAAAACATTTATTTTTAATAACAATTATAATTACTAACGTATTATAAACATAACTTTAATTTAATAAATATAAACAATGGTTACTCTTGCAATAAATTTTTGTTTTATGCTTTAGTTCGGGCCCGTCCAATAGAGGTTAGAGCTTTACGTGTAGCTGCCATTTGCTCATGAAAAAGAAACGTGAATTGCAGTTCTGGCATGAATGTACTATGGATGAAATTTCTTAACAAGATTGTTGATATTGATGGGAAGAAATAGCTAAGTTTCGTTCATACCTAAATTGCACATATGAGCGAATTACGAGTATACCTACCTCTTTGACTTTCTGAGGAAGGCGGCCAATTTTAAATCATATTTTACAAATACACTTTTTTAAGACTTAAAGGTGTTCTTATCATTAACTGAGAACCAAAAATATCTAAAGAAGTTTTGTAGGACAATAACATCGAATATCTAACAAAAATTACCACTAAACTTCCTATAACAAATTATGCTATTCTGTTGAAGTGGGCGGCAATGGAGTGAATAGTATAGACAAGAAAATTAATTTTCATGAAATATTAGCAGGAAAAATGTTATTGATGGAAACAAAGGTCAACAGATTACCTATAAAAATAAACAATGACAGAAATCTATACTACCAGTAAGATGGATCCGGAAAAAAACTTCAAAATTGTTTTATAATCACCCCATTTAACAGTATAAGAGTAAAAAAAATGTATGAATTAAAAAATAAGGCTTTCTTCGAATATCCGATCATATCCATCAATGGAATCTCTTACAATAGTAGGTTTCTGGAGGTTAAATGTTCTTTCACATGACCCCCAAAAAATAATGACATTTAAGTCAACTCACATTTTTGGACCATTCGATTTGAAATGGTAATTCCAACAAAGTATAAAAAAAAAGCACCATAAGCCCTTATTGCAGCCATGTCCTCAATTACATTTCTTTTTAAATTATATTCTCATTAAAACTGTTTTAGTTAACATTTAATTATTTTTTCTCTTCAATTTGAAATATAACATTAAATTTAGTAGATTTCTTTATGAAATATAAAAAATAAAAAAAATGTTTAGCAAAAATTGATATTACGTGTTCATAACAAAATAAATCAATGTTTAATTGAAATAAAATGTTGAGTAATATCACTTTGAAATAATTTTTTTTCTTTAATGGCCAAATTACCTTCTGTTTTTCATCGCAAGACCTAGCATCCATTCGGACATTGGCCCAAGGCAAGTCTTGAGGCCACCAAGGAGGTTTTGTACTTTCTCGACCCCACCCTGGCTTTCCATTACCTAAAATAAAGATAATTTTCAAAATTTGAAAAACATCAAACATTAAATTTATGAAATAGAACACCAAATAACTAAAATAAGAAATAATAAAATCCCAATTATTTAGTTAAATGCAAAGGTTAAATTTCTATCAAATTTTTTTAATATAAAAGTCTTGAAAAAAATACAAAAAAAACAGTGAAGTAGTATTAGTAATTGGTAAAGTACTTTTCCTTTCTTCTTGACAATTGGGCTCTCTAAAATTCTTTACGATAATGAAAAGTTATGGCAGTTAAAGTGTCTAAATCAGTGAGATTATCAAAGAAAATTGTCGAAGTAAGGTGGAGTTTTTGTCAAATGAAAATGAAAATTTTTCCAGTTTTTAATTTAAAGAAGTTTATAGAAAAATTATACTTCATATTCTGAGGTGCATCCCTTGCTGAATATAAATAAAATTTAATAGACAGTAAAAATATTTTTTTTAAATAATCAGTCAGGTAAATACTAAAATCCACCCATTGAAAAATCGATTTTTATTTTTTAATGTAAGTGGTGATTTACTGATTACTATTGATAAAACTATAAAACATCGCCTGCTGGCATTTAATTACAAATATATATTAATTTCTAATCAATTATGTATTAATTACTATTACTTTTCAAACTAATAATATTTAATATCAGAGGGACTATTGTTGTTAGTACGGCGTTTTCCGCCTTTTTGTTCTTTTTTGGTTGTTCATCTAGACAACAGCAAACAATGTCCAAGAAGGGATTTAATGATGAGCACCTCATCGAAATACTGATATTCCTTCTCTTATGAACATTTTCTGTTCTTTTTCCTTCTCAAATAAAAAAGCGGAATCAGAGATGTTCATTATTATAGGATGTTCATTTTTATTATTAAGGATGTCCATCTTTTTATCTTTGAAGATACAGCGAAATGTTCGAAGGTTATAACAACCCCAGTGAGCAGTTTCAGCGGTTGGCAGTGTGGAATAGCGGTCGCTGTCGTGGACCGCGCCAGCGAAATAGTACCTTTAATATTACATATGTTATTTACTGCTTCAAATTTTATTTTATTTATTTATCCCACGTCGAGTTAAAACTTAACTCTTAATTTTGAATAAAAGGTATAAATCAAAGGTATTCAAATTTGTTTCTGAGCCAGTATTTTCAAATTAAAATAACACTTTTTATATATGAAAAAGTAAATAAAATAATTAAACCTACCCGTGGAAAACTTGAGCATTAACGGTATAAATGCTCGTAATTGGGCTTGGGTCATCTTCTCAACAGGCGTCGGGATCCCATCAATGACTAGAGGAGGAAGTTCATAAAGACTAGGATCCTCCTGGGCAGGGGCCGGTGCCTGTTCGCTGAGTGCAGTCTCTAACTCGCTTAAAATAGCTGATCTCAGATTCTTTATCTTGAAAACAAAATATAATTTAGCGGTACAATTTAATTTCAACATCATATCATAAAAAATTATAATCGGAAAAGAAGTTCATATCCTAATTAAAGATTACTTACAACATCTTCAAGCGGTTTCGCGCCAAAACATTTAAAAGCGCCATTGGGCTTGCCTGGAGTCGCGACAACAACAACAGCTTGTTGTCCAACTCTGGTAGCTAGCTCATCAATAGTGTACTATAAAAAAAAAAACAGGAATATATAAATATAAAAAATTTTCAAAATTTTTGCAAATCGTATTGTTAGTTAATCCGAGAGACATTGAGAACTTACACTTAATTTTCTAAGTAGTCGATTATGTTGTCGCTTCCTAATGGAAGGATTAGTTTCGAATACATGCGGGCGTTTTCTTTTCTTTGTAGAAACAATGGCTGCAGCAGCAGCTAAACCAGCTGGTCCTGCAAAGCGTGCAATTAATAAAACTAATCAAATTTAAAGAAAATACAATGTAAAGGAATTCAACTAATATTAATAATAGAATAAATATAATTTTATTGAGGACTATCAGTTTTCTCTGAAGTTGAAGAAATTAATAGGGAGTGTTGATCAACATTAATTACTACTAAAAATGTCAACAAATTGCTTTGTTAGAACTTTATTAATAAACTTTGTTTTCAACCAAATAAATCAATTAAAAATAGGAAACGTCAGGAAAAAGATGTACTGAATGTTTTCATATTTTAATAAAAAAAATCCAAACGATCACAACCAAAAATAAAATGATTCCGTATAAATCAGCTTTAAGACCAAACTCTTAACAAGTGCCTATATCTATAAGGAGCTCAATATTTAAACTGACATGAAAAAAAAGTACAAATATTTTTTTTTACACAACAAATAGATAAGAACCAAATATATCCTACAAACAAGAATATATAATAATTCACAAATAACTATTACAATATTACAAATTAATTCAAACCTTTTTATTTTAATTATGCTGCTGTTCATCAAACTTTGATAACTGAAATAGGTAATTAAACAAAAACTTAAATGAGCAGAAACAAACATTTAAAAACCTGTATTTTATTTGACAAAGGACAGAACTAGAACGAAAATTCCGAAATGATAAGTTGACAGATCATAACAGTACAAATATTTTTTGAAGATTTAGATGCAGACATCAATACCCAGTACATTTTAAAAAAAACCTTAAGCCAAAAGCGTTTTAAAACTCTAAAATCTAAAGTTTTTAAGATAAAATTTTTGGCGATAATCTCTTAAGTACCACATTATTTTTATCACATTTTGTTTATGTTTTTAAAAATGAAAATTTTGAGATGGATATGTAATTAACTATTGAAATTGTAAGTATGAAAAATGGTCAGGATGTGCAGTCAAAAAAGTATGTTTACTAATAATTTTGATAATTAATAATTTTTGACAGCACAACATGACCATTTTTCATCCTTAAAAACAAAAATATTTGGAAGCGAGGATAACAGGAAAGAGACCTTATTAGAAGTATAGACTGCAATTTAGGCGTCGGTAGTTACAGTTATAAAAAAAACCTTTTGTGGACATTATAATTTTATAGCGGTGATGAAGTTCTCATCCAAGGTCTATAAACCAAAGTTCCTGCTCATCTGCACCAACCTTTGTATCAGCAATTACAATGCTGGGTTAATATTAGTTTAAGAATAGCTGAGTTGTATTGCTTAACTAAAGAGATATTTTCCTGCGAGAGAATTTAATTATTTATAATTTTAACTATAACTTGAATATAATTATTATAAAGTATGAGGCTTCACCAATGGTGTGATTTGAATAGACTTTCTTGATAAAAACATATATTTTTTATACAAATAAAAATGTTTTACTAATAGCATTTATACTTCAGATATATCAGAGAAAAAAAGAATAAATGTATAATGCGAGCTTTATCACATATACTAGAAAGTAAATATTAGCCCTAAAAGCAAATAAATATTACAATATAATAGATGATGAAAATATTTTAAAACGGGTAAGGAATAAAAATTTGCAAAATTTATGTGATGAGTGAACCATACCAGATTGCTTTTAAAATATTGATTCAGTTTTATTATTTCTTAATTTCTCTACTGTTTACATAAAATCAATTATATTATTCATAATAGTTTCTGTAAACTAATTACGAAACTAATTTAGGATTCCTACCCGTTTTTTCTAAAAAATTGACTTTTACAAATTAGTGTATTTGATTAATAATTATTCTTGTTTCCTATACCAAAAATTTATCTTTTTTTTCATAGAATTTCATCTTTTTTATATATTATAATAGTTATTTTTCTTTCAGTTTTTTTTTTTTTTTATTAAAAAAAAAACACTATTCTTAACAATATTAAGGAAAAAATATTATGATAATATTTAAAATGTACCTTAATTTTAATTATTTTTTTTCTTACTGAATCGTGTGCATTCTAAAACGACTAAATTCGAGTGGTAACAGTGATGCATCAAGCAAATATAAGTATTAAGTCAAAATCTTAGGGAATCTTTTCTAACAGAAGTAAGCTGTGGAATCATTTTGTTATCACAACTCTGAGAAGATGAAAAAAATGATCTTACTTATTATTAATAATAGGCATTAATGCTTAGGAGATGAGAAACTAAACCATTATGCTAATAGCACCAAAATGTTTTTGAGACTGTATATAGGCTTGGTATATAATAGATTCCTCACAGCATCTAGCCTACGCAAATGACGTGGTAATATCGGCTAGATCAAAAGCATCTTTATTGGGGGCATTTGATGAGTTCGAAAACACTGAAAAGACAGTATATATGAAGTCAACAAGAAATCCACCAGAAAGATTGGAAGAAATGATTAAATTTGGAAGCTATACCTTCAGAATAGCAAGCCAGTTTAAGTATTTGGGTGCTCTTGTCACATCAAAGAATGAACACCAAGAAGAAATTAAGGCAAGAGTAGATGCTGGAAACAGGTGCTATTACGCTCTTCGAAAAACCATTAAAATTCAGAAGCCTGACCAATAGAGCTAAGGTCATAAGGTCATTAGGACAGTTGTATCTTATGAATGTGAGACTTGGGTACTCTCCAAAGAAAGTGAAAGAATGTTAAAAGTTTGGGAAAGGCAAATACTCAGCAGAATATATGGACCTGTCTGCGAGAACGGCAACTGAAGAATAGGAAAGAATGAGGAGCTGAAAAAAATGGTCCAAGAATCAGATTTGGTTTCTTTTGTTAGAATCAGTTGAGGTGGCTGGGACATTATAAATTATAGAACAGTACAATAATTGTTTTAAGTATACTAGAATATAAGAATCGAGAAATAAATTTGAAAAATTGGACAAACAACAAAAAAATGGTTTAATTATTAACTCTTCACCAATTTAAATTATTATTTAGAGATGACATTTTCCAAATAGGTACAAATATAAGTTGTATTTTAAATCAAACATATATGTTCTTTTCTGCAACAGACTAAAAATGTTTGCATATTACTACTTTTTATTTAAAAAACATTTTCCTGACAAAAACAAAAGTTTTTATTCATTTAAGAACGTCTCTAATAAACAAAACAATAATATAATAGCCAGAAGTGAATTATAGGTAATTTGTGAAATAATAAAATCAAATTTAAAGAAAAATACAAATGAAACTGTTAAGTTTCTGTAGTTTACAAAAATTTTCCTTCGGACTAACAGAAGATAGCATGAAAAGTATGGAAGAGGTATAATTCATATAATCTCATACAAATCATAACAGGAATGGAACCAATTTTTATAATTTTTTACAAAAAAACCAAGCTTAAATTTCTGCCCCTTCTTTCACTACCCTCAGCCCCGATAACCGTCAATACAGTTTTACAAAAGTAATTTAAGTAATATATTTCCAAATATATATCATCATCTTATAATATTAACTTATTTTATTAATTGTGCAAAGTATTGATCAAAAACAAATGCTTTTAATAACCAAATACTTTTTACTCAAAATATCAAATCACTTAGCTTGGACAAAAAAATGTTCCTAAAGTCAATTTGGCATAAAAATCAATAATAAAAGTAAAATATAATCCATGGCTAAGAAAAAGATATGAAGTCACTAATTCAACAGCAAAACATTTCATCAGAAAAATATTTAATTGTTTTAAAATAAGAAATTCATAAGCCAAGTAATAAAATGTAAATATTTTCATTTAAAGCATTTACTTGTAAAAAACAAATAAAATGACCTATCCTGTCAAATGGTATTCTTTTAATATCAGAGTTTGATATTTATTTCCGGAAGTAAAAATTATGCACTTAATATCACTAATAAATATATATATACATATTTAAATTAAGAAAAAGTAGTTTAAATAAAATATTTCAATACTGACATTTCATTATTTGAACAAGGCTTTTTTCTATTCAATCACCTCATGTAAATAAAAGTTAAGTAGCAAATGAAAAGAGATACTTAAATAGATAAAAACTAATAACTACCATAATTTGAATATAATAGTCAACAAAAGATGAAAATAACTAAATTTTACAGTTTTATTATTGAATAAGTTGTGTCACTTTAATCAATACAAACCAATAAAATACTTTAATATCAACGAGTTCATAGCAAATTTCATGCGACAAGAATCATTAAGAAAAGCCACTATAAAACACTGGAAATTGAAAACAATTTCAGAAACTAAAGATTGCTGTTTTATTATGTAAATAAAATAAAATTCTTAAGCCTGTGATATAATTAATGGAAACTAATAATCTCCATATATTGTCGTAGAACGTTTTATGTTCTATGATGTGAGAAATATTAACACTAAACAACTAACATTTAAAACATCAATTTTTGGTATATTACAGCTACAAAAATATAAATAAAAACATACCTGCAGCAGCTAACTGGGCAGTAATTTCAGAGTTGTGGAGGGCAACGGACATAAGATCCTCTTCACCACCAGTTTCTTCGCCACAATCTCCATAATCAGAGAGATCTCCTTCGCCTCCACTCCCTTCCATCCTAAACCCCTCATATACATGAATGATGCTTCAAGTTACAATCAATATATATACATAAATAAATGAGAAACAAACAGCCTATAAAAACTAATTTAAATCAAGCAAAAAAACTTGGTTAAGACAAAACATATTTTTAATTTAATTTTAATTTTGGCCATGAAAACCTTGGAAAACTACAATATATTTTAACTTAACGTTGTCAAGAGAGGACATCAACAGAGTATAACCCTGGTTGAACTCATGCAGGTTACTCCAAACAATTTTTAACACAGCTATGGTACTACAAGAAGCAAGATAATTCCTAAGATAGTGTACGACTGCGTACGCACCTGCGTGTGAGCTCTTAATTTAAAAGGGATTCATTAAAGTACACCAGAAAACAACGAGGTATAGTAACAACCCTTTATTCAAACAAATAACAACTCAACCACCCGAGTCCCGTAATATAAGTAGGCATACTTCCTTTCTTCTCAAGTCACCCATGTTTATCGATTGATAACACATTTTAGTCCCAGCCAAAGGCCATATATATGGGTCGCCATGTTGTTAGAGTTTGCGCATACAACACTTTATGCCTTCGCGCACTTCATTTGTGCGCAATGAAATTCAAGTTCTACCAGTTTTATAAAGATGTCAGACGGAACGTGCAGACTGTGTATCAAAAAGATTTTTGACTTACATTTCTAGCTGAAAAGAAGCAATCTTTCCACCCCTATCTACACTAGTACCCATCAACAACATAATTTTCTCGACAGTGTTGCCACTACTTGACTGTCTAGTTAAAATTTTCAACATTTTTCTAGATACTCCGTTGATGCCAATATTAATTTCCACAATGCTGTAAGCGTTGTCATGCTTTTATTTCATTAAACAAAGATTTTCATTGCCAAATAATTTAATTTATTGTGTTAAATTGTAAAATTTAAATTGGATTTGTGGATTAAGTTTGATATTGTCATAAATTTGTGTTATTTATTTAATATATAGACGTACTGCATAACACCTCTCACCGAGCTTAGAATTTTAAATATATAATTGACAAACAAAACTAAAAACAATTAATTTCCAGACATAGAAATACATAATTGATTCGAACATTAGGTAAATGTTTATATTATTCATAGGATAGTTATATATTTTGAGAAGGATAAGATAAAGTTTAATAATAAATGAATGAAAAAAAACCTAATCCAACTAAGGACTTAACATTTAATGTGTATAGTGCTATTTTGCCTCATAATACTGCTAGCGATTTTATTTACATAGTTTTATTCTTTAGAGGGGGATATTTTTGTAGATAGTTTTCCTAAAATTATGAGGATGACAATCAATCATTGTTTAAAACCTATCTACACTGCTAATCCTGTTTATATATTCTCATAATTTTAGTTCTTGTGAACTAATTTAATTGTATAAAGAAGAAGAAAAGTAAATTTTATTCTGGCTCATTTAGTCCTCTAAGGTTTAAGAAATTTTAAAAATATTTTTTCATAACCACCAAAGTTGAATTTAATTGTTCGGTTACCCTATTCACTGGAGAAAACAAAGTTTAATAATAGAGGGAAAAACCTAATTCTAGGTGAAACTTAACACTTTATAATGTATAGTCTCACTCTGTCCCTATATATTACCAATGATTTATTAATTTCTAAAAGCGATTGTTATAAATACTGATTTAAAATAATATCCATAGCATAATAAACATTTATGTTAATGTTTTCATTCAGAGACCCTTTTCAATTTGTAGGTCTCCTTTTTAATTAATAAGTCATAAATAATGTTTATAACTACAAACTTACTAATAATAATGAATTTCAACAATTCTAATTCATTTCTTTAGTATTTTACTCGAATATTTACCATATAATTTATAATGCTAAAATAAATTAAATTAAGATAAGTTTCTTAATGGATAGAATTTGTATCAAACAAGGTAAATTAAATAAAGTTTAATAAAATATGATGTAACACAATACAAGTATCAATTTTATTTTATTTATTTATAACAATGGGGGGCTCCTCAACCTCTTACTGGTGATTTTAGCCCTTACACAGTATTTATAACAAGTATCAATTAAGAATTATTTTTAAATAATTCAAATTCTTAAGTAATTTGAACCTATTAAAGTATAAAATTAATAGTCCAACCAGGGATTGGTAAAATTTAGTTATTACTTATATCTATTTAGTTATTACTTATATCTATATTTTAAATTTAAAAAAACCTATTTCATCTAAAATTAATCCAGAAACAATTTCATTAGTGCAGTAATTAATTTAGATTTTGCTTGTAAAATATATTCAAAAGATAATTAATACCTGACAAATTTATTTTACTTAAACTTTAAAGTAACATCTCTTAAATAAATATTCTAATTTATTTAATTACAAATGCTTAGTGATGGTGATAGCTTGAAATAATATTCTTAATTTCGTAAAATATTTATATCCTATATGTTTGTTATAGTTTATTGATAATATAAATGGTATTATGGGAGGAACTTTTACTAAGGGGATTGTTGACCAAAACTTTAGTTCAGAGCCACCGACACCAAATTGTCGAGATTTGATATTTTAAATAAATTTCATATAAAACCATGCTTCTGATCATAATAATCCAAATTTCTTCGATGTTATTAATGATTTATCAACTTTTGTCATTTTATAAATCTAAAATGGATTCCTTAAAATTTAACGACTAATTTATAAGAAAATATTGCTTCATCAGTCTATCATAGGGGCCAAAGAAAATAAGTAAAAGTGGAAAATTTTGAGATATGCATGTGATCTATTATCAAGCTACAATCTTTGGGATTTAAAACAAGTTGTTTAATTTTATCACATTTGGGACAATATCTCCAACTTGGCAAAACTAGAAGTAACAAGAGACAATGAGGTTGGGAAGTCTCAAAATTTTAAATACCTACAACAATCGCAGTACTTTCTTTTTGTACAAGTATGATGGATCAAACCATGGCCCCAACTAGGGAGGGTCAAAGAGGACACAATTATGGGGCAGTACATTTAGATGAACGCGTTTTTTTTTTTCTCCCCTTCCTTGCCTTTTAGGCTACAAGAGTTTTTCCTGGTCCTGAGGAGAAGTCAAGGGAATTATGCCGAGTTAAAATTCCTACTGATACCGGGATTTGAACTTATATTTTTTCATCTAAATTCGTTTATCAAGTTGCCAACGCGCGTTGCTGTGCACACGCATTAGCCCACTCGGCCACCCCGCCCCCCAATTTAGATCTATTTTGACTTTTATTAGGAAAGCGGGGGTAGATGAAAGTAGGGGTAGTAAAAATGAGCTTAACACTCTTTGCGAAAAAACTAGTTCCAGCCCGGAGTCATATGAAATGTCTTCTCTAACTTTTCCCTATTCCTAAATCCCGATGCATCACTTAAGATGCCACTCTGGTACTTGGAAGAAATCATACAGTTGATGAGAAGAAGAGGTATAGCCAGGAGAGTTTCTAGCGCACTTTTTGATCTGATGAACTAATCTCACCCACTCTTCTTTACATCGGACTAAGGAATTTTTTTTTACAGTTGCTTATCACAAGCCTCTGGTCGAGCTGGAAAATACTTTAAGAAATCTCCATATCCTAGAAAGGCGTCTCAAAATCGTATTACATATCATGTTTTTTCCTGACGAACTAATTTATTATTCAGCCGATTCTATCATAAAATCTCACACTATACCACACAAACTTCTATTGAAAGTTTCTATTTCCTGAATATCTCTCGAGAAGAATTACTCTTTTAGGTTCTTGAAATTGTAAAAGTGTAGAAATGTAGGTTCTTAGGGATCGTAATAATAAGCTGCGGCCAGATAGACGCTTAGAGATATCAAACAGGATATCCAAAGCAATTCAGGTACACTATCAGATCACTAATACTATCCTCGGCTACATTGAGGTGGATGGGAAATCTAAGATCACGTATATAAGTCAATCTATCTGTCTATTCTCAGCTGTGGCAGAGAAAGCTGGTCCATGTTGGTCTGACATTATAAAAAAAATAAAAAAGGCCATACTTTGAAAACGATTCTTGTCTGCGAGTAGTCTCCAGACCTTAGCAGGTCGCCTATGAGAGTAGACCATTATCCAGTTGCATAAGATGATGGATTAATCCATTATAAGTATTATAAATCACTTAAAAACTCAATGAAGCGTCACGAACTTATCCTAAATATATACTATTTAAAAATTCCAAATAAACAAAAATAATGTGGATTTTGGGAAACCAATAAAATAAGTACAAGTAGCCTTTAGTGCGTCCATGTATTATGAAGGATATTGAACGAAGCCAAGAAATTTTTAATTTTCAAAAGATAAGAAACGGTTGCAATACATATACAGTACTATTATGTATTCTGTTTATGCAAGAAACAACTGTCACACATGAACCAGGAATTGCCGAATTTCTGGTTACGCTCAAAAAGACCATGAGGAAAACCCATCTCACCGAAGTCGACGGTACATGCCCTTCCTCCCTCCTCTCAAGAAATTTAATTGGTCTCCTTTTCGTAATAACGTTGTTTTTTTTAACTATCTCGCCATTTTGGATATACGTAGAGGGGATCGTTCAAGGGGTACAACCAAACCTATTCTGACCAGAGTGTCACGCTACAGTGAACTTCCCTGGTTTGGAAGTTCCTCCAAATTGAAACCCTAGGATAATCGGTTTCTTCTAAAAATTCATAACTCCGTTAAAATGTTCCCCTCAAAATTTAATGGCGCACATTGCGTGAGGAAACCTCCTGGGCATCCATGTAAACACCAACATAGTGTCTCAAGTTTTGAACGCCCTCTATGAAAGAAAGAAAAGTAAATATTATTCTGGGACATTTAAGTCTCTTAAGAATAATTATAATGAACATAAAAGTGACGTTTGTTTGGCTTCAAAAGACAAACAATTAAGTTAAATATTTATCCGAACCTGAAATCAAAATAACAAAGCACAAGTAAACACTCTAAATCATAGATAAATATATAAGAGTATGCTCACATATTTGTATTTGTAATAAAGATAAATAACATATAAGTATCCGTTAGACAACAGTGAAATGAGGACGACAGCTCTTAAATATAAAAATTGTAGTCTTGCATATACCTGGAAGATTACTTACTGAGGAAATGGAAGAATATATGGTGTTTAAATGAGGTTAAGAAAGAGAATTTTCGTATGGATGTAGGGAAGAAATTCCAAAAACAAGGTAGCTCATGTGACAAATAATTTTTTTAAAGGAACAGTTCTCTGAGAAGGAATAAACAGATTTGTGGGCTAGGATCTCGCGCTAAACGAATGGACAAAAGAATAAGGAATAAATAAATCAAGAAGGAGAGATGTCTTTTTGGTTGTAAAGGTTTGAAAAAGGAATACACCTAAGAAATATTGCCTTTGGAAAACTGGCGTGAAGTACTTCAACTCGGTATACCAACTGGAGACGTAGGAGAGCTTGGGGAGTTCAAAGATGAATCTAATAAAACAATTCATTAGTCTCTTCAATCTGATCTTAAGCCCACCAGACAGTCCTATCGCATATAAGACAGCCATAATCGAACTCGGTGAAAATGAGAGAGGAAACAAGAAGCTGACGGGTTTTATTGGGCATGATCTCTATATCTTCTTGTAACCTTTGGGTAACTTCAAGTATTTCGGTTGGATAAAACGACTGATAGATTTGTAAGTCGTCCGCATACAGGTGGTAATGTGAATGGTGCATGAAATCAGGCAAATCGTTATTATAAGTAAGAAAAGAGTGTGTGAGAGCGGAGATTCCTGAGGATCACTGCGAGTTAGTTAGATGGGGGAGGAAGGAGTTTTATTTTGAATTATAACTATTTGGGATCTGTGATAGAAGAAGGAATGGAATCACTGCATACAACTCTTTGATACAGAGAGGTTTTGGATTTTGGAAAGAAGGATTTCGTGATTAACTGAATAGAAGGCTTTGAAAAAATCAAAGAGAACCATTATAGACATTTTATGCTAGGCTGTGGAATATTGAAAGACTTAAGCAATTTTTAACAAAGCCGATTGGGTGGAGAACTGGGATTAGAAACCAGAGTGGAAGGGATTGAGGAAAGCTTTTTGCTGCGGTAAGGTATTAAGCTATGAATGAACTACTCTTTCAAGTCTTTTTGAAAGATTAGAGAAAATGGAGATAAGTCTAAAATGGGAAATTTTATAAGAAACCGAAATTTTGCTTAGAGGACAAACTATAATTTTTTTCCAAGCAGATGGAAAACTGGAACTTTGTAAGGAAAAATTGTAAATGTGTATTAGGGCAGGAATATATAGTTTAGTTAACTTCACAGGAATTATGTCCGATCATAGTCCTTTCGTTCTGAATTTGAAGACAGAGGGATGAAGATCCTCTAGTAAAATATTTGTAAAATAGAAATTTTTAAGGATGAAGGAAGTTTTTGGAATACAGTATAAGAAGAACTGTATTAGGATAAGATCGGCAAAGAAAAAAAATCATATTATCAGGGAAAACAGGAAGCAGTATTCATAGAGTAATACTGCAAATTTATTAAAGAAAAACATTTAATTTGAAAACCTCTTTGCCATTGTTATCAATTATTCTTATCCTTATCCCGGTAAGCTGTTTTCGAATTATATAGACGTGCTTCATCATTGATCAATCGTTTGTCAGCACTTATTACTGTGTTAAAAGAGGAATTGATCAGCTTTAATTCATTTAATTTTTTTAGCCCTATAAAAAATCTAATCATCATTAAAAATGTCTGATACTGTTAATAAGGTAATTTTCTTCTCCATTCTTTACTGTGTGAGACTATTATATTACTTTATAAACATTGTTAGGTGATAATGACTTGTCAGAAACTTTATGACAACTTATTTGCTGTATAAATTTTTACAATAACTTTGAACAATATTTAATTTGTTCTCTAAAATTTGGTGGAACTACAGCAAATCTCTTCACTTATTTATTAAGATAAGTTAGCTTAAAGTATGATGCAATATTGTCACATTTCAATGAATTATAATTCTATGGGAATGTCCTGATATATGTGACCATGTTGGTGTTTTTTTTTTGGAGGTGAAATATTTGTTTTATTTGGACCTATGTCCTACCTAAGAGATTCTAGGAACTAATAGCAATTACATTGGGCACCACTTTACAAATGTCCCTCTAACTTCTCCAGTAGGCCAATATCCCTTGTTCAAGGTATAAATGACCTTTCTTTTCTTTAGATCACGATTTATGACTTCGGCAAACTCCCAACTGGTCTTTTTCATAATTTGTTTTGGAAAAATTAAAAACAAAAGTCAGTCATCAGTTGCCATAATTAAAATGGCATCGCCGTCTGGTGTAAGGCTGTAAATGTTTTGTGATGTGACATCACATTACTAATACTTATTATATACCATTAATACTTTTTTATGCATTGGGACACATTTCTTGTGAGCTTGATTGTTTTATTCATCTCTTTTGAACTAGTTAAAATAGTTAATAAATTATCTATTTTAACAACGGAATGAAACAGTTAATTTATTAACTACTGTTTTTATTTTAGAATTAAAACAGATATTTTATTAACTGTTAATTAATTAATTACTTAAAATACCAAGACAGTAAACCATAATAAATAAGTAGGACAGTGAATGAAAATATCTATCAAACAATTATAAAGGACAAACATAGAATATATAATTTATTATAACTGTGCTTTATTTACGATAGGGGATTCATAATTGACTGCAATAGATATATTGAAGAAAAGTTGGTTGCGATGTTCGTTCAAACAAAGGAAAAAGAAAAAAGAAATAAATAATATTTATTTTTATTTTGGTCCAAGTTTCAGGGCTGTTCTCATGATAGATGCCGTAAGACAAACAAACCAACCGATTTCCCTTCAATATACTGTATTTAATTTTCATTATACTATTTATTTAGTTGTTATTATCCTTTAATAAATCCTTTCATTTATTAACATATGTTTATTTTTGAGGAGTTGGTTCTGGGTTGCAGTCAAATGAATACTAAATATCAAAGTAGTATTTTATTGTTTATGCCTAATAATAATATATTTATAGTATTCATTTGACCATTTCATTTCTTTTGATGTATAGTATTCATTTGACAGCACTAACCGACCAACTCCTCATATTATCATCACGGTCAACCATCTCTACACTATTACGTTTGTTTTTAGTTGTTATTTGTAATTGAATTACTTAATTTGTGTTTCAGGTGATTAAATGTCGCGCTGCTGTTGCTTGGTCTGAGAAAGCACCCTTGAGTATTGAAGAAATAAGCGTTGATCCACCGAAAGCATTTGAGGTGCGAATTAAAATTTTAAAAACAGCACTATGTCATACAGATGCATATACTCTAGGCGGTCATGATCCTGAAGGTCTTTTTCCTTGTGTTCTCGGTCATGAAGGAGCTGGGATCGTTGAAAGTGTAGGTGAAGGAGTGACAACTGTACAACCTGGTAAGATGCCTATATTTTTTATTAAAGTATATGATTTTACTCCTTCCTTCATATTTTTATCTACTATATTAACAAAATTTCAAGTTTAATCAGTAATTTACATTGTTCTAGTCTCGTCTATAAAATTATCTAATAACGAATAGTTATTGGTAAAAAAAGTCTAATAATATTATTGGAAAGAATAATTTATTGCCTGTAATCACCGAAGTTTCTAAAATACAAGTAGATAATTTTGATTTTGCTAATACATTTCTAATCATTTTGCAGGAGATCATGTAATACCTTTGTATACTCCTCAGTGCAAGGAATGCAAATTCTGTAAGTCACCGAAGACCAATTTATGTGGTAAAATTCGTCTTACTCAGGTATGTTGATGATCATTTTATATTCTAAAAGGATTTGTATTTTCAATATTTTTGTAAATTAAAATATTTTTATTATGAAAAAGTTCTTGAAAAATCATATAATTGCTTGTCTTGAGTTTGCTCTACAAATATAAAAAATAAAATCAATTTTTTTTTCCTCTCCTTTCCATGACCTAAAATTTCTAGTGTGATTTCAGTATTTGAAAATATTGAAAAGTGGAACTTATTTTAAGAACTTCAATAAATAAAAGTTAAACTTTTACCATAAACCTGGAACTTTACTACAAATAAGTTTTTTAAAAGTTTTATTTTAAGAATTTTTTCCTAAAAAGTTTCACGGAAACTATTGAAATTGAACTTTTTTCCTAAACATTTTCACAGAACCAGTTAAAATGCAACTTTTTAAAAAAGTTTTAACCGCTGGTTTCAATGTATTTAGAACTCAAGTGAAAATAAAATTCATATAAATAAAAAACATATTTTAAGTTTAGTGAATATAATATCTCTTTTTAATGGTATTGTTGGTTATTTTATTGTCTAAAACAGTGTACAATTATTATTCTGTACGCATAAAAAAATCATAAAACTTAAAAAAAAAATAAAAAAATTTAAAAGGTCCTTAAAAAACATTAATAGTGATCAATAGATAGATAGTGGAATTAGTTTCCTAAATGATTGTTACTCAAGACATTGAGAGTATATTAATAATGATAATAATAATAAAAGGCTTAGCAAAAAGCGTTTGATGCCGACAGCACCAACCGTTTATTACACACCTCCCTCCACCGTTCTCCATCTAAACCCAATCTCTTCAGATCAGCTTTAACTCAATCTTCCCACCTTCACTTCAGTCTACCACTCGAACGTTTACCATACGGTACAGAAAATATTAACCTTACAGGAATTCTTTCGTCGCTAGAGAGTATATTATTACAGATTAAATTTTTTATTTTAAAATATTTAATGTTAATAAATTCAATTATTTACACTGATTATCACAAATAATAACATTTTACTAATTTTTAGGGGCAAGGACTTATGCCTGATGGTACCTCCCGGTTTACTTGTAAAGGAAAAACATTATTCCATTTCATGGGTTGTTCAACTTTTTCTGAGTACACTGTTGTGGCCGAAATTTCTGTTGCAAAGGTTAGTAATTATATTATTTTAAGATTGAAATTTTTAATTTTTTAAGAAGAAACTTTTCTTAAACAAAATTTCATTTCATCATTAATTGTTTTGATCATTAATTGTTAATCACTGGTAGCCTTGGTTCACTTTAGTGTTTTATCTGCTGTTATTTCCTGGTATTTTAGAAGTTCCTTGCTATTTTCTGATATTCCCTGCTATTAATAATAGTTTCTTATAGTATTTTCCCTGTTATTCTTGAGGGCCAGTATGAGGTAGAGATGACGTCTCGAATGTTCTTTTGCAGCGACTGCAGAGTTGACCTGGTCTTGTGAGCTGGAGTAGAATCCTGCTGGAAAATCCAATGACTTCCAGGAAACAGAGTAACATTTATTGGCTTGACAACAGGTTACAAAATATCGTCCTGATAGTTTTTACCGGCTGTTTTAACTCCTTTTTCACAAAAATGGAGCTTTATGGTGCCATTAAAGCAAACTCTCCACTAAACTATCACTAAGGAAGGGTGATGACCTCTTTCCACTCTTCCAATGACTTCCTGGACTTATTTAATAATAATTATTTATTTATTCTGGGACGAGTCACTTTAGAATAATACAGAAAGATAGAAATGTGGGCTAAGGAACCTTAGAGATACGTAAATGAAAATACAGAGTAATTAAATTGTCATAATACAAAAAATATAAGTTACTTTCTAATTTTTATCATTTAATAATAAAAAATTGAAAAAATGATGAAAAACGATCTGATAATTTATATTCATATTTACAGTAGTATCTATTTACAATTTTATGGGGACTGGATGGATAAGAAATAATTAAGCAGGTGAGATTTGAAGATAGGAAGGATATTGGATTGACGGATGATGTAGGAAGGGATGGAGTTCCATAGGGATGAGGATCGGATAATGAACAATCTGTCGAAAGCAGTGGTTCGGTTGGCCCTTGTGTATAAATCTGAAGATCGGGAACGAGTATTGCAGGAGCGAACAGAGGATTTGGATTGAAGGAGCTCGGAGATGTATGAAGGGCAGTGGAATTGGAGGAGTTGAAAGATGAAGGATGCCAGAAAATACTTAAAGCCACTTAAATTCTGCATAAAAACGGGATACAGAGGTGTCCCTTGGGATCCCAAAGATGAATCGTAGAAAGCAATTTATAAAACATTTTAGTTTCACCTCAAGATCTCTAGAGACACCCTCTTTATAGCGTATAGCAATAGTCAAAGTGGGGAATGATGAATCAGGAGGGAAAGGTCATTAATATAAATAGCAAACAGAGTAGGGGATAGAGAGGAACCTTGAGGGACACCACAGGAGAGGGGGAGGGTCTTAGATGGAGTTGGAGCTGAGACGACTACATACTGGGACCGATTTGAAAGGAAGGATTTAAACCAATACAGGGCACTGTTGGATAGAGGAAGATTGTGCAATTTAATAAGGAGGATGTTATGGTCAGCTGTGTCAAACGCTTAATAAAAATCTAGAAGGATGAGGATAGTAAGGTTTTAGTGTGCATAGAGCTTTTAGAGCTGTGTTCGTACACACGATCATTAAAATTTTCTTCAATTGTTTTAAAAGTTTTTGTTGTTGCTAAAAATTTTCTCATCGCTAAACAAAATCTTTCGATGAAGACCATCGGTGTAACGGCAAAAGAGCACTTTGCATCTATCCACTCTATTTCTTTTTTAGAGAAGTGGTTAGGTTTTGTCCTGTCATTCTTCAAAATATACCTATCCTAAGGTCACTTTTTATATGTGAGACATTGATCTGATAGAGATTCCCAATTCCTGAGACATGATTTGTTTTTTACAAATGGGATCTCTTCTGATTCGAGCAGCCACTGCTCTCACTGCATTTGCCGTTATCACAGTGCAGGTATGGCATGGTCGAGGTCTGTCACATACAGATAGGGTTTCATTATATCTATTTATAGTGTGGTACACGAACATACGACATATACCCAAAGGTTTCAAAGTGTTGAAAATCTCTGACCTACATTTTCCAACTTTGTGTAAGGCGATCATCCCACTCCATGTTATCTGAGCATAAGAAAAATACAAACTAAATGGAATTATTATTCTGACATGTAAAGAAAATAACCTGATAGAGGTAAGGATTATCTAAATGATATCTAAGGATGTAAACAATGTTCAACTTTTGTAATACTATTTTATGGCAGAACTAAGTACTTGGTATTTTTCATTTCTTTAAAAGATAAGTTACCCTCCTAATGATTTATAGCAAGTGTTCATTTTGTGTTCTTGTTCAACAAATTTATTTATGTTATATTCATGATATATTTTTGTAAGTCCTTGTTATAAATAATAAAATAAGCTATGTTTTTTAGGTAAACGATAAAGCACCAATGGATAAAATTTGTTTACTTGGTTGTGGTGTATCAACTGGTTATGGTGCAGCACTTAACACAGCTAATGTGGAACCAGGATCAACAGTTGCCATTTGGGGGCTTGGGGCTGTTGGTTTAGCAGTCGCAATGGGTTGTAAAGCTGCCAAAGCTTCAAGAATAATTGGAGTCGATACAAACCCCAATAAAAAACAATATGGTAAATCTATAAGTTCATATTATTTGGTTTACTGAATGTTTGTTCTGTATTTATTTTTCTAAAATATTTGATTTTTAATAAATATATTAAAACTACTCTTGACCAAATAATAAGAAAGGAAATGAGGATAAGGAATCGGAGATTTGAGAGCTGTGAAAAAGTCAAGTACCTAGATTAGTAACACAGTCACTTGCAAGAACCAAATAGTGAGAGATATTAAAGCCCATATAGTCACAGGAAATGTGTATATTGGGATATGTATGCACAGTTTACAGAAGCTAGCTAAATTGCAAAAATTCTGCCCTGAAAGGTAAAAACTATGGTATATAAAACGATTATGAGGCCTATTGTGACATATGGATGTGTGACATGGTCCACGACTAAAGAAAACAAAAGGATGCTCCACTTATGAGAAAGAAAAGTACCCTGAAAAATGAAATGTATTGACCTATAAAACTGGAGGATCAATGGATAATTAGGTTTACCCTATTGTGACATATGGATGTGTGACATGGTCCACGATTAAAGAAAACAAAAGGATGCGACACTTATGAGAAAGAAAAGTACCCTGAAAAATGAAATGTATTGACCTATAAAACTGGAGGATCAATGGATAGTTAGGTTTACCCTATTGTGACATATGGATGTGTGACATGGTCCACGACTAAAGAAAACAAAAGGATGCTCCACTTATGAGAAAGAAAAGTACCCTGAAAAATGAAATGTATTGACCTATAAAACTGGAGGGTCAATGGATAATTAGGTCTACCCTATCGTGACATATGGATGTGTGACATGGTCCACGACTAAAGAAAACAAAAGGATGATCCACTTATGAGAAAGAAAAGTACCCTGAAAAATGAAATGTATTGACCTATAAAACTGGAGGATCAATGGATAATTAGGTTTACCCTATTGTGACATATGGATGTGTGACATGGTCCACGACTAAAGAAAACAAAAGGATGATCCACTTATGAGAAAGAAAAGTACCCTGAAAAATGAAATGTATTGACCTATAAAACTAGAGGGTCAATGGATAATTAGGTCTACCCTATTGTGACATATGAATGTGTGACATGGTCCACGACTAAAGAAAACAAAAGGATGATCCACTTATGAGAAAGAAAAGTACCCTGAAAAATGAAATGTATTGACCTATAAAACTGGAGAATCAATGGATAATTAGGTCTACTCTACAACTAAAGCGACTATGTGGTGAACAACATATTGTGAGAGTCATTCAACTCAATAGACTGCAATGGTTGAGGCATGCGGAGAGGATGGATCCTATTTTAATTTTGTACTTTTTGTTATTCTAAAGGGTCTTTGTTCCAGAATAAAATTTTTCTATTTGTATTTCTAAGAATGCCAAGAAAACTGCTGTATGGAAAGGCGGAGGATGGAAGAAGAACACGGGAAAGCCTCAGTTCAGATGATTAGACGATGTGAAAGGAAATTTAAAGGAGATGGATGAAAAGAGGTGGAGTCGCTTTGCTGCTGACAGAGACATATGGAAGAAGACTTTAACAGATACCATGGTTCTCCAAGGACCTGGTTCAAATCCGGCCTGGGAAGAGTTGACTTTTATTTTGTTGCAGACTTACAGAGTAGAACTCAACCTTCCGACTCTGGTTAGAATAGGTTTGGTTGTACCTCTATAACACACCTTCTCGTCTTCGGGATGCCAGAAATGGTGCATAAGATGAAATCCAAAAAAAAAAGTTTTCTAAGAACTGCAGAACCCAGCAATGAATGAGAAATACAAACAATATCAGCACATGTTTCTAAAGGAAGGAAAAAAATTATAACGCTTATGTGGATAAGATGTTTTCCTAAAAAAGAAACTTTTGATGTTTCTACTGTCTCAGTAGAATAAAAAGTATCGTACACTCTGCACTCATTAAATGGGTGGTACTTAAGGTACTCAGTACTTTATTTATATTCTTTATATAGTATTTAAGTAAAAAATAAAAAAGAGATATACAATTTTCTATCAGGGGAAATGTGAAAGATGTTTAAAACTAATTAAATAACTTTAATATTTTTCAGCTTTGGAGTTTGGTTGCACAGAATTCATCAATCCACTCGATTACAAAGATAAAGATTTCAAGGATGTGATCATTGAAATGACCGATGGAGGCTGTGATTACACATTTGAATGTATTGGAAATGTTAATATCATGGTAAGTGTCCCAAAACTATTATTGATATTTTTATTTAATAATTAAGTATTGTTGATGAATTATGGTAATAAAAAATAATGATTTGTTTCAATTAAATGAGCAATCAGAGAAAAGATTAAAATACTAAACCTTCTTTTATGAATATGCCACATAATAAATATTAGAATAGATTAGTGGGCATAAGTGACTTAGTATCTTAGTAAAGTGGATTTAGAAGGTTTTAGAAGTAAACCATCGATGTGGTTATTGTATAAACGGATTAAGAAAAGATTTACAAACTTATGTTCCAATAAAATTATATATTGATATTGCTTATATTTTCATTAAATATATATATACTTGAGAAAAATGTAGCAGATCCAATTATAAACGTTTAGCTGTATAAAATAAAAATTGAAATGTTTCTTGTTCAGAGGACGGCCTTAGAAGCAAGCCATAAAGGTTGGGGTGTGTCAGTTATAATTGGAGTTGCAGCATCTGGAAAAGAAATTTCAACTCGGCCTTTTCAACTTGTAACTGGCAGAACTTGGAAAGGATGTGCTTTCGGAGGTAATGTTATAATATTTTACTTAATTGATTTATATAATTATGATATTGAACTTGAAGCTTCTATTTAAGATGTAAAATAAACAATGACTATTCCTCATAACTGACATAATATATGTAATAAGAATAGTTACAGTTCAATTTTTCGTGTTTAAGAATTTCTTTTTGTTAGGATCAAAGAAAAAAAATTAACAATAATATATATGTTTATGTGCCATTTTGCTTTAGATAATGATATAACAGATCTTTCTACTTGAAGAAATTTGACATATATATATATATTCGATTTTAAAGTCTCAACATATATTTATTTCGAAGAGAATAGTAGTTGGGGTGATCAATCAAATAAGAAGGCAAAAATAAATGATAATATTTATTTTATAAATAAATAATATTAAATCAAAATTAATATTATCATCATGATGTAGAGATGGTTGACCGTTGATATATTATGAGAAGGAGTTAATCTGGGGGTGCGGTCAAATAAATACTAAATCAAACAGATAATCCGGCAAAAATTAAATAATTACTATCTGTTTAATTTATTATTTATTTTACCGCACTTCCCGATTAACTCCTTCTCAAATATTATCATCAGTCAAAATAAATATTATCATTTATTTTTGCCTTCTTATTTGACTGATCACCTAAACTATTCTTCTCTTCATTATTCACTATAGTCAACCATTTACCCACAATTATATTTATTTCCTTTTACAGGTTGGAAAAGCCGTGATAGCGTTCCAAAACTAGTTGAAGAATACATGAACAATACACTGCCTCTTGATAAATTTGTCACTCATCAACTTCCATTTGAAAAGATAAACGAAGGCTTCGATCTGCTACATTCTGGGGAATGGTACCTAATTTTAAGCATAATAATCCTTAAAAATTCATTTTATAAATCTTCCATAATTTTAATAAGAATAACAATTTGTTTTCAGCTTACGGACAGTGATCACCTGCAATGAATAATTATTTTCAACAGCTACAATTTAATTGGATAACTGATTCTCTCGCACTGGAGAAGTATTAAGTAATTTAAAAGATATATATGGGTATATATTTTTAATTAATATATTTGTATTCACGAGAAATAAATGTTTTATGAACACACTATGATCATGACACATTAAACACTGTCTTATTCATTAATACAGCCTGTTTTAAAATCCCCTTACCTTTCATTTACTGTACTCGTAATAAACATAAATATTTAAGCCTAACTCCCAAGATGCTTCCTGAGTTTAAATAATTAGCTGAAGTGATAATTGAATACAATTAAACATTCTCAAATCAATGTAATGAGCATTGTGAACACTTTAATAAAAAATGAAGAAAGTACATTTCTTGTACTTGTTCTTACTTGAAGAAAGTGTATGACTTGATTAGAAGTTGTTCATGCAATGATCTGTTGTAAACTGAATGAAAAACAAGTGAACTGCTCCATACATTGAACAAACATATTTGGAAACTTTACAAAAGTTTGTGAAGGATACTATAATGTATAGTTTGATACCAGAGATCCGAGGCATGATGGATAGAAGGCCATTAATGGCAAGTGTTAAAATCAACATTTATAAACTGTATATAGGTTTCTTTAATGGGATACCTAGACTGGAAAAGACAGCCTATATTTTTTGTTCTTTGTTTATGATAGATAGACTCCCTGAAAGAAGCCCGCAACCTATTTAATGATTTTTTTATTTCCTTTAAAGCCAGTTAAGCTTGTTATCCAAGTATTCCTACAATATTTTAACTATTATTCTTTCATAGAGTTAATAGAAAGTGTTGGTCTATGAAATCGTATGATCATTTTCAGAAGCTTTGACAGTTTTTCTTTTTTAAGAATTAAGATTGCCTTGGGTTTTCTCCATTTGGTTAAGAAGTGAAATAGTCATACTCGATTGAAGATCAAATATATTTGTTTAGCTTTATCCTCCATTTTAATAAGGAATTTAGACATTATTTCATCTTAACCTGAGTGTTTTCTCTGTTTCACAGCAGGCAGAACTTTTGCTTTATACACATATTCAATTGTCATTCCCCTTAAGTTTTCAAAATTTGAATGCACTCTAGTGCTATAATTACTTGTATTATTTTATCATTAGCAAGATGATTAAATGTGTCCCAATAAAGATTCCGTCCATAAAATCACAGACCGAAACTGACCAGACTCATTTAGCTGAAAGGCAAAAGAAAAAAGGGAATACTGGCTGATGTGAAGTCTCTTCCCCAAAAGCCTTCTGAAGATGCTCCTAAACATACCTTTATAACCATAGGTGGGGAAGGGAAGAGGGCTTTGGAAGTTGTAAAAAAAAACCTACCCCCTCCAGAGGAGCTAGGTGTAAATGCTAAGGTTGTGAGGGCCACCAAGGCTAGAGGCGTCCTCATCAAAGTTTAAAATGATGCCCAAGCATCGAAGATGATTCAATGGACAGGCCTCAAGGATAAGGGTATCGAAGCCAGAATGACCTTGAAAAGAAGGCCCAGACTAGAAGTGAAAGGGTTTCCCCATTCATGGAGAGGTACTGACCTTGAATGATATATCTGGGGAATAATAGCTGAGAAGTCAGCTCCCCAATTGAACATCAAAGAGCGCTTCCAAGCCCGTTTTTCATTGGAGGCCAGAGGCTACTTAACAAGGAACTGGGTTGTAGAGGACCAGCCAGTCATCGGATTCCACCTATTGGAAGTTAGAACCATCGATGGAGGATAGTGGGCGATGACCTTCAGGGATTTTGTGGATGCATCTTCCTGCGCAAAATGCTTGGGGTGTGGGCACACCCACCATAGCGTCATGTACTCTCTGGAACAAGATTTGTAGATGGTGCACGGCTAGTGGCCTGGCCGCATAGCAAAAGTGTGCCCAGGGAAGAAGGAACTTTTGCAAATTTTTCTCGCAAAGGAGCTCCATCAAACCTGACCAAACACAAGGTGGGAGACCGAAACTGCACAGCACACATCAAGACATCGCGCGAAGAACCCAGTATGACTAGGATCTCCATTATTCAGCTCAATATGGGGCGACGGCATATTGTAGCAGATGAGCTGCGAGCTCTCGTCCAACACTACGATATCATAGCGGTTCAAGAACCGAGCTGCCGTGGGAGTAAGGTTGTAGGAATTTGTCTCACATCGAGAGTTATAGCTCTAAGGAGTGGAGAAAGAAGGCCTAGAGCTGCAATAATAATCACTAAATCTCGATGTGATGAGCCTTGAACCATTTTGAAAATTCGAAACTAACTTAAGACCTGTCAGATTATTTAAATATCAAGACCTGGCTGATGTTTAGGAACACGTAATTCTACACTAACATAACGAGTCTAATCAAAATCGTTAGAGATTTTTCTACTTCTACTTTTCTCTGTTGTGAATTCTGCTCAAACTTAAGTTTCTGACGATCAAATGCTTGTATTATTAAAACACAGGAAACCTTGCTTTGGTCGAGTGTTAACTTTTTTCGTCTTGCATCAATATTACCATGTTCCAACACGCACGAATGTCAGTTAAATTGCAGTCTTCCGATTTTGGTGTTATAATTATTTTTCTGGGGACCTCTATTTTCATGGGTTATAAACTACTAGTAGTCCTTTATGATCGACACTAGATCGGCGGTCTTATTATAAATATTTCATCACTAGGCATTCCATCTACTGACTCCACATTGTTCATACTTTAGACCTGTTTAAGTTCAAACTAGTTGGCCTGTGCGAATAATTCGCTGATTATATTGTTTAGTGAAAGAACAATAATAGATTGATAGTTTGCGGAGGTAGCAGCCATAGCTACTGCTTTACTCTTCATTATATTTTTCCCCCTGCAGTTTACTAAACCATTCATAACTCCTCAGGCATTTTTCCTGATTCAGTGCTATAACAATTTGAAAGCTGAATTATTGCTCTTCAAATCCCCATAAGTAACTTTTTGATAAACTCCTAACACGTTTTTGTTTCATATCTCAAGTTGTGAAATATTTAGAGTGGTCTGGTTTGTGACACTTTGTGTGCTAAAGTTCGTATGGACAGGTGGAAGCATGTTGACATTAACAAACTTTTTGTGATTTTGGAAAAAAAATCGAGATGCGAAATACAAAACTCAACTCTGTATCTCCTTAAAAAAATATTTGAGCCGACTTTGTTCCTTGGGTTGGTACAAATTTTTATACAATTTCCACGATTTTTTATTTAGGGAATTTAGTAAATTTTCAAATAACCATTGGTGTAATCAAGAAAAAAAATGTATCATTTTTAAGTTATCCGCAAATAAAATTTCTTTTCATTCAAACTTTTTCCCTGAAATTTCAGATAGATGTTACTGTAATTCGTCACTGCTTCATTTAACGCCTTTTCGTTAGATATCTCGTTCATCAAAATCCATCGCTCCTAAGAGTCGGAAAATGGATCGTTACAGCAAAAAACTATCGTTATATTACATATAAAGATAATCATGAACTGAGATAATCTAATCTACACATAATCCACGACACTTTGAAAAGTTTTGTAGATGTAAAATGTAAAATTTATTATGGAAAAGTTCTAAGCTCTTTGGAACAGTAAATTATTTATAGGAGGTTATATTACCTTAATTTTCCGTGAAATTGGAAAATGGAGGATTCTGATTAAGAAATTACTGATTATTACTAACACAATTCATAACTATTTAACGATTAATTAATAAAACAGCACAATGGGTGGTCATAAACGCAAAGGACAGTCTCAAAGGACTAAAAACAATATGAAGGTAGTATTGCTATTATTTATTGTTGTATATAGACTTGATATATTTTTAACTGTGTTTTTTTAATTTAGCCGTCTAACAGTGGCAGAATAGCAGAACTTGTGGACAACAAAGGTTTTCAGTTTTCATCTTTTTCTACATTAAGTGAACCACACTTGGCCTCCTCTTCGACACAAATGCCTAGTATGTCATTACTTTCAATTGAAATGTTTTGCCCAAACGTTGATCCAAATTTCCAAGTAGTTTTCAAAAAAATCAACAAGAAGGATGCGACAACTCGTTTTAAGGTAAGTTCAATTGATTTATTTTTTTGTTTCGCTGATATATATAAATTTAAACCTCACTATTTATTTGCATGTTGTGGTTATTACAGTACTTCTAAAAGTAAAAGAAAACATATGCTGAAAGTTATTCTTACTATCTCAATTATTTCCTACTAGATTATAATAGTACAGTATTCAGAAGTCTCTAGGGACAATATGGTAACATTCCAGATTATCAATTCATGGTCCCCACAAATCGCTCATTTACAAGTGATGTGAGTTGCTATTAGATGCTCAGTTGACAACTTCCCTAGGAGGTAGGGGTATCGGGAAAAATAAAAATTGACATCTTCCCTGCTTAGAAGTTAAACCAGGGTGGCAATCGACCTGAAAAAATGGGAAAAGTCAGGGAATTTTCAAAACAGGTAAAAATTGTGGTACTTCTTGTCTAGGGGGCCGCTCCTGACTGCTATCTGCCAATATTTACCTGAACACTGATAACTCCCATAACGCAGTGATAAGCCGTCTCCTACTTCATATCTTCGTATTATTGTATTAAATTCGTATTATTGAAAGTGTTAACAGATACAAAAACAAATGCAATAACAAAAAATAACACTTTAAGAAGATATGTACATATAAAACATCAAAATGAAATAATAAAAAATACATTTAAAAGAACATATCTACATAGAAAAGAACATATTTATGTAGAAAAGAAAAAATATCAACACTATAAACAATATATGTGCAAATTATTTTCAGTTAATTATTCACTTCCTTTTGTCTTATTTATTTTGGAAGGCAAAATTGTTTTATGCTATTTAAAATAGCAAGAAACGGGTCCTCTTCTCTGTGAGCCTGCCGCCACAAAAATTCGCACAAATATGATTCGAGGTGTTGCCTGGCAGTTCCTCTATGTACTTTATTTCTCCACTTCGCTGAGCCCCATAATCGTTCTATGTGTTGAGTATGAACCCCAGTTGATGGATCGACAAAATTATACCGGTGATTCACTTGGAAATGATCATAGTTTGCTTTGTTTAGTTGTCGGGTGTTGTATCCTTTCCAACAGTCCGAATAAATGGTTGTTCCCTCTTCTATATTTCTTTAATTGCTTGTAATAAGGTTGTTGCCTTTCTGTCAATTATTTTGACGATAAAACATTCATCTGTTTCTCGGCAAACTCCACCAAACATCCACTGCTGAGGTAAAACACTCCTCACATGATTTTTTCGTTTAGAAAAAGACTCGTCTACTTCAACCACTTTGCCAGGTTCTAAGAAGATCCATAATATGACGAAAATAAATGGAAAAAAAAATGAAAAATAAACTCCAAGGGGCCATAAACTAAAAAAAAATGTAAAATAAACACAAACGGGCCAAAACTAAAAATAATGAAAAATAAAAACAAACGGACCAAAAGTAAAGAATTTAATAAGTGAACGTAATAAGGGAATAACTGAAAACTAAACAATACAATAACTCAAAAGTTTGGCGGGATAAGAAGAGGGAGGTTATGTGACCTGACGTTAGATAAGATAGATAAGAAGTGATGTTTCAAAACGGCCCCCTAGACAAGAAGTACCAAAATTGTTAGTCAGGGAATTTTTTTAGTACGAAAATATTTTTTTCAAATTGGAAATAAATATACAGTGGATATCGTTTATAGTTACATGAAGGGGTAAACTTTGTTGTTATAAACGATGACATTTACTATATCCATCCACCTTTGACTGTCAATAACACCACTGGCTGTTATGTTAAAGTCAAAAAAGGGTAATGAATATAATTTAAGCCAAATGTACTTGAAAAAGTGCTATTTTGAAAAGAAAAACATACCAATACTATTTACTATTTGTAATATATTCATTTGGGTCAAGATGTGGCTGGCAAGCACTCATTCGTTCGATCTATGGTGCTCCTTAAAAGAGTATTTCTTAACCATAAATTGCACAGTTGGTGTCTATGTATATGTGGATTATTATTATGCTGTTTATTGCAATGAAGAAACCAAATTATTTATCAGAAACTACATTAATGTTAGAATCCTCCTCATTTCACTTTATTTTATGATGGAGAAAATCAGAGCTTTACACGTCAAGCATCAACTTAAACATCCTCTCAGTTTATGAAAATAAAATAAAAGCTATAAAAATAAATGAATAAAAGTTTAGTTTTCGAAAATACAAAATCCTAATCAAGCTTAGAAAATGCTTCTTCTAAACTTTATATTTGCTATTTAAAAGACTGATTTTTTAAATTTTTTTTTTTACTCAAATAACTTTGTAGTCAATTTTCTTTCATGTATAATAAATAAATTTAATTATAAATTATACATTTTTAATATTTGTTTCCCCCGGCATATTGGTCAGAGAAAACTATCTTTAAATGGGGAAATTGCTTCCAGTGGTTACTTTCTCAACAAGCTTTTTCATGTGATTATATTCCTGTGAACACTTTTCAGTAAAATTCTCTAGTATATCCAAAGTATCATTTCCCACATATTTATAAATTAAAAAAAAATATCTTATTATAGCATTGATTTACAACATTTAAAGGAATGTCTCAACAACGTTTTAAGTCTGTTTTAATTAGATAAGATATGGGTACCCACTTTATTGAGGCTGGGTGTGTCCCACGAGGGTTCTCCTGAGCTCAGAGTGGATCCACATCCGATGAAACAGAATAAATAATTCATCTGCCATCAGCTGAGATTTGAACCTGGGAACCTTGAGCACTAGAAGTCTATCACTGAGCTACCCCACTCCCTCTATTAAACCTTGTTACTAAAAATTACTTTTTAAATTCTGGCTCATCATTTTTATTAATTGTTCCTTAATAACATGTTCAATTATTATCTTGTATTTCAGGCTTTGCAGGAATTGAAAGATCTCTGTAAAGCATCTACACCTGAAGTAATTAAAGAAGTATTACCTGTATGGGCTCGAATCTATTGCATATTAGCAATTGATGTTGAACATAGAGTTCGTGAAGCTGTACAAGAAGTTCATCGTCTCATTGTTAACTCGGTCGGAAGAAATTTAGCTCCTTACTTGAAGCAAATCGCTCCACTTTGGTTTATTTCCCAGTATGATACTTACGCTCCAGCTGCATCTATTGCATCGAATGCTTTTCAGGTAAACCTCCAGTTAGATATTAGTGATATAAAATAGTTTTACTAACTAGTAATATTTTTAATAAATTAATTTAGTTTACTGTGTAAGTTAAGAGTTAAGAGGAGGCCACGACCCACTGAGGATTGTAGAGCCATTAAGATAGATGTAAGTTAAGCATTTGACTGTCCTGAAATTCTCTTGATTCTTATTTTTTTTTAAGGAATGCAATTTATTTTAATGTCGTTTATCTTAAAGGATATTTTTCATCATTTTTTTTCTTCTCTCTTTTTTTTCTAAATTTCAATGAATTCCTCAAATTGGTATCTTTAGTCCATAGATGGTCTAAATCAACGATTACATGATTACAACAGAAAATGAAACTTAATCGCCACACCAATTTTATACTTGATATAATAGGACTATAACTATAGTAATAATATGACACGATTACTTAATTACACCATCAAAATCACTGTAATTGTAAACACATGATCAAAATTATTGTAATCATAATCATTGATTTTGATACATCCTTCTATGCTTTAGTCCCATTCTCCAACACCTTAACCTTAACCAACAGTTTCCTTTTACCAATAAATCAAATGAAATTTTCAAAATGTTATAAACTTTGTAGAATATGAAAATTTAAATGATAATCTACCTGGAAATGATCAGCTTTCGTCATCTCCATACATAACAAATTTTATTAATGTAAACATGTTGTCTGCCGACTATGAGATAATTCATAGTTTGTGTTTGCCTAGGACGCCAACTAATAGTTATCTTATAGGTTGTTTATATGTCACATTTGTGCAACTAAAGTGAAATCCATTAGTATATCATTATAAATCTTAATAAATGGCTTTAGGAAAGAGAACAAAAATCAATTTGGCTTTTATAACCAAATATTTATTGATTATTATAAGCTTAACTGTAATACATTTGATGATTTATACGTGCTAAAATTGAAATTTTTAATAATATATTATAGTTAAAACAAATTGATTTTTTTACATCGAAATCCTGAAAATGTCATTGTAGTCTTTTGTTTTTTATATTCTACTAATATTAATAGAGCCTATAATTCAGTTTAATGTGTTAGTCCATGGAACACCCCTTTTTATCGAATTGTTAACATCCACCTGAATCATCGTAAATAGTTTCATCTCATCGTATCCTACAACTATTTTATTTATGAAAACTCTTGGAATTGGGACGTTTTCAATCTGGAGGGGGACAAACTTTTTCTATTTAATGAGGTACTAAAAACTCGTAAATATCCATTTGCTTTCCACTTTAATTGTAAAATAAGTTGAGCATAATGTCGAGAAAAATATTGACCTTCAAAAATATTGAGGAGTTTGGCCTATATAACCTTGTTATTTTGAAAATTTGGGGGTGTATGTTATGCCAAATGGCTCAATATTTTTGAAGGCCACTTTTTTATCAATTTTGTGATGAAATTATCTTACGAACCAATTAGAAAGCAAATGGGTATGTACGAGTTTTAAGTACCTAATTAAATAGACAAAGTTTGCCCTCATCTAGATTGAAAGCGCCCCAATTCCAAGATTTTTCGTAAATAAAATAGTTGTAGGTTACGAAGAGATAAAACTATTTACGAAGTTTTAGGCGGATGCTAATAATTCGATAAAAAGGGGTCTGTACCACGGACTCTGTATAGTTATTCAACTTCTTGAAAATTAATTTGAATTTGTTAATTCAAAATGGTAGATCAACATATACCTTTGTTCCATACCAAACCAAATATTAGGTAATCTGATACAGTCTCTTATTGATGGCTTGAACTAAGGAAAAAGTAATATGAAATCTTATGAAAGAAATATAAATAGGGCACTGCTCACACCTAAAGGACAAATCGCTCAAATAACTTTTAACTGAAAGGTCTATGGAAAAAGAGAATTTTAATTATTGTGTTTTACATGATATTCTACTATCTTGAAAAAAGAGTTGAGAAAGAGGTTGATAAAATAAGCTAATTTGTTTTGTTTTTTATTTGACAAAATTTCAACACAAACACTAAGCACTGGACATGTCATATTAGTGCTGATATTTTTTATTTCATAAAAAATAGATTAATATTTTTAGTTCATGAAGAGAAATTATTAAAAATTTTATTTTTAAATAATTCATCTACGGATCAAAGCATTATATTGTTTTATGTTATTTATTTTTAGGAAGTTTTTTCTGCCCAAAAAATGATAGAAGTCATTTCCTTCTGCCAAGGAGAAATATTAAATTACATTAAAGAAAATGTTTTAAATCTTACACCACAGTCACTTTCAAAAGGAGAGTAAGTAAATTATTTAATCTGAAATAATTGTTTAGGAATAATTTGTATTTTTTTTTTTTCCAGTTGATCTAACGATCAACAGAAAAATAAAATTCTATTGCAAGACCATAGCAGCTTTTTCTCATTCATATGTATCTTATCTATTGTAACTAGGTCGGAAGTATTATTCCTGTATTTGATAGGAGTTTTGAATTAATTAAAATAAAATGTTACCTCATTTGCTAACATCTTCTCTTTTTAGTCTGTTAGCCACTTAGCGATAATAATGTCTAAAAGATTTATCATCTGAAAAATAAAACCTGTCTAAATGACCCAAATAAATAACTTACCTAAGTTACTGCACTAAATTTCTGATGTTCATAAATATTTACTCACTAAAAGCATAGAGTGAGCCCTCCACTGGTCGCCGTCCAAACCCAGTCCCTTCAGATCGGCCTAAACGCAATCTTCCCACCTTCGCTTCGGTCTATCCCTCAGATGTTTACCAGTCGGAACAGCTAATATTAACCTTTTAAAAATTCTTTTGTTACTAAGTCTAACAATTTTACTAGCCCATTTAATTTGCTGTGATGTAACCACCTCAATTATATGAACCGGATACAATTCTGCATTGGGTAAAAGACTGAACTCTCCGGTTAACTCATCTTTCTTATATATATAATATATATATATATATATATATATATATATATATATATATATAAATATTCAATGCAATACTTTATTTTCAAAAACCTCAAGATGTTGCTCATCCCTTAATGTAAGTGGCCACGTTTTACATTCATAATGATCCATAGGTAGGATAATGGTTTTATAGAATATAATTTTTAAGTTCTGGGACAGGAGGCACGAGCTGGGTTATTTTATTACAGATAAATAACAAGCATTTCCTGCCTTCAGCATAACCTTAATCTCCTCTTCAATTTCGAGTTTCCTAGTTATCGTCGACCATAGATAAGTAATATGCTAATTTTTTTACAATAACTTAAATTTATTTCAAATATTAATATAATTTATTTTATTGTCACAGTCTCAACAAAGATGAAATGGAAGCAAAATACGAGAGAATTATTGTTTCCAGTTTAAATGGCTATGCTCTTTATCTATCAAAAATTCCTGAAGAACAAATCGAAAATTATAAAACTATCAATCAAGAAATCGTATCATCGTCCAAGTTTTGGAAGTTTTCTAAATTTAAGTCTGCACCTGTAAGTAAATATAAATCTATTAATAAGTAAATAGTATATACATAGTGTATAATATAGTAATGTCTAATAATTGATATGCGCAATATATTTTAGTGATGTACTTAGCATTACCGAATTTAATTTTTTTTTAAAATTGTATACCTAAATTACTATATATATTTTTCTATTTAAATATATCTATTTTATTCAAACTTAATGAAATATTTTATTTATTTATGTTTTTAATACCCCATTTATTTCGTCTCAATAATATATATTTTTTATTTCAAAGCTATATTTTAATAAAATTCTAAGTATGTTGTTTTAAAATTGAAAAACATGATCAAGTTAACCTTACTGTAGGGCAACTTAGTTTTTTTCAGTTGACAGAATGACTAACTCAAACTTTAACATTTTTGAGTAATGTCATTTTAGTGGTATTTCTAGTTGGAAAATATATAATATCTATACAGACCAGTGAGTAAGTTGATTCCAGAGCAGGTGATTGCAGTGTTGAAATATAGAACTGTGAATTAAGGGATAATTTTTTCCCACTAGAAATATCACTAAACATAATAATGAATAATGTTGAAATTGTAGTTAGTCCTTCAGTCAACTGAAAGGCTTATTTATTTATTTATTTTGGCAATAAAATTAAATGAAGCAATAGGCAAATAATTTTATAGTGTTTATATTCAACGATTTGTTTTAACTGTCTTGATGATACGTGGAAAACCTACGACCTCCATGGTTGTAAGTCTGGTCTGCGCGAGTTTCCATTCGGTATTCATAAACGCAACCATTAATAAATATTTAATTATATAACTTACAAAAACCAGAAAATCGAAATTTTTATATGTAAATATGCTAAAATAAATAATAACATCCACAATGAAATATAAACAAATATATTATCACTGCTCAACCAAAATTTGGCTTCTAATGACAGAAAAGTTTCCCACCTGTGGTCTTGATATCTGAATTTCGCCGAGTTCAAAAGTTTGTATCATGAAACTTGAGCCTTTTTTTTTTTTATAATCTTTCTAAATTAAATAATTTCAATATATTGTTTAAAGAGTGATCAGTAAGTTTTTAAGTTTTCCATATTATACTAGCTAAAATATATTTAATCAGATTACTGTCATAATCTGTCATTGTGCTTCCAGAATTGAAATTGTGTAATGTTCGAATACCAAATGAAACATACTGAAAATTTCAGATTCGTTCAGCATGGTTTACTTTGCTCTCTTCCCTTTGCCAGAATTGTGTTTTCCTTTTGGAAAATGAGAAAAAACAGGTAGCTAATTCTATCATCGGAGGAATTGATGATTACGATTCTGCTGTATTATCTATTGTTTGGGAAGCGGCTCTTCACTCATTTACTCACATTAAGGTACAACTTTAGATTATGCAGATATTTATTATATAATAATTATTATTATTCATAATTATTGATTATTTAGATAGTTTTAAAGTAACTATTTTAGTTAAAGTTGTGAGCATATATTACTATCACACTCTTACTTTATATTTCATTAAAACTTGACTAAAACAAAGTTAATACTTAGTCATTTCTACAATATATTACAGATATGGCCAATACTAGAAGAAGACTTATTATATGTAGTTATTAATTACAATGTTTAAAGTAGAAACATTCTTTTTAAAGTTATGAAGTTCCATTAACCAAATTTTGTTATTAATAGAGAGAATATCTATGAAAACAAAATAAACAATTTGCTCTGCAATTTATTACAATTTTATTTGTAATAATAAAAACATACGTTTGATCCAAATAGTCCTACTTTATTTTTACATTCAACATTTCAGCCCTTACGCCATTTTCAAGGGAAGAAAACTTATTTTAATATTTGAATAAAATAATAAAAATTGTCCTTTTTACAATACTTAATCATTTATTATTAAAACCTCCACTTCTAATAATTGATAATTAAGTATTGTGACAAGAATTATTGAGTCCATATGGTTTTATTCTTATTTTAAAATATGGTGTCTTCCTTTGAAAATGCCCTAAGGGCTGAAACCTTGAATGTAAATTTAAAATTAAGTAGGACTGTTCGGATCTAATGCGTGGTTTTATTATTTCAAATAAAGTGGAGTTCTAACAAACAATATTGAAATATGTATAATAGAATTTTATGTCCAGGCAACTCGGTACAATTGGAGTACAACAGAATATGTCACTTTCAACAGGTACTAAAAAAAGTCCAATAGACTGCAATCTTGTGACAGTGCAAATTTATACTCATGTAGATATGTATATGTATATATGTATATAAACCTAACTATTTAACTGGGAATAAGGTCACTTATTAATTATTTAATAAACTATTGAATGTTAATTTTCTCTATGTTTATTGATGTTTCGATCCTGGTATTTTCTTTTTATAAGTCAACGATGGGATCAAGCTACTGTTAAGTAGCTTAATATATGTGCTAGTGGACGGTGCTGAGACTGTCGGTGTGTCCCTGGCCCTGGCCTGATATCGAAGCTCTATTTTTTAAAATTCTAGCTTTGAAGAGGATCCCATCGTTGACATATAAAAAGAAAATACCGGGATCGAAACGTCAATAAACATAGAGAAAATGAACATTCAATAGTTTATTAAATAATTAATGAGTGACCTTGTTCCCAATTAAATAGTTAGGTTTGAATTTAATACTCAAAGGTCAATTAAGGAAAAGTTGTAAATATATATATATATATATATATATATATATAAAATGGTAATTGGATCATTTTATATGAAATTCTTTAGCAGTTTTAACTTCAGGTGTTTTACTAGGGCTTTTTTAATGAGACTATATCATCATTATCTATTATTATTTTATTATCATGACTATACATGTATTAAAATTATTTTTAAGTTACTATTATTTTGAAGAAGGATTTATTTTTAAAACGTGACCTTATAATTTATATTTATTTCCATGTTGCCTTTGTTTTATCTGGTGCAGATACTTATTTTGCTATTATTTTTAGATAAAAGTTGTGTAACCTCAGTAATATTTTGATTTTTTTAGGATTTTTGGCTTCATGTTAATATAGATAAATTTTTTTTGCCGAAATTCTGTAACATATTGCAACACGGAGGTCAAGGAAATGCTTCCTGTATCTATCCGAATATTCTACTTTTACTTAATAGCATCCCTGAAGATGTGATAAACGATAAACATCAATTCTTTGAAAAAATATTCGGTAGTTTTCAAGCTGGGTATGTTCAAATATTTACTCATTGTTTTTATATCAACTTTTTACTGACTATTCTTTAATTAAATCTATCCTACTGATTTATCTATTTCCTTTTAATTAATAAAAAAAAAAAGTATTGTTTAATTATTAAGTAAAAATATTTTCACGAAAATCTGAAAAATGTATCATCGTGCCTCACATATTCTGCGAGATTATTATTTCCTTTAAATGGCAGTTTTAGATTAATTTCTTCTCAATTTTATAATATTTTAATTATATTAGCTTTTAGAGTTGATTTTTTCCAATTTTTCAACTATTTTTAAATTCATATTTTAAGTTTGATGATCGAATCAGTTATGAAAATACATTGCTTAGCTAGTTTCATTTAATAAAAGTTAGTTTTTTTATTGTGGAGTGATGGTTGCCTGTAGTGAATAATTGAAGAGAATGATGTGAGTGTGTTTGACGTGTATGGCGTTGGATAGCCTTCTTATACGCTTCATTTTTCTTATTTGTTGCCTCGAAGCATCATCAAACCAAAGCGACCTCCTGCGTCTTGTCTGCAATCCAAGGATTTCCTCTCCAGTAGTTTTCAGTGCTCTTTAAACTCCCGATCACTTGTCATCCATTGTGTCATTCCTATCCCTTAATTCCTCCTCCAGCTTAGTTTCAAGGTGTTACTAGTAGGTTTTTGTTTGTCAGGGGTGCGGTCAGATAAATACTAAATTAAAATATAGTAATTATTTTATTTTAGTATTTATTTGACCGCACCCCCGACAAACTCCTTCTCATATTATATCAACGGTCAACCATCTCTACATCATTATGAAGAGAATGTTGGTTGGGATTATCGGTCAAAATAAAATATAGTAAAAATAAATAATTATATTTATTTATACATTTATTTTACTTAAGTTTATTCAACCTACATTTTTTAGTCTATACCTTTCATCTTTTTGATTTTAATTCATTATTATTCAATGTTTATAGTTTCTCATACCTATTGTTATCTGGTTTTGTCTTAGCCCTGATGAAGGCCTGAACTTCGGGCTGAAACGTCGGCTAATATAATTATTTATTTTTACTATTTTTTATTTTGACTGATCACCCCAATCACCCTTCTCTTCAAAGATTAGTTTAATTTTATAAAATCCTTTCTCGGGAATTTAAAATCTTCATTATTGTAATTCAAGGAAAGCTAACCTACTGATATTGGAATCAGTCAGAGAACTCGTCCATTAATTAGCACTTGAAAATATTTCAAACAGTTTATTCATCACATTATTATTTCAACTTAACATTTTTCTCCGTAGACGCCAGTGAGGCATACTTTAGGTTTTATTTATTTATTTTTTACTGGTTTTTATTTTTAAATTATGAATTATCAAGATCCAAAATCTTTATAATTTTTAAGTTATAATCCATTCTCTAAGTATAATAAGAAAGTTAATAATTTTGAATTTATTAAAATATTCATTATTTCAACTGATTTGGATACATCAATAACTGATTAATCATTTGTTTTTATTTACAAGTAAAATCTATAGATTAAATTTGAACAAGAAACATTTTCTAACATTAGGCAAAAATAAATATTATCATTTATTTTTCCCTTCTTTTTTGACTGACCACCCCAACTATTCTTCTCTTCATTATCCACGATAGTCAACCATTTACCAATTATATTTTCTAACATTATTTTGTTCAATATGAAGTAGATTGAATTTTATTTAATAAGTTTATGGAATAATTTTTTTTTTGTTCCTATTATTGTCACAGGATGAAGTTACAATTAGTCGTTCAAAGTCCAAGTGAGAGTGATGCAGTTGCTTCATCTTTTCTCGAATGCATCCAGTATCTCATTAAAACAAATATAGAAGATAAGGAGTTTTGTCTATTTCTTCTTGAACAGCACGTAAGTAATTTCTTTGAAATCGCTAATAGCTCTGATTTTAGGAAAATATTTATGTTAATATTTTTGGAAGGTGAAGTCAAATGAAACAATTTATTTTTTTGGTGGAATGTTCGTATAGTGTCTCAAAAACTGTATTAAAAGTTTGAACTTAAGTTAAAAGCTATCTTATGAGCATTCAATTTTTTGTATAATTAAAAATTTCATATCTAAGTGAAAAATAAAATAGAGGTAGTCTGCTTCTAAATTTTTGGTACACAAATAGCTTCAAATTTTTCTCTTAATATAATTGCTAAAAACTATCTTAAAGAGATGATTAGAATCTCAGTAACAGTCCAAAAAAAAAAAAAAAAAAAACAGCTTTCTTATAGTGTTTTACAGATTTATGATTTTAAATGAACTTCTATCAAAATTTAAATTTATTTCAAGATTAATTAGGGGTCATGTTTGAGATAAAAAATCTTTTTAAAAAATTAAAATTGTTGCTTATCTTTTGTTGGGACATGAATTTTCCTTTCTTCAGAGAATGAATTATACGAATCTGACCTTTGTCAGTGTTGGATGATTTAAGAATCTAATGTTTTGAAATTTAGGGTTGTATCATATTTTACTTAGCACCCTCAATTAATTATTTAATTATTTATAATTTCTTATTTTTCAGCTACTGAAGGCTTTATCCACATATATGCTCGAAACAGTTTATCGTTATCAACTGAAAGCTTTTGTGAAATCCTTGTCACGCATGATTATATACTGGCACAAAAATGAAGATTCTCTAGAATTCTATGGTATTCTCATTCAGAAATTTTGGACAGATCTCCTGTCTCTATCTGTAACTAGTTTCAAAAATTGTTCCTATAAAGAACAACTTTCTGTCATTTTGCAATCTCATTTTATGGTGATCAGTATTCTGAATACACCGCATGCACCGTTAAAAAAAAAATTAAGGGTAAGCATTCCATTTTTTTTTTTTCTGACAATCAGTGATTTTCTATTCATTCTGTTTAATTGTTTGTTTTTAATGTCCCAAATAGGTGTCTTTTGTGGAAGATTCAAAAGTCGATGGAAATGTTATTGAATCGAAAAATCTGAAAGATACAAATTTTATTAAAAATAACACTGAAAAAAAACTCGAGGACAATATGCTTGTCTTTGCAAAAGAGTTATTTAAGGAGTATTATAAGTTTAGTCTGGAGACAGAAAATAAGGAAATGCAAATTCTTATGCTTTCACAGATGAATAAAATAATTGAATTACTAAATGCTCATTTGAACAGTTTTATTTTAATTCTTGAACCAAAATGGAGTACCTCAGTTTTTTCATGGCTAAGGGATAGTGAGATATCGATGGAAAATCTTTTAGGAATAATTTTTTGTAGTTTGGAATACCTCGATACTAATGACCAGACACAATTGATGACCGAATTGACACAGGTATTTTTCATGAGTATTTTATTAAAATAGAGTAGAATGGAAAATAACTTTATCCTAGGACAAAGTCCCTTGAGAATAACAAATAGTCCTAAAATATAAATAATATATTGGTAAGCTTAAAATTTTTGTATTGAATAATTAACAACCATTCCATTTTGCTTTATTCACAATTATTATGAATAACAGCTTGCAAAGAAACAAAAAACAATAAAATACTAAAGGACACAGACTAAGTATTTGGCTTTGTGAATTCATGGCTCATTTTTAATACATTCTGAAAAGAATTAAATTTAATTTTTTTAAGTATCAATAATACCAGAAATAATACAATTATTATTTTTTTATTTTATTTAGAAATATAATAATCTGTCAGGTGGACAATAATTATACTGATATATAAACACATTCACACCATATATATAGAAAATATAAAACAATACAAATCAGTATAAGAAAAAGTTTGTTAACTCACAAGGAGGCTGATAGATTCGTTAGTTGTACTGTTAGATTATGAGAGGTTTGAAGTAGATTAACTTAAAGTATTAAAACTTATTTCGATTAATCCAGACCTTTTTTCTCAATAAACCTTACATTTAACTATAGTCTTCTTTTTCCAAAGAATATATGAGCCGTTTATTTTGAAAGTGTCCTAAGTCTATTTATACTTAAATTGAGATATTTAAGGGTTTACGTTTCAATACAATTAAAAATATACGTACAAGATACTAATACCGTTTAAGTGTATCTAAAGGAGTTAAATTTGTAGTTCCTATTAAAATAATGGCAAGTATTAAGTGAATAATATGCTTTTTCTTACCAAGAATGGAGTTAGGCCACTTTCAAAATTAACAAGAAGATTTGTTATAAAATTTGAAGAAACCCAAGTCCATTCAACATAACTGGAATGAATGAAAACGTGTTTATTAAACTTTTTAAAAAATTACACAAAGTAAAATATATATATATATACAAGTAACAACACATAGACAATGGAAAATTCCATCTGTCGAGGTCTGTGTGTAATTAATAATACGTATTAATCACATTTGTAACTAAAATAAATGAGCAATAATATATCTACAGTATTATTATGGTTTTATACATCCATTCTAGCAATTTTCTTTTTCACTGTCTCATCTGTTTAAATAGAGTTTTTAAAAAACAAACTTTAATACATCACTAATCCAATAAATAAGAAATTTAAATTCAACAATAATAATAATCATCAAATACAATATAAAAATAAAACAAACCTTACAATAAATAAACACGATATTGTATCAATAGTTTACTATCTGACTAATTGAGATCTTTGCAATGTGGCCTGCTGTACATCATTGCTTAAGGCTTTCCAGTTAAAACCCTTTAAGAAACCAAATAATTCTTCTGGAGAAGAGGTCCGCTGCCCAAAACATTTCTCTCTTAACCTACTGAACATATTCAACATAACTTAAGGTGCTTCAAATCGAAAAAAAAATCAATTTATTTTATACATCTTAACAACACTTCAAAAACGTAATTTATGCGATTCAAAACAATTTTTATCTTCAGAAACTACAAAATAATTTAGTGGTCATCTACATTTTCTGTGTGTGAAAGAGATAGAAGAAATCACGATGTTCCGGTATATATCATACTAAGTCCAGGATGTCCTTAAATTTTGAAAACAAATGTTTCATCAATCTTTTCTCCATTGTTATTAGATATGCGGAAGTATTAAACTTACACATTATACATACTTACAATTAAAATTTAACTGTAAGTATGTATATTGCGTAATTTTAGTTAAACTGCATATTTTTTAACCTAAAACTGAGGTAAAGTCGTTAAATACTAATTAATTAAAATTACTTTCATCACTACCTTCGGAATTATCAATAAAAATTAAGTATAAATGGACTTAGGCCACTTTCAAAGTAAACGGATCAATTATTGAACTAACTCTGAAAACAAACGTGTCCAAAATTATCGTATTTACTCAGAATATAAGTAACCTCAAATGTTTTATTGATAGATAAATTGAAATTGTTCATATAACGACGGTCAATTAAAATTAATTGACAAATGGCTTAGGCCACTTTCTAAATAAATGGCTCATAACTCAATTTTGATTTTGAATTATACCAACTTTCGAGTAAGTCCAGATCATTAGAGTTTTAATGTATATCACAAGTCCTTAATGAAAGATACTCGACACAAAATCTTCTTCAGAACATTTTTAGTTAGATACCTGTCTATTTTATGTAGATTTCTAATTATGATAAATTATTGTATCTCCTCAATATTGTTATTTGTGATTTAAACAACGTTTCATCTTTAACATTAATTTTAATTAACTATTTAAATTTTAGGAGAGATGTAAAGAGTGTTTAAAGGATGCTTTAAGAGTAGCATATAATACCGAAAATGTTAAATTGAAGCAGTGGCTTCAATCTGAAGATATGAAAAAAGAGATCTGTCAGACTTATAAAGAAGTTTGTGATGAAGAAAATAAAGTAATTTCTGGAATAGCGAAACACTTTTTTGACTTAAATATTGATAGAGGTAAATATTCCTCTTTTTTTTTCTCTTTATTTTTTATTCACAACTGTCAGTGTTCACTGGCAACCAGTGAATGCAATTACAATAAGCAAATAAAGTAAAACTAAGGATATGGTAGACAAGAGTATAATGTTCGATCGTATTACTTGTTAATCAAGATCTTTCGTCCAACTCCTTTTCAGCCTTCTATTGATGTTATCGGGCATGTTTTTATTGGTCATGTCTAGTATGAGTCTATTGCGGTGAACATAAATCTTGTGAAACCTTTTGTATTAAGTTCATGTGCGTTCCATGACAGTTTGCAGGCATAAATCTTTGTGAAGAGTTAGGTTACTAACATACCAAGGTGCTTGTGTAATTATCCTCAAAGTTTTGGCCTGAAGTATTTTTTATAGTTCCTGAATGTGTTTTTTTTAAAGAAATTGCTATGTTTATTGTTTTTAGTAAGTGTATCTGTTAAGTTTTTGTGTTAGATCTAACTTTGAGCGATGCCCAAGCAGAAAATATAACAGTAGAAATCGTTGATTTAATGTCTTTTGTTTAGCAATGATGTGTGGGCCCATATCCTTCTGTCCAATGTTAGACCTAGGTAATGTACTTTGTCCGATTGGGGGTTCATTGTCAAGATAGCCATGAGGGCAGAATGTTATGTGTTGCATTTAAAGTTTGCAAAAGTTTTATAGCATCTGTAGGTGATTTTGTGAAGTATATATATTAGCTAAATATGAAATTCATATTTGTTGATACAGACCGGGTACGTCAACTACGGACCAGACTTTTTCAGTTAGGTAAATGCTGGAGAAAGCCCATCAGTATGATGTTACATTACATCATTTGTTTATGAACTTCAGACAAGCATAATATGATTCAGTAAAAAGGGAAAAACCAAAAGAGCCGCTGGAGAAACTAGGAACTCCAAAGAAATTGATAAAGCTAGTCAGGATGTCATTGGCACACGAAAATTCAAAATTGAAAGAGGTCTTAGACGAGAAGATCCACTGTCTGCGGTGCTTTTTAACGTGGTTTTGGAAGCAGCCATAAGAAAAATAAAAATAAATGGGAGAGGTACAATTTATAATTGCATGACACAGAATTTAGTATATGCAGATGTTTTCATAACAGCACAGACTGTACCAACACTTTCAGGCTCTCTTGAAGAATTCCTGAACAAAGCTGGAGAACTAGGTGTAGAAATTAATATAGACAAGAGCATGTACATGTGGACCTCAAGAACAGACCATGTGACAAGAGAGGAAATGAGAATAGGGAACTGAAGATTCAAGAGCTGTGACGAATTTAAGTATCTTGGTAGCATGATCACCTCCAAGAACCAAGTAGGAAAAGATATCAAAGCCCATAAGGCTGCAGGAAATTGATGTCTGAACAGTGTACAGAAGTTGCTGAACTGCAAAAATATGTCAAGAAAGACAAAAATTTATAATAAATAAAACAATTCTTAGGCCTGTTGTGACATATGGAAGCATGACATGGTCCATGACTAAAGAAAGCAAAAGAATGCTCCATGTATGGGAAAGAAAAGTTTTCCAAAAAATTTATGAGTCAATCATAGAGGAGGCTCAATGGAGAATTAGGTCTAACTTAGAACTAAAAGAGCTATATGGTGGACATGACATTGTTAAAGTCATTCAACTCAACATATTGCAATGGTTGGGGCATGTAGAAAAGATGGACTCTAAAAGAATGCAGAGAAAACTTCTCTATGGAATGTCGGGAGGTGAAAGGTGTGGAAAGCCTAGCTCAGATGGTTGGATGAAGTGGAAGGTAACTTGAAGGAGATGGGTGTAAAGCGGTAGAGGCGCTTCGCTGCTGACAGGGATATGTGGAAGAAGACACGTTAGCAGAGGCCATGGTTCTTCAAGGACTGTAGAGCCCATCTATACTATAATTTCTAAAAAAAAGCATCTATTTTATCTTTTCCAATTATACATAATATGCCATATACTTATTTTAGACATAATTTCGGTTTAATGTTTGAATCCTTTATTACTTCTGTTAATAATTTATTCATAAAAAATATCTGATAGTTTAATCGAGAGAACTGTTCCAATCTGCATTCCTTTTACGTTTTTATATTTTTTATTATTAAATTTAAAAAAAAATTTTCAACACATAATTTTATGCCCTCTCAATATGTATTTTTATTTTTTATATTGGTATATGGTTCAATTTCTTTCCAGTTTTCTTCTAGGATTCTAATTATACTTTTTATTGGTACATCGGTGAACAAAGATTCCGCATAAAACTTATTAATTTTTCATTTTCCTTTAATTTAATTTCTCTAATTCTTTCTTTTACCTCAAACGCTTTTTTAAAATCATATATGTTATTATTATTTAAAATATCTAAACTTAGTTTAAAAAACTTGGAAAATTTATAAGTTGGGTTATCAATACCATTCACTATCGATCTGAAATTAATTCCTGGTTTGTTTATTTACTAACCCATATAACCTTGGAGATGTTGGGCTTTTTTTCAATCAATAAATTTTTTGTATTTAGATCTATATATTTTAGTTTTATATAATTTAATAATATATTCTTAGGATTTTTTTTTATTATTTCTAGTAAGGAGTCTTGTCTTAATTCTCTATAATTTTTTTCATTTTCAACCAGATTACTCATATTGCGGATATAAAAATTTCTATCCGTAATTGCAATTTGTTCTTATAAGATTTTATAACAAATATATTAGGGTGCTTTTTCGTATATTTAATTGTTTTGTTTAAATCATTGACCCATAATTTTTATAATGGGGTTAATTTTTGATTTTTATTGCTGTCCATCCAGTTACCTATTTTTCTGATTGTATTATTTCTAATGACATTTTTGTGATTTTCAGTATATTCAAAATTGTTTATCGTGTTTTATATATCTATTATAATATTTATAATATCCTTTTTATAATCTACTGAAAATAGATTTACATTATGACTCAAACTTAATAAATTTACTACATATTTTGGAATTTCCAGTTTTGGAACATTTGTATATATTCCTTTTCATACATCCTTTTATTATTTATTTATGAACTCATTATTACTACTACATTCCATCTTTAATCTTTGTTCCTTATCTATATTATTAACAGATAGGAATGTTTTATTTTTTCAAAAAATTATAATGTTTGAAATTAATGATATTTTTTTACCATAACAATTATATGGCTTTTCTATTTTTATTTTATGAATTTTTATTTTTCCCCTATTTCCTTTTCCAATCTCTGATTGTTCTCCATTATACATTGTTTTGCCCTTTAGTATCTATCTTTTATTTTATTTAACAACCAATGACTTTGCTTCAAGTCTAGTTTTATAGTTTATAATTCTATCAACAATATTTTATTAATGATGAAATTATGAAATGATTAAAGCACTTCTCTGTATTAACCAGAGGGTTTATTAGAGCTAAGTTTCTTGGTAAACTTGATTTTAAAAAATAATTTTTGCCCTTGCACTGATTATATTTCCTAAATTCAATTACAAGATTTACAATTAGAGTATTGTTTTGTTTTTGTCTGTAAACCTCTAAGGAGTTCTTTAATTCCTTTAATTTTAAGATTACATGTTTCTAAGGGTCATAGGGTCTTCCCTCTTTATATTTATGACAAACAACCTTTTTTAGGTTATTCATATTTTTTAATAATTATTATATTTAATTATTTTATTATAAAAACATTTTTTTGATATCACCGTCTTTTATTACAGTTTTAAAACATTTTTACAATATTTAAAAAAATTTATTTTTTAACATTTCAGCTCTAGGAGCCATTTTCGAAAATTCTTTTTCTTTTAAAAATAACAAACAAAATGTTAGTTTATACGATGTTTTATTTATTTATAACGAAACAATGTTTTATTTTTAGAGTTTATTGTTGGAGTGCCCACAGTTATTTCATTATTAGAAATAATTAAAGTACAATTGTCTTCTAACAATGAAAGTAATCTGAAAATCGCAACTGAAATGGCTGATACTCTGTTAAATAAGATTGCTTCTGTTAAAAAAGCACGTTACGCAGCTATAACATTAACTATGCTTGAGCCTATATTTGTTAACATAATTGAAGGTCATGGCAATGTTGTTTTTAAAACTTGGGAAAAAGGAATGCAATATGTAGTCGAAAGTGAAATTGATAAGACCATATTAAATGAGCATTTGCTTAAGTTGTGTGATCAACTCACCACTTTTATAACTAATAGGTCAGTATACTATTTTATTTATTTTACAGCATATTTTATTTCCCAAATTTTGTTTCATGTACTGAGTAGGCTCTCAATTTTGTGTGCCATGTCAATTACATTGCCTGCATAATGTAAAACTAATGAATGTGGATTTCTATACTTGTCATAAAAAAAAAAAAAAAAAAAAAAAAAAAAAAAAAAATATATATATATATATATATATATATATATATATATATATGAAGCTTATATCAAATACATTATTGAACATACTCACAGTTTGTTCAGTAATCTCTAAAGTTTATTATTTCCTTTGAGATTCATCACTCTGCAATAAAAAATTAATGATGGGCACAATCTAATTAAAATATAAATAAAATCGGTTTTATGTAATATGAAAATTGAATTAAAATTAATTACCTAAAGCAGAATAAATAATTTGATATGAAGAAAAATATCCATAATATAAAAAAATATTTACGTTAAAAAAAATTCAGACTAGGCAAATATCCCTATCTGCCTTAAGGGACGAAGAAATGATCTACATGAAAATATTTTTTTTTTATTATTAAACACTTTATTCAGAAATATTACAATTTGTCACAGTTTAAGGACACTTATAATAGAGTTCAGAGATTGCATTCATACCGTATATACAAAAATATAAATAAATAAAGTAATAACAAAAGAATAAGAAAAAAAGAACAAAAGAGTAAAGAAAAAAAAAATATATATATACACATAAGTAAATAAAAATAGAAATAAAAGTAAAACAAACACCTTATATAAAACATACCTATATACATTATTTACAATTTGCCAGGTGATCTCCGAACCAATCCTGTCCCCTCCACATGTGGAGGGAAAAGGGAGGCTTAGGAGATCCCTACACTTCTCCCTCAGCCACTTCACTGGTATTTTAAACCAGCGGAGGATGAGTAAGAGCGCTATAGCCACAGACACTCATGACTTGAGTGGAGAATCTGGCCATTGCTAGAACTCCAAAATATCCATATTTACAAAAGGTCTCGTGGCCACTGCCGCTTTAACCTACGAAGGGGATTGTAGGGATGGGTGGTGCTTGATAGGGATTGTACAACGATGATGAAAATATAAGTGAGTTGTTAGTTAATGTCTATGGATATTGAAACACGATGGATCTATGCAAGTCAATATTCAGATTGTATGAAATGAAAATATTTTTTGATGTAGAGATGGTTGACCGTTGATATAATATGAGAAGGAGTTAGTCGAGGGTGCGGTCAAATAAATAAAAAAAATCATAAATATCATAAATAAAAAGAACCAGTGTTTCAACTGCCTCCCGCAGTGCCACATCCTACGCCCTGAAGACGACCTGCAAAGTGGGTCGAAACGTCGGCAAAAATTAAAATAATTAATATATTTTAATTTTTTTTTATTTATTTGACCGAACCCTCGACTAACTCCTTCTCAGAAAATATTTTTTATTATCCTGGGACTGTTATCTCTTTAGGTCAAATTATAGATACAGAAAAAATGCCTGTGTGGCCATACATTAAATTAAATATTTACAAATCTCATTAAAATTGAAATATTGGAAAAAGGAAAAAACACTAAAAACATACAGATATATATATATATATATATATATATATATATATAACATGGGGAAAAAAAATAACAGAAGTAAACAAAATCATTTCTGGGGGAACTTAAAAAGTTCTGTTATCTTCATTTCATGATCAATCAGGTTGGGAAAGGAGTAGGTGCTTAAAAAGGAGAGATTTAAATGAGGAAAGTGATTGTGCATGTCGAATATCTGGAGGAATGGTATTCCAGAAGGAGATGGCTTGAATTAAAAAGGATTTGTTAAACACAGCAGTTCGGCGAGTAGGTGGATAGAGGTCGGAAGTATAAGAAGTATCTAGTGGGATGGGATTGAATGGAATATTTAAATTGTAGGCTGCGAAAAATATAGGAAAGTCGCTGAGTTCTGGTGGATTAGTAAAGAAAGGTAACGAGGAAGTACAGACGGCGGCCACTTCAACTTGGTGTAATGCTGGGTTATATACGTATCTCTTGAGATTCCGAAAACAAAACGTATTGTGCAATTCATTAGGCGTTATAAGTTTGGCTTGGAATTCTCCCGAGAGTCCGCCGTACACTGGACAGTCATAGTCAAAGAGGGGAAACACAAGAGAGGAAATCAGCAGTAGCAGGGATTTATATGGATGGAGATAGCGGATACGGTTATACTGTTTCAGGGTAGAGGCATTATGACAGGAAATTTGGGAAATACGTGGTTTCCAGGAGAGGGTTTGATCAAAGGTAACACTAAGGTTTTTTTATGGAAATATGGAATGAAATAGGTGAGTTGCTCAGGAAAAGATTGGGAGTGTCGGTAAGGATTTGAGGAGCGAGGGAGATCCGATCAGGATGGCTTTCGTCTTCTTGGCGTTTAGAGTAATCCTATTGTGGTTTGCCCAGGCCCAAATTCCGTTTATATCTTCCTGTAACTTTTGGATGACATCAGAGGATTCAGTCGGATTGAAAGAGAGGTAAATCTGGAGATGGAAAAAAGGGTGGAAAATAAGGAGGAGCCTTGTGGGACACCTCTGGACAAGGGTTAAGATTCTGATGGGGGGAGGGGAGGGGAGGACTACAACATACTGAGAGCAGCCAGTAAGGAAAGATTGGAACCAATTAAGGTTACTAGTTGAGAAAGAGATATTTTTAAGCTAGGTTAGGAGAATTTTGTGATCTACTGAGCCCAAAGGCTTTGGAGAAGTCAAAGAGAATAAGGATGGTGAGTTTCTGCTAGTTCACGGCTGTATGAAGATCTTGGAAAATTTTGATGAGGGCAGACTGAGTGGAGTAGCCCGGACGGAAACTAGACGTTAGTCATGTAAACACATAGCAGGTAAATTAATGTATGGTCAGAAGAGTTTAGAGTTTCGCTCAGGGAAATAAGGGAAGAAGGGAGAAGCACCCGAATACTTCACTAAGTTTCAATATTCATGGATATTAACTAATGTCCCAATTATACTTCTATGTGGATCGATCCAGCCATTTGCTCAAATTTAGTAAGGTTTTAAATGTCCTTTATCCATCATACCTTTTTCTTTCCCTTCTTCCAAATATATCAAAAGTAAGCTATGAAGCATGTATGCACTCATCATTGTAATATATAATGTATAATATTTTGCCATACTGTTATATTTTTGCTATGGATTGTCTGTAATAATAAGTAATAATAATGTGGTTGGTTTCAGAGAAACGAAATTTGATTCAAAGTTTATCCATTACTCAGTGATACATCTCCTCACTATTCTTATAAATAATGACGAAACAAAAAACATGGGTTTTACGTTCATCAATACTTTACTGTCTTCCATCTATTCGAATTTATTTAAAACGTTACAAAGACAGATTGAAGAAATATGCTTATTCGGAGATGCCATTAATGGAAAACTAAATCACCACCTAAACATTCCAGAAAATAGTAATGTCAGTTTGGTTAAAGAAAAGTGGGATCCGCTTCGTGACATAAACGTCCTTGGGTATGTCAGATCTCTAGATTTTGTTTTGATGATAATGTTGTCCGCTTATGGGGTAGAAATAAATGAAGAAGAAAAGGTATGTGACTGGGAACATAAGTTGGTATTTCTTCCTAATATTCTAAATGAAGTGAGAAACGAATTTGATTTACCTATTATAAACCTTTCTTGTGGATTGGTCCTTCTGAAAAAATTCAAGATCTACTATAGCAGTGTAAGTATATTTTATTAACCATATAAATTACAGTCAAACTTCTGTATGTCAATATATTGGGTTGGCAAATAAGTCCTTTTGGTTTTTCCGTTTATTTTTATGTCACTATGACGTATTTGTTATCTGATGAATTAATACCTAAGTTGGATTGTTTATCCTGTTTGTAATATGTCAACAACTATATCTGTTAACTCTTGTTGAAACTAGCTTAGTATCGTATTTGCTATTGTACTGTGAATATGGAAGAAAATATCATTCATTATCGACATATTTTGTTGTATTATTTTTAAAAAAGTAGGCTTGCTGCAGAAGCTCATAGAAATATTTGCAGTGTTTATGGGGATGATGCCTTAACCGAACGCACCTGTCAAATTAGTTTGCTAAATTTCATTCAGGAATCAATGATGCTCAACTGAACATGAAATTGAAACGAGCAATGTTAAGGCCATTACTGATCAAAATCCCTCCCAATCAGTGCGAGAGATTGCTATGGCCCTAAATGTGATGCACACAAGTATAGGAAACCATTTGCAGAAGCTTGGCCATGTTTCTAGGTTTAATATTTGGGTCCCCCACATGATTTTTGTTTTTAAACACAAAAAATGTTATAACTTCAATGCGACTATTTACTAGAAATTTAGCAGGAATTTAGGGCTACATAAACTACACAAAATGGCATCAACAGGACCTTCGTAAGCAAACTACAATTGGAGATAAAAAATAAAAACCTATAATGAGTTTTTGTATATTTATTCCTTATATAGACATTAAATCAAAAACCATTTATACGGTTTTGAAGAGCAATAATTCAGCTTTCCAGCAGATATAGTACCATCGAATTAGGAGAACATCCTGAAGAGTTATGAATGATCGCATTGGATTCCACCTAGACAACACTATGCCCCACACCTCATTGATCACTTGCAATAAATTATTGAGCCTTGGATGGGACCTTTTGTCCCTCCCTCCTTATTCACCAGACCTCCAAGTGACTAGCACTTATTCCAGTCTCTGCAGAACTCTATGAATGGAAAGAAATTCCAAAAGGAAGTTATCAAAAACTACTGATTCAGTTTTTTAACAATAAACTCCAGACATTCTATGAACATGGTATTATGCAGTTAGTGGAAATATGGGAAAAAGTCATATTAAATAATGGTCAATATATTGTAGATTAAAATAAATTTTATGTCTATAATACATCGAGTCTTATTTCACCTTGAAAAACTTAAAGGACTTATTTACCAACCCAATACATATAAATATGTGTGTGTGTATATATTAAACTATTTTTTGGAATCCATATATATGTTCATATCTTATCTTCCAAAGTGATTTCTGAATTAAACCTGACAACGAGACCAATATATTATCTTATTACAATTGTTACAAAAATTTTTTTTTCAAATGAAACTCTTTAGGCGTGTTTTGAACTTTTTTGTGGAGAGTGAATTAGATTGATCCATCAGATTTTAACGCTCGAGTAAAGTTGGCTATAGTCGACTAATTGAAATGTTTTTCATATGGTTTAAAATATCTCAGAAACTAAAAATTGGGTCCGCTTACTGTGTAAAGGAAATTGTTCAGCATTTCATCCTCTCTGTAATAGGCTATAATTCAAAATTGTATCTTAAGGCGACACCGTGTTAGGGAGGCGAAAAGGAGAAACTGGTGTCGAAAACCAAATGATAACAAGATTAGCTGAATATATGGATTAAAATATTTCAGATACTAAAAATCGGACCTGTATACTGTAAGAGAGGAAAATGTTTAACATTTGACCGTCTTTATAATGAGCTATTATTTATAATTTATATTTCATATTATTAATCTCGCGTTGTTGTTTTCACTTCTTTGGTGTGGTATAAAGCACACACCTTATTTTTTTTTTCTAATTGTCGTACTATTTTTCCAAAAAAAAAAAAATTAGAGTTTTTATTAATCATTTGATTATTTTTTAAAAATAGTTTAATAACATTGGCTTTGGTTTTTATTTTATTAGACAAGGCAGTATTTTGATGTCAAAAACTATATTGAACCATTTGGCAGATTGATGAAAGAACTTATACAAAGTTGTGATCCGAACCAACAGAAAAGGATATTGAATAAATTTGCATCAGTTAATCTGTGAGTAATTTTAATTAAATTTTTAAAATATATTTTTAAGAACTGTGGAATTTTTTATATGGAATCATATATATATATATATATATATATATATATATATATATATATATATATATATATATATAGAGAGATACTTTTAATCATAAAAAAAATTGATTTATTTCTTTTGTTCAAGAAATTGGTTATCATAAATCATGTCTTAGTTGGATGAAATTTTTAATCCTAGTTTCTTTTCAATCATTATTTTTCAATTATTTGACATATTTTAAGCATTTTGTGTACACTTTATTTATGAAATATATTTGCTTTCTTCTATTTCGTAGTAATCTAATGTTAATTTTAATTTTAGGCCTGCATCAAATATATTGTGTTCTGAAGCTAAAGAGGTAATTCTGGAATTTCTCGAAGGTACATTGCAGGTTCGTTAAACTTCTATTATTTTTACATTTTTTTTTTAATTTAATTTTAATTGAAATAATTGGTTAATTGCTTGGGTTGAAAAAACCCACTTCAGTTGATGTTGAAAGATCCTTTTTTTTTTCTTCTAACTTCTCAAACCTGTACATCAAATGTTTAATGCTTACTAAAGGGATGATTAAAATCTCTTTTTAAACATGGTTTCAGCATAATTAAACATTTGAAAATGGCCAAAAACAACAGGGCAAAATTTTACAATAAAATAATATTTTAAAGGAAACAAAATGCTTTATGTTGAAAAAATTTTCAATTATAAATAAATGTATATGAATATTGTAGTATTTTATTCATTAATCTATTTTAATTTGTATTAAAAATAGTAATTAATTTGTTTACTTCCTCCCTACTGAAGGTACAATAGCTTTGTATTCATACAGGACATTTAAATAAATTTTGTTCTCAAAATTGGAAATTCCTTTTCGCATATTACAGTTTAGACATCAAAGATCAAATTCGGTATCGTGTCTGTCTGTATCTAAATTTATCAACTACCATTAGTCTGATTAATATTGTTTAGATTTTTCAGAGATTGTACAGATTCTAAGTTGAGATGGTCTCATATCAATTTTATCAAATTGTTTTTACTGATTCACTTACTCATGCACAATATATTTTCATTCCGTTCTTATTATTTTTATTCATTTTTATGGATTTGGTTCAAAGTCCGAAGAAAGCTGAGGAATAATGTAAAAATGGCCGAGTATCAATTTTGTCAATTATTTTTGTTTATGCACATGAAAATATCTTCATTAACAAGAAAATACAATCATTATTCTTAAATTACTAGTCAAAGATTTTTAAATATTGGTAATGATGTCCCCAATAGAAATAGTGAGGAACCTATACTATACTAATCTTATTTACCACCCTTTTTTTAATCTATATTTTTACTTTCACTTACCTATATATGAAATATATAGTAAAGGAAAGTATTGCGATCGTGAAAATTTTTTAATTTCAATTTTCAACGGAAATACACTTTTTGAGATCGCTGAGTCCAAATAACCAAGTCCTGCAAAGTGGTCTGTGTGTGTGTGTGTGTGTTAACAGTGCAGCTCAAAAACGAAAAGTCGTACGAAAGTGAAATTGCATATTTAAGGTTTTTATATGTTAGGGATTTTACGGTAACTTTTTCGTCAAAATCGACTGACCGGAAGTGGCACTTTATATCATGGGCTAAACATATTTTTACAATTTTTTCGGCAATGGCTCTAACGATTTTGATTAAATTCATTATATCAGTGTAAAATTAAGCAGTTTTAAATAAAATGTAGTTTTTATTTTGATTGATGTTCTCTAACAGGGCTTAAATGGCTAATTTTCAATATTAGCTTCTTCTAAAGTACCTTTAATTTTTTTATTTGAAACAATTGACTATTTCACATTAATTTCTAATATAAAATATGAAAGAATTTGATAATTAACTAAAGGATAAATAAAAATTGTAACACAGAATAGTTGTAATTGTCCGCATCCGAGCTCGCCCGAAAGATTATAACTGGCTTCCATACGTAACATGAGCTTAATATATTACGGATTCCGACTATATTATATAAATATAAATATGCGGTTTTCATAAATGCAATTTTTGGTATTATTTAATATTTAATTGTATAGATTACACCGATATAAATATTAAAAGTTGTATATATAAGGGTACTTATACAAATAAAAATTCCCACAATGAAATATAAATAATTATAACGTCTATAATTTTTACTTTCACTTCTCCTTTGTCTGAAAATACTTATTTCTGCTAAGAGGGTGGTAAGTGAAAGTTGTGTGATGCGCACACCGCACCAGATTTTTTAATTATTTTTCTATTCCTTAATTAATTAATTTTCTCAATAATTCCATTATTGTTAAAAGTTTTTATTTCTAATGATTTATGTATAAAATTCCTTTTGAGTCTTCACAAGGTTACAAATTTTATTTCTCATTTTTAGTAGTAAGTTAAAATACATGTTTTTAAATATAGTTATTAATTATACTTGTATATGCAAATAAGTTTGTTTTACTTTTTTTAGTTCTTTGTTAATTACTCATTATCAATTATTGTTATTATAATATTTCATAAGAATTATTTTTATTTGAGTTTTATGAACTAATAGCTTCTTACCAAAACTTATAATTTGATAATAATTTTATATATACATTAACAATGCCTATTTAGAAAATAAATAAAATAAAACAAAATCAATTAATCAAAAAAAGTAAGGCATGGATACAAAAATGCACTACTTAATACATTTTAAACAGGAATTAATTAACTCTATTTTTTGTTTTTGTATAGGATGAAACTAGTAAGGCATTGGCAAACATTCATATCGATGAAAAAGTTTCAGAATTTATTTTAGATATTAATGAAGTTCGTAAGTTAAGGAAGCAGTTGGAAAACCTAAGTTTGTCCCATAATGAAATGAACACTACATTGAAAATTGTTGCTGAAAAATTCAGAGAGTCATTTATTTTTCCTAAGTAAGTGGCTTTATTTGTTCTTATTTTCTAACTCTTATCAGTCAGTGGGGGTATTAGAGATATCTAAACCTATGGGACAGAGTGACTTGTCTTATCACGATATCAGAGAACCAAGAATGAGAAAAACTAAAACTAAAATCTAGAACACCTTAGATGATAAGTTACAAATGGATTCGAAGATGTACCAAGTTGTGAGGGTGGATTACAAAAAAAAAAAAAAAGTTTGGATATATGCTTTTCTAAATATTTATTCAAGTTATCATTTCCTTTTATAGATCATAAAGAGAATTTTTCAATAATATTCGGAAATAAATTAATGGAAAATTCCCTGACTTTTCCCTGTCTATAAGAAGAAGAAAAAGTCTTTTTATTAATTAAAATTACATAATATAAATGGTTTGTTGTAATGGCTACATGGTTTGTTGACCGTCAGAGGAGTCTGTGTTTTATAACAAAATTATATTTTAATCTATTTGTATTATTGTATATTGGTATGTATGTGTTCTTTTTATTTATTTATTTTTAGGTTATTTTATTCTTATTTATTGTATATATATTATTTTTCTATATAATTTATTTTATTTATTGTATATAGAGTGTGAGTGTGATCTCTAAACACTGTTATAAATGTCCTTGAGACAGATTGTAATATTTTTCAATAAATAAGTTTTAAAAAAATCTATTTATATACAACTAATTAATAAGCAAATAAGAACAATTATATTTACAATGTAAAAGTTATATAAATATTTTAATTACAAAAAGAGTGGTACCGAAATTCTCCAATTTATTAATTGTTAAATTCTTTGGTGAGCATTATTCTATAGGGGAAAGCAGTCTTGCAGTAATTTACCAATGCTATCCAATTGTTTCCATTTATTAAATCTATTATTTGATCCCAGAGATAAATTTCTAGATTTTAACCATTTAATTCTAAATTCAGAGAGTATCAGACAAGCAGCCAGGAAGTGACAGAGATCTTTTATTTCGTTTGTATTACACATGCTACAAATATTATTTGTTTGCTTGAAGTTCAAAACATCAGCTCTAATTTTAATTAAAAATCTGATCACCTTCAATGAGCTTTTGTCTTCTATGTTTTCTATTTGCAATATACTCAAGTTTGGTTTGTCATATAATTTATATTATTTAATCTTTGTGAAAATTAATCCATCAATAAATCTATAGCCACACTGCAAAAGCCTGTAAGAGCAAAAAAATGTTCAGAAGAAGAAAAAAACTGCATAACTTTTGTTCTATGACTATTATATGTTCGGTTCAATTTTTTTTGCAGACCTAAGACAAATATGTAATGCTCTGTGTAAATTTTTTTATCATATTTCTGCCTAATAATCATTTAGAGCCATTACTTCTAACTTATGGCATTTTAGTCACTTTGAAAAACAGGTATTAGTCAGGTAAAAGCTATCAAATTTATTGTAGTAACACCCATAGTTTTGTTAATAATGATCAAATCATGATAGGAACTAAATCAATTTCCAAAATGTAGAGAAACAATACTTCAAATGAAAATTTTTAAAAAATTTGATTGAAAACGTGTATTTGATCACACGGGTTATTCACTTTTTTGTCTCCCACTGTAGGGGCAGCTTGAAATCAGGAAGGCAAGGTAGGGAAAAAAAAAAAAAAAAAAAAAAAAAAAAAAAAAAAAAAAAAAAAAAAAAAAAAAAAAAAAGTGATCTTTTTCACTTCTTAGCCAAATATTCAGCTCAGTTTTTAGGTGCAAGAGAGTTTCTTGTAGATGCTCTGTTAAAAATTTGTTTTTGATTTTTCTCTTTAATACCCCCTCTGTGCATGATTGTTGTAAGCCTGGGAATTTTTCTCACCATGCATGGACTCAGCGTTATCAATTGATCCATCCAACTTAAGCAACATTTATCAAATGTATTTTTATATTCATTTTAGTAATTTTTGTTTATGCTCTTCTTTTAAATTTGTCTTGCTGTTGTTTAACCGTATTTTTTAAAAATAATTCAACCATTATCTCTTATTTTTATTATTCTATATTTATATTTCTTATTACAATAGTATTGTTTTATTAATTGTTTATTTATTTATATATTTATTTCTGGCAGAATTATTTATTAATTTATAAGACAATTATTATTATGTCTCAGGTTTGGCAAATAGCAAAAATTTCACAATACAGAAAGACGAATTTCCATGCTTTAAAATGTTTTATATTTTTCATTGTCAAATTTTGTATTATAATTCGATAGAGCATCGATAATAATAATTTGAGAAGGAGTTAGTCGGGGGTGTGGTCAAAGAAATAATAAATTAAAATATCTTAATTATTTTAATTTTTGCCAACGTTTTGGCCCACTTTGCAGGTCGTCTTCAGGGCTACAAAAGATACAAAACATGTTGAAAATAAAAAATAAATATAAATAGATATAAAATAAGAAGAAGTCAGATTTTATTTATTATTTTATATCTACTTATATTTATTTTTTATTTTCAACATGTTTTGTATCTTTTGTAGCCCTGAAGACGACCTGCAAAGTGGGTCGAAACGTCGGCAAACATTAAAATAATTAATATATTTTAATTTATTATTTATTTGACCTCACCCCCGACTAACTCCTTCTCATATTATATCAACGGTCAACCATCTCTACATTGATAATAATAATTTTGTTCTGGCAGGTCTTTAGAAGAAATCCCAGAAAATCTTTTTGGAATAGCCGCCGAAGTGGCGTGGTTATTTCAAACAGCAATCGCACGACACCCAACAATATTAAATACTGTAGCTTGGGATTTTGCCAGGGTATCCGTGACGAGGTGGCTAGAATGCATCTCTTTCATTAAGGATATGCCTGATGACTGTTTTGAAGTAATTAATATTTTTTTTAAATTAGTGTTTTATACTCCTATCATCGTTATTATTAATTTCATATAATTATTGTTGTAGCAATAATCAATAATAAGTAAAATTATGTTTTACAGCTGATCGCGATGAGTTCAGCAACATGCAGATTGTTAATAACCATATCAGACACCCTCAGCGTTGAAGAATCTTTAGCCAGCTACTGCGAAGAGTGGAAAGAAGTTTTTGCAGCTGATGCTTACTACTTTCTTTGCAAATCTTGGAAAAATATTACTGGTACTATTTGTAAAGATTATGTTCTTATTATATTAGTATAACGGGAAATATATAAACTGCTTTTGACTCAGTCCTGAGGCAGGAGATATGGGACACACTAATAACAAGAAGCAAACTTGGTGAGAGCAATTAAATCGGTGTACCAAGAATTTTCTTTCTTCTAATGGATGAGATATAGAAGGTGCGCGAAAAGAGATGCCCAAGAACAGTAATAGGTTTTTGGAACCTAACTCCAATACTGGCTCAAGGAATGATATATGCGGATGATATCCTACTGATAGCTAACTCTGAAGAGGCTCTTCACTCATTCTTGGATGAATGGAATGAGGAACTAAAGATAAGAGGTACAAAGCAAAATCATGTGTGTCGGAAGAGAATACGCAGAGCCTAGGATTTTGTGTAATGGTGAATCCATAGAACTTATGAATACTTATAAGTATCTAGGGACCATAATAAGTAAAGATGGTAAAATAGACCAGAGGTCCTAAATCGAATGATGAAGACCACTGGAATGTACCATCAGATTTCTAAAACTGTTGTAGGCAAGCAAGAAGTAAGTAGAGATGCCAAAATACGGATATTTAAATCCATGTTCCTCCCAGTTCTCCTGTATGGATCAGAAAGCTGGACAGCACTTGACAAGCACATAACATAAGCAGAAATGAGATTCCTCCAAAGAATAGTTGGTAAGACCAGGAAGGACTGCGTCAGAAATAAAAGAATTCGGGAAGATCTGGGTGTTAAACCAGTGCGCAACACCATGCAAGAACGACTACTAAGATGGTATGGACACATCTGTAGAATGGACGGTACCAGAAAAGCCAGGTGGTTTTTGGAAGGAAGACGGTCTCATGGTAGACCCAGGTGCGTGTACTCTGATGACATTGAAAAGCTGGGGTCAGCAAGAGGACACACCATCCCCCGATATAAGAAGCCAGGGACAGAGACCACCGGGCTAGATGGACTGAGACTGCAACTCCACGCTTGACGGCACACAGGAGTTATAGAATGAAGAAGAAATATAAACACTATAAGCCCTGGGAGCCTAAAGAAGACAGGGAGATCACTTGCCTACTCCTAACTGAAATATGACATTTTACTAACTTTGATTAGTTACTCAACCATTAATGGAATTTTCATTGCACCTATCTCAATCAGCCTTAAGACCCGGTCAAGTAATTTAGTTGAGTTAATCGGTCTTGAGACCACGATTAAATCTTTAATTGTTAAAGTGTTACCTATGATTACTTCTAACTTGACTCACATCTTTCGATTTCACTTTCACAGAAATAACTTTTTACAGTTGACTTAATTCTATTGTTACTGGCAATAATGTTCTGTTCTACCTGTAAGAAATTGAGAACAAATAAACAAAATTTAATTAGGAACTTTGAAAATGAGATTTTTTGAAAAAACATTGAAATTTAGGTAGAAAGTGCCCAGAAAGGGCATTCGACCTTTTTTTTTTTTACTGAGGACTTATTTTTAGCTTCTAAGCTATACAATAAAGCTAAAAGTGAATTATTTGCAAAAAGGGCAGTTGTGTTAAGGTATTTGTTTGTTTTTTTAGAATTCATTTTTATTTATTTTTAATAGATTAGAAGCTAAAATAGAATTTTCTGAGCAGTATAGGACTTCAAGTTAAGTGTTGGCTGATAAAAAAAATAAGTAAAACAGAATTTTCTGAAAAAATTAACTCCTAAATTCAAGTACTCTTTTTGTCCTGACTGCCACAATTGTCAAAAATTAAAATAAATAATTTTTTTTTTTTCTTTTTTCTGGGAAGTTGTATGTTATTCTCTGTTTTTGGCAATAATAACTTCCATATTACTAAACAGACACCAAACATTTGGGGACACATTATGTTGAGATATTAGACGAAATTATAATTTAGTAAAAATGAAATTGCAGTTACATAAAAAAGTAAAAATTTAACAATAGTAAAAAATAAATAGTCATACCAAAGATCAATTGTATTCACCATGGCGGACACCCAATAATTGGTTTAAAGGCATGATAATGCTCTGGATATTATATACTATAATTTGTTATAACATAAATTTAGAACCTGACAATGGAGCACTTAAGGTAATTACAAATTTAATATAACAATTCAATTCTGACATGTATTGTAACATGCATTATATTTAACTCATTTTTAGCTATGAATCGACAAAGAAACATGGGATTGTTGTTCTGAAGATGGGAGTAAAATTTCCTTAAACATAAACATGTAAACATGGTAAAATAAATCTATTGTTGTTTAATTCGAAGTTATTATTGCCAAAAACAGAGAATAAATAAAATTGTTTAGTATGAAATAAAAACAAAAGATTATATATTAATCTTTGTATTTATTTATTATATTTTTTTTTTTTTAGAAACCGCTCTAAGTCGAGGTGTTAACTACATGACATTTCTTCACATCGTTCAACTCAGTGAAACTATTAGTTACCTGTGCGACATGAAAACATTTCACAAGTTGAAACCAGAGAACGGCAGCATTAAGGAATGGGTCGAGTTCACCATGACTTGTATTCTAGCACCTTCTGTTCCCGTGCAGCTGACTTCTTATAAAATTTTAGAAGTGTGAGGTTTAAATCCATTTAATGTGCTTTGATAGTTTTTATTATTTTATTTACGTCTATGGATGAATGTTAAATTTTTTTAAAAATAAATTTTAATGGTTTTTTGACATGAATTGCTGTCATGAACTAATTTATTATTTTCAGATTATTACCAAATCTGACTAAGCTGGACGAGGGCTTGAATGAAAGCTCTTTAGACAAAATATCTTGTAATATGTTTGAGCCGAAACTGATGGAGACTCAGACCGTTTTCATGACGATGTTACAAGATTTCAGGTAAAATTTCAATATATAAATAATTGAATTGATTATTTATTGAAGGAAGTTAGTCGACTGTTCTACATATCATGGGTGATAAATATTTAGGATGCAGTCTTTTTTTTTTATCGATAATACAATCGTATAATATTATATCTCTGATTGTGTTTTAAAAAATTTTCAGTCCTGAAGATGACCCACATGTTTGGGTTGAAACGTTGGCATAAATAAAAAATTAAAATTTTTTTCTTAAAAAAAGGACTACGCCCTGAATATTTATCACCCATGAATTGATTATTTAAGAAACAACACTTGTGAGATTTTTGTGATTTTGAAACAAAAATATCTATTTTATCTAAAACTTTAAAAGATGGAAATCTACAAAATATATAAATAGTGTGAATAATTTATCTATATATTATTCATGCAATGTATTTTTTTTTTTTATACTAAAACATGCAATGATGAACAATATACTCTGAAACTCTGTTGGTTAAAAACTAATGAAAATTTATCCTTTATGAGATAACAAATTTTATTAATATTTGTTTTTATTTTTTTCATTAAATTTCAGTTACACGGAAAAAAGTTTTTTCTGCAATAAGATGCAAAGGTTTTCTCTTTTATTACTCTCTAATGATGCATCAATTTTTAATTTTTATTTCTCTCATAAAATATTGAGACAGAAATTGTGTCAGATTTTTTTCACAACTGTTTTAGGGGTTACATTAATAAAATATGGAATTGGGGTTGATATATATTTATTGGTACTAAAACTCATTGAGTACTATTAAGTTGTGGAACTTAAAATAGTTTCACAGTGTTGTGATTTCTCAGAATAACTCATCATATTACTTACTGATTTAATTTTGTACAATGTTGTTTAATGAATTTCAGCAATAAACTGACAATTTCAAAGAATAACATAGGCTTGTTTAGCGATTGTTATTATATCTTTCATTTTATTTTATTATTTGTAATATTTTATTTTATTCATTGTAATATTTGTTGTTAACAGCATTGGTGTTAGCTGTTCAGTAGCACCATTCACCGACAGTTACACCTACAGCCTTGCTTATTTACTACTGTGGTCGGTACTGATAAAAATTTGCCAAGAAGGTGATTTGCAGCAGAAGTATATTTACCCTTTGTGGATAAAGTAAGTTATTTATTTATAATTGACTGCATACACATTGCTAAAAGTTAAAAGCTGTCTTTATATCTCTATTCTCAAATCAAATTCATAACTATCAAAATATAAAATCTCTTTTAATTTATTAATAGTATTTATCAGGTTGATAAAGTGTTCTACTAATTAACTTAGTATGATTTTAGAAATAAAAACAAAAATCAGTTTTTATTAACTGAATTTGACCCGGTTCAGTTTTGTTAATGATTTTTTTTTTATGTTTCAATAATCTCATACTTTTCACACCAAACTCCTATAAACAGGAATTTCATATTTGACCTGAAGTGATTTCAAGTGTCTTGAAATTATTAATTTTGATCCAAGATGATATAGATCAAAATCTACATAAATTTGATATGCGTTTGAAATTGAAGTAAAAATAAAGCGGAGAAACACCAATAATTCAGTTAAATATATTAATTCCACTAAGACATTAAGAAAGATAAATAAGAAATGTTTACTAAATTTTAAGAAAAAAGATGATTTATTGTTGTGTTCCCTGAAAATTATTATAAAGAATTAACGATATTTACAGAGTAACTGAGGCGGTTACAGAAAAACAATATTTAAATCGTTTTCTAAAAAAAAAAAAAATAAAATAAATATTATTTTGTTATCAAAATAGTAAAATATATGAAAAATAATAATGGTTATTTAAATGCAAAATAAATATGATTTTTCATTGGAATGTTTGATTGTAGTCCTGATGCTTTAATGTGTAGGTATTTCTCAAATTTTCTTAATTCAAAGATGTCTCAATTTTATTTTCAGAGAGAAGGATATCATACATAAATTTATAGAAGGTGTCGCTAAAGTTATGCCAGAATCTGTGATTTATTTCTTAGAAAAAAATGTGAAAAAAGGACAGGAATTCTTCGTGAACAAACCATCTCATTCATTTTGTAAGTGATAAATATAAATTATGTATTGAATAGATACATTTGAATAGAGGACAGTTATAGTGGAGGTCATAATTAATTAAAATAGTCTAAAGCATAAATATTGAAAATGATTAAATATTTGATAGTTGAACGTTGCATTATTAAGGAAGGAGATGGTCCGCGGTCATAAATAGACTAAATAGTGGCAAAACTATTTTATTAAAAGTTAACATTTCGACCCGACTTGGCAGGTCTTCTTCAAGGCTAGAACGAACAAGATACAAAAAGATATAGAGAATTGTGGAAGTTACTTAATATTTAGATAAAAACTTACGTCTTGATATTATCCAATATTTAAATATAATTTTCTTACATATGTACAACTAAATATAATTATAATTATTCATATTTGTTTCGTCTCTATACTTCTAAATTAGTTCTGCAATGTATGATCTCTTATTTCTATATTTATATTTTACTTCTATGTACGTTTTATTCTTCTAATTTTATTTACTATTTTTTGGTTTTCTTTTCTTTCTCCATATTCCTTTATGTCCATTATTTCATATTATATCCTTTTTCCTTTTCTTCCAATCTCTCCTGTAGATCTGTAGGACTATATTCACAATTGCATATATTTTATTATATATTATACTACAACAATTGTTATTAACCATCTATTTACTTCAGTTTAGGATCTTGTTACTTAGCTTTCTCTGTTTATATTTTATTATAAGTTTAATCACATTGTTTTATAATTTTTTGTCCAAATATTATGTAACTTCCACAATTCTCTATATCTTTTTGTATCTTGTCCGTTCTAGCCCTGAAGAAGACCTGTGTATTGAAAATAAATTAGGAAAAATGTTGTAATATTATAAAAATGAACAGAATTGTAACATTAAGTATAATATTATACTACTGTATTAAAACATATAGTAGTGGAATTGTTTTATAAGATACATCTTTGAGATCCCCAAGCGTTCTCATGCTTCATTCTAGTACACTGAGTTGAAGTGGCTGTATCTTACTATCTGACGGCAATTCCTCCTTCGTGTTTTCCTTACCAAGTCCTCAGAACTAAAAATCCTCCCTACATCCTGAAACTCCTTACTCTACGTTGCTCTATCCACTTTCTCAATACCAGGTCTCAATCTATAGACTTATATATTCTCTCCCATAAAACTTCTTTCTGCAAATCCTTCGTCATTCGCGCTATCTCCTATTGGAACTCTCTTCCTAGCTACATACGTCAATCCTCGTCCGCAAACAACTTCTGTTCTACCGCCTACTCCATATTTGAACTTCTGCAAACATAAAACTTACTTGCATCTGTGCACCTTTTAATTCAATCAACTGCAGAATTACAATAACAATCAACAGACAATTAGGCATAATTTTGTATCCTTTTAAGCCAGTCTAAGCCTCATAAATATGTAACTCTGTTATTATTCTAAAGGGACTGTAGTCCCAGAATAAAATTATTTTTTTCATAATTGGTAATTGGTTGACTGTCGTGGATAATGAAGAGAAGAATAGTTGGGGTGGTCAGTCAAAAAGGAAAGCAAAAATATATGATAATATTTATTTTTACATATGCCGACGTTTCGACCTGAAGTTCAGGCCTTCATCAGGGTTTCATTTCTTATATAACTTCATATTTCTTTTTTTATGTTTTACATTTTATTCTAAGATTCCCATTGTAACACTTATGTCACCCTTTTTGATTATGCCTAGTTCATCATTCCACACTTTGTAACGGTTATTATTATTTATCTCTTAGTTCTTAGTCACTATTCTAACAATTTCATTTTACTTTTTATTTATTTATTTTATTTTTTATTATTTCATTTTATTTTATTTTTTTTTACCATCACTACTTATGTTTCTCATACCTTGTTATCTGGTTATTTTCTTAGCCCCGATGAAGGCCTGAACTTCAGGTCGAAACGTCGGCATATGTAAAAATAAATATTATCATTTATTTTTGCCTTCCTTTTTGACTGACCACCCCAACTATTCTTCTCTTCATTAATTATTTTTTTCATTTAATTTCATAGTATAAGAAAAAAAAAGTATAAGAGTATAAGAAAAATTTTTTTGTCATGTACTGTGAAGTACTTACAAGAAAATTATAATTATTAACAACGATGCTTTGGATTATAGCTGATTGGACAAGTGAAAAGTTGAGTCATCTGGGATGTTGGCTTCTTTCTGAGCTTATGGCTACTCTACCCGCAGTCGTGAGGCAGTGGGCATCCGAGGCGGAACCCAAGCAACTCGCGTTCATCGACAGGCTTGTAACGGCCTTTATATCTCCTAATCTTGCTGCTAGAGAAATGTTAGCCATTAGTAAGCAGCAGAAATCATTCGACAACATGAAGGTATTAATTAATTTTATCGCAGTCATTATAGCTGTAATTTTGTAAATGTTTTAGGCCTTCAGAATATCCGAATGAAATATTTTCTATTCCAAAAGTACTCTTTTCTGTTCACAAATTAATGTATGTTACTCTGAAATAAAATATTCACCACATTCTGTAATTCCCTTCTTCACAAAACGGTCAGACACTGAATAACCATGTATTACGTAACACGATTTCATTTTTGATTAATCACGTTAATTTTATCTTTGAATACGCACTTAAATTTCCTTCAATTTATTTTTTACTGAAATTGAATTATTTGTGTTCAACTGTATGTATTTGTTTTTGAGTATGTATGTACATTTTGTTTATTTCTACTCAATTTTTTTTTTTTTTTTTAAACTATAATTATGTAAAGTTACTTAAATATTTGCAGATAACAAAAGTAATTTTCTTCATTCTTTATTATTGTTATTTATTTTTCTTCTTTTTTTTTAAGTAAAATATTTTCCCAACCTACCAGAGGAAACTTATTATATTTTCTTTATCTCATTATCTTTTAGCATTTAGGCCAGAAATACATTGTATTTTTCTTTAACAGTTGTTATTCTCAAGGGACATTGTCATGGAATAAATTTATTTTTATATTTTTGTTTTATAGGTTTATACACATCCTTCCGTTCGAGAAGTTGTTGCGGTGTACACGGTTGAAGAAAGTTCGACAGAGTTGGTTGTCCAGTTAGCTTTCGATCACCCTTTGTCGCCTCCGAAAGTTGATATTTCAAAGGCTATGATTTCTTCAATACAGACCCGTCAGTGGTTGAAACAGCTTACGATATTTTTAACGCATCAGGTATGCATGTTTTGAAATTTATTTAGAACAATGATTAACTGTGAAATAGAACAATTGAGTTCTAATTGAATATACTCTCTATTAAAAACAGAATTGTTAGAGATCTGGAAATTCCAGGATTACCGATAAAAGTCATGTTAAGTTGTGCTTAAGTTATCTTGCGATTCAGGTGGAAAGCAAATGGGTATTTACTAGTTTTTAGTGCCTAATTAAATAGACAAAGTTTGCCGATGTCCAAATTAATAATGTCCTAATGAATTTTCGTAAATAAAATATTTGTAAGTTACGATGGGATGAAGATATTTACAAAGTTTTTTTTTTTGTTTTGTTTTGCAGGTAATTTAGTAATCTTTCTAATAATTATGGATACTGTCAAGAAAAAAATTTATACTTTTTGAGTTATTTGCAAATAAAGTTTCTTTTCCTTAACTTTTTTCCCAGAAATTTCAGGGAAATAGGCCTATTTATCGCATGCGAAGGAGAATATCTTCAAAATGAGTGGTCAATCATTGGATTTGATGAAGAATTGACAAAGTTATGGCATTCCGACAAAAAAAAACTTTTAGAAATATCACACAAGATTTTTATCCATTGTTTAGAAAAAAGATTCTGAACTTTAATTTTATTTATTTAAAAGCTATGTCATTGTTTACCGTTATCCTTAGACATTTCTGTTCGATTATTGATTGATGCTCTTCTAGTGTGAATTTCAGTATTGTTTGTAATGTATTCTCTGTTTCAGAATGGTTCTATATGGGAAGGTCTTGTTTTATGGAAAAATAATTTAGATAAGAAATTTGAAGGGATCGAGGAATGTTACATATGTTTCTCGATTCTCAATAACACAACACACCAGCTTCCCAAGCTCTCATGTCATACTTGTAAAAAGAAGTTCCATTCTTATTGTCTCGTATGTATTTCTATTTATTTCCTTCTATTAAGTATATAATTTTTTTTTTTTTAACTGAACTAAAATTGTAATTTTTTCTTGTTTCAGTATAAATGGTTTTCAACTAGCCACAAGTCGACTTGCCCCATTTGTCGGGCTATATTTTGATTTACCCTTTAGATAATACTCGGGGTGCTGTAAACTATTTTTTTCTAATAAATAAATTTATTTATTTTGCTATATAAAATTGTAATTTCATTCTTAAATTCCCAGTTATTATCATTTCAATGTGAAATATACTATTTAATTGGCACGTTCATTAGTATCTATATTTTACTGGAATCCTATATTATTAAGGTCTTCTATTAGTTTTCTTTCAGAAGAATATTCAAGCCACCAGAAGCAAATGCCAGTTCAATTCTTGTATATGAAGATTGAATTCCAGTTTATTTTCTATCAACAGGATTAATTCATGCCCTACATTAGTAACCCGAATAACCCAGAAACTTTCAGTGGTTTATTATTATACTTGAATCATGATGTGTCTTTTCAATAATTAATTTTTAATGTATAATTATTGAGCAAAAAAAAAAAAAATGAAGTTTTGAAAATTGTTTTCCTTAAAACTAAACAAACCTTAAAGTTGGCCTTGGGTATAGTAAATACTTGATGTTATCTTTAGGGAATCAATCAAGAATGTGATATTTTCAGTTTGCATATATGTATTTAATTTGATGCCTCAATACTTGGTAAGAGACCATGTGAAAGGACAAAAAACGGACAGATAGATCGAATAAATAAAGGTGTTGGAGAATTACTGAAAGAAGTAGTCCAAGGTAGGCAGAAGTATTATTTGAGGTAGAGCATGTTAAAGCTTTGCCCGTTTTAACATAACCGAGTCTAGTGGTCCAGTTCAAATCTAGCCATCGACCTTTTTTTCCACTGTGGTTAGAATAGATTTAGTTGTACTAATAGAACTATATTTTTAATGTTTAAAAGTCATAACAAATGATCCTTCCATCCAATTGTTTGCTGTGTCGAAGAGGCTGTTTTCGTTTCTTAAGATTTTGTAAAGCAATCTTATAAACCTTATATATCTAAAAAATGTATAATTATTATTTTCACTTACCTATGCATTATTAAGCCTCCAATACTGATAATTAAATAATTAAAATTATAAGTATTTTCCCAACTTAATGTAAGCTTATCAAAAAATGTTGAATTTTCTTCAAAGCAGGGGATGCCATGAAAAAATTTGGGTAAGCACTCTGGATAACTAAATTTAGTATTAATACAGTGTAGATTGAAAGAGAGGCAAAACAAATAAGATAGCATAATGATAAGGGAATTCTGTTCTTAACAGGTCCTGAATAAAATTAAAGTAACCTGAATTTAAAACAATTTTGGAGCTTAACTAACTATTAAGGACATATAGAATGGATTTAAGAAGTATTTGTGGATCATAAGGATACTTGGTTTATAAACAATTATTTTATGAAACCTAATTATATCTTATTCAGTTCAAAATGTTTGAGTCGACTACATTCAAGATTTATTTGATTAACAGCTACGGTAATTTTCTATGGATCACTGGATAATTATCTAAAATGACAAAATAGGTTGTTTCCTGTTACTTCCATTTTCTTTTTATTATACTAATCGAATTTGTAAGCAAGAAAAAAAGTTAAAAAGAAAGACAATTCAAATTCCCAAAGATGGTCAAGAAAGTACAATGATAAATAACTGTAATAAGATATTTTTTAAAGAATTAATTGTATAGGAATCCTTTAATAAAGATAAAACAATTTTAGCCTAAGAAATAAAATGGAATTCTTAAAAGAAATAAAAATACATAGTTAAATTATTTTATTAGTACACAATCTTCCTAAGTCTTTTTCATGGCCATTTTTTTTTTCATGTGGTACAAGTGTAAAAGTTTAGTCTTATATGTCAGGTAACGTGATCTTACAGTATTAAGTTCCATATTAAAAATCTGATTTAACATTATATTATATGCTAGAAGTTGATCTGTTCTAAACATATCCCATTTTATTAAATGATCAGACTCCATCGATCGGTCTGATAAATAATGTAAGAGCCAATCTGGTGGTTTAAATAATTCTTCTGGTTGATTCATTCTTAATTTTACAATTCTCACTTTTTCTTTGGTGAAGTATTAATCCTAAAAATAAGAATATATAAATATGTAGAATAAAAACAATATTTTTAAAAAGCTTATTTATTTCATAAGTCAGAATCTATCAATTATAAATATTTTTTATCCTATAGGATATTTATAACAATACTATAATGAAATGAGAATTTTAAATAAGAATTAAATACTGATATAAAGTATTTACTCAAAAGGTTTCATAAGTTCACTATTTTATAAAGTTATAAGTAATTAAAATATCAACAGCTACTAATTTTGTGAATTAAAAACACACGTGTTCTCTAGATGAGTGGGTTTAAGTGCTATCATCTGTCTTAAGATAAATCGAGTAGCATTACACTGAAACTTAATAACCTACAAAAAGAAAAAAAAAATGTACTAAATGCATTATTCGATTCAAGAAGGTTCATTTTAAGTTTTGCGGAAACAAACCAAGCCCTACTTAACACTAAGCAGTTAATTGAACTTCAACCTAGCTACAAATCATTTAGTTTTTGTTTAATGTATCCAATCACTGGTTAGTTTAATGTCTACAACGCTAACTCTAATTCATCTAAAAAGTATAATAAGTTTTGGACTTCGGGTTGAATTTAATTTTGTCTTAACTTTACTTCAAATTGATGTATTTGAGAGTTATAACTGTTTCAGCTTAAAACTGCTCATTTTTTTTATAAACCAAATTTATCACAAACAAATATAATCTCCTGCTCGCAGTGGAACATTTATTTATAATTTATAAAACATAATTAATATAAGTCATAAATATTTCTAGTATAATAATGTAGAAGTTTCAAATTACAAACATTCAAAAACGTCTTGAAAGTCTAATTCTATTAATCCACTGTATTATTTCAATATTTTGCTAATGAAAGAATTACTATACTATATAAACTCACCCACTGTGGAGAGGATAAATTATTTTATCCCAGTATAAATAAACAATACTATATTTCAAATGACAATATATTTATTATTCTTTTACATTTCACTATTTCACACATTATCTCCATAAATTAATAAGTAAATAAGCACTTGTGAGAATATTTAATCAATTAAGAACAATCATTAATGAATTATTGATCACATACATAAATAAGATATAAAAAATGTCTTATTTAAACACAGATTAACAAATACAAAAAAAATGCAGGTAAACAAAGGATTTAAGCAAAGTACTAGTTAAAATAATTTTCGAAAGATAGCAGCACCAATCAAGGAACTAGGAAAAAATATTAGTTTTATTTAATGCCTAAAGATGGCAGCACTATACAACACTATATTATTTCTTCCAGGTCCGATTCTGAATTTTTGATTTTGTATTAGGATAGTGGGAGGCCGTAGGAGCTCACCTAGTAGGTATCAGGCTGGCCCGACAGTGCTGCTGTCTTGTGGCAGTTTTCTGAACTACAAGTACACGTGCACTTAAACCAACCTACTAGTTGAGCTCCTTTGGCCTCCCACTATCCTAATACAAAATGAAAAATATTCTGTCGGAATTTGACTTCGGAAATACTTGTCTGTATAGTGCTGGCCTCTGTAGGAGCTTATCAGAACCATTTTTTTTAGGTTTCTCGATTAGTGCTGTCCTCTTTTGGGTATTTTAAAAAACTAAACCTTTTTATTTCAAATCATTAATTGACACATTCCCAGGTTGTTGGTGAACACTGACAGTCGTGAATTAAGTAATAAAGAGAAAAAAAAATGATTTGAGTGTATAAAATTTATCCTTTTCCATTTGTAACGAAAAATCAGACATTGTCCATTGTTATTTGTATAAAAAATAAAAGGTTATTTATTATTTTAAAATAATTTATTCAAATTCAACCTTAATATATTTTACATTCAGGGATTAGTTTTATAAAGACGAAATTTGAAGGAATTAGGATTTTAATGTAAAATATAAGAAATATATGAAAGTAAAAATATTATGAATATATATAAATAGTTAAAAATAGAAATATATTAAAGTTTTAAGGTAAGTTAGAGATAAGTTTTACAATGATGAATAATAAATTGTTATTAAAACATATAAGAAATATGTAAAAATTCAAAATAAAAATATTATAAATATCTTAAAATAGTTAAAAATAAAAATATATAAACGGTTTAAGTTCTTTTAGAGATAAATTTAATAATGATGAAATTTAGAGGGATATTAAACTGTATTTTAAAGTATATAAAAGTGAAGAATAAAAATATATAAAAGTTTTAAGATAAGTTTTATAATGACATAATATAAAGAAATAATATGTTTTTTATAATTTGGAATATATGAAAAATACATAAAATTTTTAAGGTACTTTTTCTAAAAATGGATTACAAAGGAGTAAAAAATTGTAATTTAAAGGTGCGTTTAGACATTTCACAAAATTTGGGCCCACACAATTATCTATCTTAACTAACAGTGTCATTATTGCTAAACCAAACTATTTATTTTATTTCTCTTGTTTTAGTATTGAATTATTTTCACGTGTCAATGTCCTTACTATTTGTTAATTATTTGGGTGCACGATTGGGGGAGGAAAGGACTGGCTTGGAGATCTTAAACGAATGAATTTTGTAAATATTTTATAAAACCATATGTGTATTTACCTAATTATTCCGATTAGTTTAGTTTCTTTTAGTAGTATATATACATTTACTTTTAGTATTATTATTTATCTTTTTATTTATTGTACATAGTGTGAATGAGCTACTCTTTTATCACTATTACTATTGTCCTTAGATTTCTCGGATTGTAATGTATCTTAATAAAGAATTTTTGAAAGTCTGTCGAAAATATTCTATTGATACCAACAGCAGATAGAAAATATCAAAAATAGCATAGTCAAATAATCATATATATCCTTATTTGTTCTGTAGTTTCTGAAATGTCTTAACACACCTTTAAATCTGTAATTACTTACTTATACTTGGGTTAAATAACCGCATCTGTCTTTGAGGAACAAGTGAGTGTTTTTAATAAATATTTTAAATAAGTGAATGTTAAGGATAAAAATGTAGGGCTGCCCAAAACGGGGTGCCATGGCAATTTTTTGGGGGACCGAAAACTATAATTTTTGTGGGGTTTTAATTTCAAAAAATTTAAAACAGGGAATAAGAGGAAAACATGGTACAAACCACTTCAAGTATAATTGTACCAGTAATAGAGTATACAGTTTTCAACTGATTAATAGATAACAAGCTTTATACGTCCAAAAGTGAGAGCAAATAAACTTTTTTAGAACAAATATTTTAAAAAAATAATTGAAATAAAACTTTTGTATAATCAAGTTCTGGGTTTATAAATTTAACTTTTATTGATTAAAGTTCTTAAGAGAAAGTTTTGTTGACTGAGAAATAAATAGTAAATGAGCTTAGATTAAATATATACTTTTATTGAAGAGATTTCATGATTCTTAAATTTAATTTTTTTGGTAATATCTTGTACAATTAACATTTTTTTGGTGAAATGAATTGCTGTAACAGAACTTTTTGATATTATTTTCTAAATGAAAGCTCTGAAAAAACTTTCCAATAAAATGATAAATAATCAAAACTATGCTATCTTATTGAAGCTAATTAAGAATAAGAGTTAACTTATAATTTCAATCCACAGTTTTATTTAAAGTTCAGCCTATTTATGTCTAGATTGTTTACTTATTTGATTTTTCTACTCCGAGTCAAATAATTATATTCCAGGTTAATTTTTAGGCACTGAAAAGTAGACTTTTTGGCAAATATAAATATATTTATAGACAAATATAAAATTAATCATAAATTAAGGGCATTAAAGAAGAAAAGACAGATACTATTATATGAGGGGTTTTGGTTTCAACCTTGGTAAAGAATTTCAATTTCTTGAACAACTAGAGGTGATTTGACTAGAATCATGCTCAACTGCCTGGTTTTCTCCTTAATTATTATTAGGAGTAATCACTTTATAAGGGACTAAGTACATCCCAGAAGGACTCAGGATTAAGGACTGTGCCTAACTCTCTGAACTACTCCAATTCTTTCAAGGCATGAGGTTATTTTTATCAAAGATTATAAGGCAGAAATATATATGTTTTAAAAGTAATTTTTTATTCAGTAGAAATATTATCACATATTATATAAAAACATTCGTTTTGAAGTAATAAATAACATTAAAGTACCAGTTATTTTTACAGTTGCTTTAAAATGTTACAATTCAAAGTTGTTTTTAATACATACATATATGGACAAAAACAAACATACAAATAGACATAACAAAACATATTTGATAAAAACATATAGAAATATTCTAAATACTATAGGAAATTTGAACTTTTATTCAACACATACAAGATGAATAATGACAAAGTACGTGTTTAATGAGCACAAGTCTTCGCAAAAATAATGTCATGAAATATACTAAACATAAAATTATATTTTGTTTACAATAATAAAACAAATAGAAAATCAAATTATTTTAACATTAGGCCATAAAACTGTTATTGAATTATTACTTTATTTACGAAAAATACAGATCAGTGTTATAATATATCTTAAGGTACTTAATGATCAATGCAGGCTTATTTAAAATTACATTAAAATTATATGCATAAGTTATTAACTTAAAATTTTTGGTTTCAATGAAATAGCATCTTTTAATAAATATAAAATCATAACATGCTAACAATTAGTTCTTATTTGGAAAAGTTGCTACGGTTCCATTACTAGAGTGGAAAATTGGCTATCTCTGGCTGTTTAAAGACTTCAATCGACAGGTATTGTCACTGAAACAAAAACAAAAAAAAAAAAAAAAAAAAATTTGAAACGTTTATATACATGCAATTTTTATAAATTAAAATATAAAATTGTAAATATGAAATTTTTGTGAAAGATATTAATTATTGAGTCATTGTTATCCTCTTTTTTTAAATCTTACAGCACATGCAACCAATTCATAATATATAACCTCAAATTTTTTATTATATTAGTTTATTAATTATATTTTATTTTCCATAATAGATCAAAAAATTTACTCCTTAGGTAGTCAAAACATGTTTATTGTAGTTTTTATAGTATTAACCCTCCTGGTAAATAGTAGTGATTGATAATCAGTATTAAAATCTACTGATAGTTGAAACCTGAATAGTTGGGGTTGATGTGTACTTATCCACATAGTGCTTCTCGATGTCCTCATTGCACTATACTGCTCAACAAAAGTATAGGGGATATTACATGTATATAATATTGCCATACAACATCCCATCATAATAGCGACACTATGAGATGTTACCTTCAGCCTTTCAATACTAAATTGGGCTGCTCGAGTTCTCATGACGGAAGATCCATGACCAAGGTTTATGAATAAACATTCCCATATCATTCATGACAGCAAAAAAAATCTGGTTTGATATACTTATCACCTACCTTTCACTTACCTTGAGTAGAAATTAATGTTAAAGGGTACTTAATATTTAATTATCTGAATCTATTTAACATTGGGTCTAGAGTTATTGAACTCAAGATATAACCATATTTTTTTCAAGTCACATCCTATAAGTTTATGTGTTTTTTGTCAGTATCTATCCATGACTTTATGAGGCAGATGTTAATTTTTATAAAACCTTTAGCTTTCTAACAGTATGATATAAATCCATGTTATAACTTTTATTTCTGATAATTTGTTTTCATCTTGGAAAAATATTTTTCCTGTAATGATTAATCAAATTTGTTTATAGTTTATATTTATATATATTTTTTATTACTATTAAGCACAAGATATAGTTAATTATATGGGTTTAATTGGTTGGGACACTGGTGCGGCCAGATATATGCTTTCCTGCATGGGTGGTCGCCACTTAAACAGGTAGGGGCAAGTTTCGCCATCACCATTTGACTTGTGTCAGTTCATTAATTAGTCCTCTGTAGCTGTGTGGTGGTTCCGGATTCTGACCATTTGGAAGCTATCAGTTGCAGATTTAATTATGAAACCAAGGTATGTCCTTTTTTTGTTATTAGTGTCACATCACTGATCTTATTTATATTTTATTTAAATGTTTTATACATCAAATAAATGTTAACAAGTTAATTTTATATTTTTTTTCTTAATTTTGGTTTTGACTGAATGCTGATTTTGGTACACGTGAATCTCTGTATACTAAACAAATAAATGTAAGTTTCCTACATATTATATAAATTGTAACATCCCTCTTATGTTTTACAAATAATAATAATATAACCTCGGAAGATCACTTTATCCGTTAGGATACTTCCAAAAGAAACAAGAGGTTGCTATAATAATAAACAAAATTATAAGAGTATTAATATATTTATTTATTTCAGGTATGGGTTTCTGACAATCAGATCAACTAAGACAAACTATTATTATTTACACTATTTATAATAAAATTAAACACTGATTTTAAAATAAAGTCTAATCTGGATTGGCAAGCTAACCTTTTTTCTATAGATACTATTTCTTCCTTTGTTGCCCTAAATTCATTTGTCTTCAAATACTTTCTAATGTTCTGCCCAAACACAACTTCCAAGATGGTAATACTATTACTGGGTTTTAACCACTGGAGCCCAGGATCACTTCTCCCATCCTATCTTCACCCCAGCCAAAAATCAACTACACGCCAAAACAAAAACCTTTGTCCCTCTCCTCTTTAGTAGCCCATGGGTGTTAGATAGTCATGTTTCCACTCTTGTGACTTATAATATATATATATATAAAGTGTTCGGGCTGAAGCCCCCACCAAATTAAATTCTGCATCCATTAGTAATCATTATAACTTAATCTTAACCAAGGAATACAAAGTGATAATTCATAAAAGTACTTTATTCATGGAACAAGCATAGCACAGGGCTCTATTCACTGCACAGACTTTCTATTTTGATTGGGAGAGAAGGAAAAAAAAAAAGAAGGCAATAGCTCTTATCATGTGCAATAATCCATCATAATAATTGTGAAATGAGCAAATATAATATTGAATATTTAAATAAATTTATATATTTGTTTGGAAGTTTTCAGAATTCTTTTATTTGCATACTTGAAAATATCTGAATAAAACAATAGGATTTATTACAATTTGTACACATTAAACATGGAAGGAAGGAGAGGGCAGCCTTCATAATATAAGTACATTTCTATACCTTTTCCAATTAAGATGAATAATGTTAAAAAACTGAAGATTATTTGCTATTTCTTAGTTTGCACAATCTTAAAAAAATAAAAATACAATGTTTTCATAGTCTAATTAGTTATTTAAAAATGTCTTTAAAATATATGTATACTTATACTTCTTATAATATTGTAGAAAATTTATAAGAAAATAAAGTGGGAATGGAGGTGTAGACATTAGAGGTGAATGAATCATAAACTTCTAGGAAATATATCTATATAATTATCTCTGAATTTAAATAAAAATTTAAATAATAGAATTATTTAGGTCTTTACAAAATAGTTACGTACCTACTTATAGGCCTTGGCCTAGCAAGCTAGTCGAATTTTCTTAATCAATTTTATTTTACATATTCTATTTATTCATTTATCTAATTTGTTATCAATTTAATTTTTAAAAATTCTAATTATAGAGGAGGAGGGAGTGAAACGATATTTTCACCTCCTCAACATTTTTATTGGGGGAGCGATCACCCCCTCATTCTCCCCCCTTGTAGTCTGCACTCAAGGTCAGTAAAACTACCAGGTTCGCTCACTCAGAGAGAAAATGATGGGGAGGAATTGAGCTCTGACGTAGCCAAAAGACTGATTTTATCCCTCCGGCCTTTGTTTCTGGACATTTTAAGATTATTATTTACTTTTATACATTAAATCAATACTGTATTGCCAAATAACTTATTAATTTTAATAAATTTGAAAGGTTGAATTTATATTTGGTTTATTCTGAAGCAAATAAAAGGTAATTTAACAAGTTGATGTATGATTTTTTGCAAAGTACCACAATACCACAAGTACCACAATTTTTAAATATTTCAAATAAATACAGAGCATAATATAAAAAAATAGAAATATTGAAAAAAAAGAAAAAGTATTTAATCTAACATTAAAGAAGGGTTTTTTAAAGTAGGTATGTGCAAGGCATATAGATATTTGATATCATTTTATAAAAGAATTAGCTAATAAAAATATTATAAATATTGAATATGTTAACGCAAATGATAATGTTGCCGATATATATTGACAAAGTCATTATGCAAAGAAAAATTTGTTAAATATAAAAAAAAAATTAATAAACAACTCCTAAGATTCCGTGATTGTATTCCTCTAAAAACCAGACAGCTCCTTGTAACCTCCCTTGTACTCCCCCACTTGGACTATGGCTGCTTGGTGTATGGAGGGCTATCTGCCAGGCTGGAAATGAGACTAAAAAGGCTCATGAATTGTTTTATAAGATACATTTTCGGGATCCCCAGACGTTCACATGTTTCACTGTGGTACACCAAGTTGAAGTGGCTTTATCCTACTTCCCGACGACAATTCCTTCTTGGCGTTTTCCTTTTCCAAGTCTTCAGAACCAAAAACCCTCCCTACATCCTGGAATTCCTTACTCTGCGCTCCTCTATCCACTCTCTCAATACTAGGTCTCAACCTATAGACTTATATATTCCCTCCCATAAAACTCCCTCCTTCAGCAAATCCTTCGTCATTCGTGCTGCTTCCTTATGGAACTCACTTCCTACCTCCATGCGTCAATCCTCATCCACAAATTCCTTCAAACAACTCCTGTTTCAACACCTACTCCACATCCAAACTTCCCCTAACATGTAAAATTACTTGCATCTATACAATGTTTAATTTCAATTCATTGCACAATTGAAATAACAATTAACAATAAATTAGTTGGTATTTTTATTATGTCAGACTAAGATACATAAATTTGTAACTCTGTTATTATTCTTAGGGGACAGTAGTCCCAGAATAAAATTATTTTTTCATTCATTCTATTCCATTTCATTCATTTCATTTTCATTCTTAAAAACAGCCACTGATAATCATTCCAAATTGTACCAGAGAACTATATAGTGGAGCACAGGTGAATCAATAGAGGAAAGGGGGGGAGAGGCTTTCAAGATGAAGCCCCTCTTCCTCCTCCTAAAGGTGTAAATTATAACCACAGTTTTTGGAAAAAAATCTCCTATCTATAATATTTTCTTTGGAAAAATATCTCCTGAAGTATTATTGTTCCTGTAATTACATTTAATAGTACATAAAAATCACTTAAACACCATTTCATATAGGTAGTTATTTTTTTTTCAAAGTAATTATCGTTATATATATGAAAAAAAAAAAAAGTTTTGGGGCTGAAGCTCCCCCCAAAATTAAATCCTGAAACCCTAGTGGAGTGGAGCGACTAAAGTGAAGACGATTTCAAGGAATGCAATGACGATCACTTCACTCCATCTTTCCAGTTCTTTTAATGACCGTGACTGATGATCCTGAAGGACATATTCGAAATTATTTTGAATTCATAAATAGTATGCTTCCAGAAATTAATAATAAATATTATCTCTGAATATTATGAAGTACTACGTAACTTCAAGTTTATTTATTTGAGCACATTTAATGAAGTGCTCAAATATAATCATTTTTAACAAATATTATTTGTGCTTAACACTCGATTTATTAATTAATAGATATATGATTACGCTCATTTAGATTTTCATTCTGATTGTCATATTTAACTTTTTCGCTAACACAGCATATCAAAATTTAATTGTAATCTCACTGTATTTAGACACTTCTAAAACATGTTTTATCAACTAATTCTGACCTCTTTGTTGTTGTCGCTTCATGAACGAATGATTAGGTCGGTTTGTTGTCAAGTAAGCGTGTGTTATTGTTTTTAGGTAGGTATTTGTGGTGGTTCTAAAGATATCATAAAATAGAATGAGCTTATTATTTGAAAACGAAATTGTTATTTATGTAATATAGTTCTACTTTCTATCTTGCAGCTAAAAATGTATTTTTCCTTTTGATGGTAATTTTCCAATTGCAATGTTATCTGTTATCAAGTCCATGCATTCACTTTGACAAAATAATCTTATGTTTTGAAGAAATTGGTTTTGTTAACCTTTTATTCAAATGATTAATTAAATATTATGAAAACTAAATCAGAAGTTGTTAAATTTAATTATCTTTGGTTATTTGTTAAGTTAATTATTTACCTGTGGTAATATTAGTCAGTACTGAAGTTTAAAGGTACAAAGTGAATTCATAAACAAGTTATTACTGCTGATTTCTTCATGATTTTGAACTGATTGAATCATTGCAGTCTTATTATTTTTTTTTATGGCTTATAACTATTGCAATCTAAATGTTAACTGTCCAATGGCAGATCCAATGAAACAGGGCTAAAATTAAATCCCCATATGTTAAGTAAATTTTTTATTCTCAAAGCTATGAAAGCATAGTACATTATTTGTAAAAGAGCCATTAATATATAAATACATCGTTTTGCATTGTTCTTGAAATAAGATTCATTATTGTTTTATTTCAATAGAATTAAGAAAAGCAATAAAGATTAAGAGATTATCACCAAATAATTAAACAAAAAAGAAAAAAAAAATTGTATAAAGAAAGAGACAGAGAAAGATGCTATAAAAGCTAAATTGACCTTGGTTATAATATATTTAAGGTTATACTAATATCTGATAGTGTCAAAGTTACAGTATGGGTGATTTCTATTTTAAAGTCACCAAACCTTTTGAAGCTGGAAAAAATTTACTTTCTAACTGAACTTAGAATTTTCATAGCCTATAGTTCTATTTTTAATGATTATATTATATTCTATATTGTAATATTTCAAAAAATAAAAATTTAAACTTCTAAAAATCATTCTAAACAAAGTCCACCTGTCCATTTACTTAGATCTCGAGTTTGAAAGTCGATTCTTACAGTATTTGGTTACCAATTTGATGTTCCTATCTTTTAAACCTGTTTATATTTTCATGTAAATATTTCAAGCAGTTGGTAGGTTTCATTTTTTTAAATAGTTAAGTAATAATAATGGTTTGTTGGTCCTGGCACACCCCATATAAATATGTATTTATTCACTCAAAAATAAATTATTCTATGAAAGGTTAAGTTTTGAGTTTTGCCGGTCTTCTAACAAGCTAGCAAGGTCTCCTATACCTCTTACAAACTTCATAAGACCTAACTTATACCCTGTCAAAAGCTTGTACTATATCCAGAAATTCATCTAAACAATATTGCTTGCTTTCTATTGCCGAAGAATTACCATCAACAACTCGTAGCACTGGTTGGATTGCGGAGTGTTTTGATCGAAATTCAAATTGATAGGGAGGAAGATTTCGGATTTCTTTAAAGGGTAGGATTAGTGTTAGAAGGATCTGTATAAATTTTTTCTGAAAGGATTGGACGTAGGATGTTATTGTTTCTGTATGTGAGGAATATGAAAGCTTTGAGAGGAAGTTGTCAACAGATCTGAGAAGTAAAGAGCTTGTATCCAGGAGATTTATGGAGAAATAGTTTTTGTAAATGATATTTGACTTCAGATGGATTAACTGTTTTGCGAGATTAGGAGAGTGAGTTGGATGTTAAGTTAAATACATGTTCACTAGTATGGGAGTTAAATTAATTAGGATTGATTTATTATTATTAGTTTAGTTTTTATTCTAAAATAAAATCAACATTAAAAAGTACTTTCTTTCCGATTGATTAGTCTTTAATATTCTTTTGGTATATTAAGATTGGTGTTATATCGAAAGAAACAGGAAATAAAATGATCTTAACTTTTTTAAAAATATGATATTCTGAAGAATAATAATTATTGAATATTTTTTGTTCTATTTGACCTGAAAAACTATAAAAATTGGTAGAATTTATTTCTCTTCCCATTATTTTTAATTTTTATCATCATTTTAATAAATATCATATTAATAAAATGATTGCCTAAGTACTACTATACATGCATGAAGAGAAAAACGGGAAAGGTTTTTTTTTTCTCTCGGAATAGGCTAGTTTCAGCTAACTGAATTTCACAAACAAATGATATATTGATTTTTATTGGAATCAATCTTGATATGCAAACTCATAATAAGAGAATTAATGTTGTAGCACACTTATGAAGATAAAATTAACAAGGTGACAAATAGAGAAAATCTTGGTATAGTGCGAAAGAAGAGGGAGTATTTTTTTTTTTTTTTTTATGTTTTTCATTCAATAACACATGCAATATTATTGCGATTGAGAAAAACACCTATGTTCGGACAATCAAAAATAAATAGATGACCTTTAATAATTACTGTTAAATAAAGAACAAATATTTATACACTTAAGGACTCATAAAAACTTTAAAAATCAATATTTTACTGATTAAATTAGTGAAATATTTTAGGTAGCTAATCTATTTATCATTGACGAAAAGAAAATTAGTTTTCCAATAGTTTTTTTTCTACCTTTCAGCCACTGTGCTCCGTCAGGCGGAAAGGGGGTATCTCCATAGTAAAGTGTTATTATTAACTTAGTTTAAAAACGTTATCAGTCCATAGTTATAGTCATAATGTATCTTTAGGGGTGTCTTTTGAATGTGGCTATACGTAAAACTGTTGAAATATTTACTTATTGTTAAAGTGCCCATTTTTGTCTCACTAAGCCGATCTGGAAATAAAGAACATATATATATATATATATTGGTTATTTTATATATATATATATTTTATATATATATATATATATATATATATATATATATATCTGGTTATTTTATATATATATATATATATATATATATATATATATATATATATATATATATATATATATATATAAAATAACCACAACTATAACTTAAACCTATATTATTGTACTGTTTAATGGGATAAAAACTGTATACGTAACTATTACAATTCACGCGAAAACATTTGCTATAATTCGACTCTCGCTCATTTCAAATTTCATAAAGGCATTACAGTACTCAAAATTATCGAGATGAATCAGACAGTTATAGAATAGGCAACTTGTGTCAGTGATTTATTTTTGGCCCGTCATCATTAATCACTATATTTAGGTGATATAAATACCTCATATTCCCATACGAGCTCCTCGTATAGTCTTCGACCCCTAAACATTCCATTATCTTGTCATACAACATACAAAAAGTTTAAAATATTTTTTTTCTCGGCTCCTAGGGCGCATTGGCAAGAACCCTCAGACATGGGTCTAATATTTTTCGACTTAGTATCACCAAAAAAAGTTTCATTGGAATCGGTGACCCCACGTCCGTAACTTTCCCCTTGTAAGCGATTTTATGAATTTTCCCTCTGTCAAATCAAAACATTTTTGACATGTAGAATTAGGATTATTTTGATGCACTTGATGAATGGATCATTGAATATTTATACTCCTTTTCACAGATAAACCTCATTTAAACACTCTTGTGTTACCGATTGCTACACTTTTTGAAATTCCATCTCTCTTAAAATCTGCCATGCTCCATGCTTATCCCAATTTCTCTTCACAAATCAATCGGACACTGGCTAATTATGTATTATGATTTTTTTTACCATGAATATGAACTAATATTTATTATTTAATTTTATTCTTCGCAGAGCACTGGTAGGTATTTTATCTTTTTCTTTTAATATATTGTAAGGTTACGTTCCCTTTGAAAAGTAAACAAAACTGTTTCTGAATCAAATAATATTTATTTTAATCAATAATTAATTCTCAGGATAGGTTGAGACAACTAGCAGACATCCTCAATTATACAATATAAAAGCATACTTGGTGCGCTTTCGACCTGTCACTATATATTTTTCACTCAACCTGCATGCAGTGAATCTTCCTCAGTATTGTATGCTACTTTCTGTTGTTCCTTTATTTTCTTGTCTTCGCCTAGTTGTAGACACTCACTACTTGTTAACTCATTTTCTTCTCTCGATCCTCTTTACTAGCCGGCTGGCTACGTTCTGTCTTCATCTGGTTCTTCTTCCCCTACCATCTGTCATTCTTTGTCCGTTTTTGACAGTAGTTCGTGATGTCACTACCTTCACGCCACTATTCAAAATCACTATGTAATATTTACATTACAATATATACAAATCATTTGTATTTATTTAAAAATTTTTTAATTAACAGATGTAAATCTTTTTTTTTAATGCTAAAATTGTTTGCTTATAAAATTAATTTTATTTTATTTTATGCAATGTGCACCTGCGCATCTAGCAAATTTGTTGTATTTTTATTGTCTTGGTGTAATTGCTTGATTTTTTTATTGATGTAGTAGGTCTCTTGGCCATTTTCTTCTTAATCTTCGTTGCTCAGGTAACAGGGAGCAGGAGATAGAAAGAACCAGAGGATTGGAGTGATTTTGGGTTGAAGAATGAAGTGTAGTGTATTTGTCGTGGATGTAGGATTTTACTGTTGGGGTGTTTAAGTCATTATGTATAGTAGTGTTTGAAATGTACCAAGGTGCGTTAACAATTTTTCGTAAAATTTTTTATTGTGCTGTTTGTATTTTGTTTATGTGTGTTTGTTTGGCTGAACCCCAAAGTTCTGCTCCATATGTACATATTGCTCTCAGTAAGGTGTTGTAGATAAGTCGCTTGTTTCGTAAGTTAAGTGAAGATCTGTAGTCCAGAAGATGTGAAAGTTGGCTATATCGTCTGGTAAGTTCTTGTCTTTTTAATTTCGTATGTATGTTCCAAGTAAGTCTTTTGTCTAAGTAGAGTCCAAGGTACCGTACATAGTTCTTTGAAGGCACTGGATTATTGGCAATCGTTATGGGTAGACATGAGGCTTTCTTAAGAGAGAAACTAATGTGGGTGGATTTTGTACTATTAATTTTGATTCTCCAGTTTTCAAACCACTTTTCAAGATCATGAAGATGGTTTTGTAGGGCAATTGATGCAATAGTAGGATTTTTGTGTGAAGTTAGAATAGCAGTGTCGTCAGCGAAGCAATAAATGGTTTTTTGAATTTTTCATGCATTCAACATTCAATATATATATTTTTTATTATAATTCTTTTTTTTTTTTTTCTAGAATGGTAATGAGGTGATGAACAGCATTATGCCAGTAGATAGCCCAGAAAAGAAGAAAATATCTTTAAAAGATTTTGAATCACATAAGCATATTTCCAATCTACTGAATGGACTCTTGCAAAGAAGGGCGGCCAATGCCATCGACATGGCTTTGCAAGCATCTTCATACGATTCTAATGATATTCTAGTAGAGATCGGGCCGTCGCAGTATCTATTACTAATGCTGTTATATGCTTTTACAGCTGAAGATTTGACATTTGCTTACCTTTTACTCGAACTAGGTGATTTGATCAAACCTCAATTGAAATCTTATTTGAAAGTATGGCTGATGGATGAATTTTCATTCCACCCCGACAAGATTTACAAAGCTGTCCGTTTTCTATGTCGTAAAAAGGATCGTCTTGATGTTCCGACTCACATATTGGAAATGATTCTACATTTAAAAGATAAATACAATATAATACAACAATGTATTACAAATGAAGATTCCGATGTTTTAGAATGGATTCACGATTTCCAACCAAAGAATTCTTAATTGTCTGATTTTGAGACTGGTTAAACTTTATATAGTTTCAAATTTGCATACACATACTGACGATAATTAAAGGTTGTTTAACTTGTTGTTAAGACAGATTTGCAATGCCAGCCTAAGTTGATTGTACCTGATGTTTATTAACAGTGGCAAAATTGTGTACTTTTTTTTTTTAACCCAGTTAATTTGCAAAAGAAGTAATTTAAAGAGATACATTAATATTTTTTAATTCAAGTTTGTACTATAGAATTTATATGGTATACTGAAAGAGAGAGAAAACTCAGTTATAATTATCGAAAAATTTATATTTTAAATGAATGAAAAGTTATGTTACATATTATATTGAACAATTTAACCCATTCAGTGCCAGTAATTTTAACCTGTAGATTCATTGTGGGTCAAGAGTATATTTTTGAAATTAAACAAAACTTTAAAATTGTATATTAAAGATATTTTTATTACAGTATAATCAACCCTAGTTATAGTACCGGTATTCTCAATGATTTAATTGATCTTTGTATATATTTGTGTGGTCTATTTACTTAGAATTTATAATATTTTATTAGTGAAGGATCAGTTATTATATAATAATTAATTACATTTATAAGATCAAATTTAATTTAATCAATTGATAATAAAATTTCAATGTCTTAATTTTTTATATTAAAAACAGTTATTTTTCTTAAATCAGTTTTTTATTGAAACTTTTTTTAAAACAGCTATATTTTTCTTCTAATTTTTGATTATTTAGCAGTTCAAATTTTACATATGCTTAAATGTTATTAGAGATACAATTGTATTGAAGTATTGTAAAGACGAATTTCTCAGATTAGTTCAATGTGCTCTTGTGATCAAATTTATCTTTTATGTGGCTTTACATGGTTTTTAGATGTAAAATTTGTATTTTTCAATTAATATTCTCATATCTCTTTGACATTTCTGTATTCAGTCTAGTTATGTTTTCATACCAGCCACTGTTGATTGCATTCATGGTTGTGTGGAAAAACTGTTGGGTATATTCCCGCCAATCTTAATCTGTTTGCCTCCTTACCTGGCGATATCAACTACCAATTTCTTTATATTCCTGTTCCTTCATATGGTTTAATCTAGACCTCATGTCGAGCTTAAGTTAAGAAAAAAAGAATTATAATAATTTTTATGCTAAAATTTAGTGTTATTTGTTATTGCACATTTAAAATGTTGATCATTATTACACAATTTAGAATTGTATTGTATGAATTTCACTCTATTGAGAACTCTGGATTGGAAAGCACACTCGAATTAAAAACAATGACATACGAGAGAGTTTTCTTTGTTTTGTAAATTTGTTTTTTATCTGCACTACTTACATTTAAAATAATTGTGACTTTAACCATATTGCAGACCTTAACTAAAGTTAATATGTTTGTGGCACTGAAAGGGTTAAATCATTTTTATGTAATGTAAAATATAATGTTTAAAGAAAACCAATAAACAGGAATTACAGCTGAACCTCTACATATTGAACTTGAAGGTTTCTGAAAAACAAAGGAGTTTTTGAAAAATTAAAATTTATAATCGATATTTGTATTAAATTTTTATAGAAGCTTTATTTTTTCTCTTGATTTAGCCTGTCAATGATCTATAGTTTTTTTTTTTTTTTTTTTAAGATAAGCACTTCCTTTATTTCCCTTTATTAATTTTTTTTTAAATTATGATTATTATTAATCGTCTAGCTCAAATAATGATTTCATATTTTTGAAACAATGAAACTGCTATTTCTTGCAGTGATAATATACTTTATTCTTTTTGAAACTGAATGTTCAATTGATAAAGACTTACATTTCATCCATGATGACACACATTATCGGGCTCAATGTTTTTTTTATTATATTTTCCATTTATGAGTTTTACCATTAAGCTTTCTGTGATGCATCAGCATCGTTACCTGATATTACTTTTCCTGCTACAAGACTGGAATAATCAACACTGCTTTATCCTTAAAAATAGATCTAGACATTAACATGTTCCTGTCTTCTTTTTAAAGTATAAAAATTTTAGTTAGAGTTAGTTATTTTAAAATGTTATAATGTATGTAAATCGATAAACTGAGATTTTGATGAATTTAAGTTCAATATGTAGAGGTTGAAAAGTATTTTTTAATGTTACTTATTTCTGTGGCGCCAATTCCTGAATGATATACAAATAGACTTGAATTTTAGCATCTGATTCTATATGTGCCTTTTTGCTCAGAAGTAGATTAAGTTTGGGTAATAGTGAATCAAAGTTAACGATTGTACCATCACAAATTTTATTGTTCTGTCCATTACCTTCGAAAATATTTACATTGACAACTGAAGAATAATATATTTTGTTATATATGTATCTAATGCAGCAAGTTAGCTTGTATATATGTATTATGTTAATAGTTTGTTATTGGTAACTTGACGTTGTGATGAATTAAGTCTGATGTTATATTCCATATAATTAATTAATGTTCATCTCATTTATCTTATGCAGAATATTTTTTAAACAATTAGCTAAATTTACACTTTTAATAAATTACATTGTCTTACGTTATAGTTTTTTTTTATTTAAAAAAAAAAATCTATTATACTTTCCTTACACTTTCTCTGTTATAATTCGTATGAAAAATTCTGAAGGAAAATTCTAGTAAATACCATAACCATCTAAAGCCTGGATTTACATGCTACAAAAAACATTGAAATGAAAGCTGAATAATGTTTATCATGGATAAACTTTTTCATAAAGAATTTTTCTTTGTATTCTCCTTATAAATTTGCAATATTCCACTCTTTATCGCCAATTATCCACAACATATTAATTTATTTTAAAATTCTTAATACTACATTAAAATACATTTTTTTGTGGGGAGTATTGCTCAGTAATGTTTTTATTGTCACACTAAAGAGTTTACAGATGATGGAGCATGACAAATAAAAAGGATTATATAAAAACGAAAAAGGTTATTTCACAAAAAAACACAAATGTACTAAATAACTCTATCTCTTCAAATAATAAATGGAAAGATCTATTTACCGTTTTAAAATAAATTCATGTGAATTTTATTTTAATCAACTTTTTATTTTAAAAGTGTAATTTGATTTTTTATTTGTAATTTAAAATTATTTTTACTGAGAGAATTAAATTTGCTATTAATATACTAAAAAACAGAAATAAGAAAGTTTTGTTCTTATTGCAATAAGAAAGCTGTGAATAGTTGTATAAAATAAAATTATTAGGTAAATTTTATTGATCTTTAAAGAAGAATATAACTTTTTACAGAAAAATTTGTTTATTAATCATATGGGTGGCTTCTTTTTTTTTTTTTTTTTACTTGGCCACTCATATTATATATAATTTAAAATGGCAGGTTCGATAACAATTTGGTTATGGATGCTATATCAAGTTTTTTTTTTAAATTATTTGTTTGGGAGAAATAATCTTTAGCTCCATGAAATTTGAATTCAATATAGTAAATTTATTACTTTAATCTGTATAACAAGGAATGCTGTATTTCTGTCTTGTTTTTAAACATTATGGTATTCAAATAATTTATTTATTTAAATAAAACTAATTCCAGCCAGCGGTTTTATAATATAATATAAAATGAGACTAACGCTTAAAATAGAGACAAATATTAGGTCAATTCAAACCAAAAAAAATTTCCCATTCTTGGTCGATTATAGACATGTGATTTTGTTAATTTTTATGGCATCTTTAGAACTAAAAATTTATTATGTTGTGAAATGAAGTCGGATAGTTATGATTTTTACCCATCATTTTTACCATTTATATGGAATGCAGCAGGTAACAAATTATTGAATCAAGAACATAAACTACCAATAAATTTATAATTTTCATGATGCTTGATTTTAATAAAATTAAAGGTTTGTAATTGTTGGATTAAAAAAACAATTATACATTTATTTTAGTTCGACTATTTGTTTATTTCAAGGTAATAAAAAAATCAATAATCTGTAGTTATAAAAAGATAATTCTTTATGTTGAAAAAAATTTATTTCTTCCAAAGTTTTGCTGGGATCCAATGAGTGGTTACTTGAAAAATGATATTCTTCAAAAATAAAATGCTGGAAAATTAAATTGTAATTAATATATTTATGTCAGTACTTAGTACTGCTATTTAAATATAATTTAAAAGAAAAAGAGGAAAAATATTTTTTTTTCCTTTTCTTCATTTCTGTTGTGCCTCTTGTCTCGCAATGTAGGGATTGCAAGTTTATGAAATCATTTTTATGATTATCATGTCATTCCACAATTAATGTTGGATTTTAAATAATTTTTAAACTTTCTGAATTTCAATATGTTGTTTCATTTGGATTTTCTTTACAGATAATCACATAATTTAAGTCTGACAAAAACATTTAAAGGTTGAGTTTTCTCTTAAAACAATTTAATCTGACACTTGTCAAAGGTTTTCTCAGTTGAGGAAAAATATTAACAAGAATTTCATTCTGAATAACTCATGTCAGTTCTATAACAAAATGGATACCAAACAAATTCTGTTTAACATAAGAGATAATTGTGTTGAACTGGAAAAAATATTTTGGATTGGATTCTTAAAACTAATGTTTACACTCTGCATACATTTTTATAATGATTTAAATAAAGGATGTCCATAATAGAGCTGCATGGTGCAAGTTGTTTTCTTAAAATGTTTGACGGATTAAGCAGACTTTTATAGAGTTATAAATTTGTAGAAAACAAGTAAACTACAATTTTTATCATTCTTTTACTTGCACCGTTTTTAAGAATATGAGAGATGTGAAATTTCTTGGAAGGAATGCATGGAGTGCATTCTTGGGGGGAGGGAGGGATATGGACACCCCTGTTTTAATTTAAATTTTAATAAAAATAAAATTAACAACATACGCAATGTAGGAAGATTCTTCCTTGCTCTCTCAGCTTCCCGAACATCTCTTATCGATTGTTTCTTCATTCTTTGTTTCTTTTGTTCGACGATCTTCATCAGGTCTGTTTTCTGGTCGATATCAACCAGCGTTTTCTTTTCTTTTTCTGAAAAAAATATTGAAGCAAAAAAATGTTAAGGTATTGTGAAGTATTTTTTTTTTTTATAATTTAAAGTAATTAAAATTGAACGTTTTAATTAGCAAGAAAGGAACATTTAGGAGTATTATTTGCAGATTTTAAACTTTGATACAATAAAAATAATAAAACAGCTCCAAATTATAGTAATAGTTAATAAAAACAATGATATTAACAATGTCGTATCAATTATTAAAGTAAAAATATCAATTTAAAATACTTTCATCAGGATCATCATGTAATATCCATGTATCGAATTTGTTCCTTTTTTTTAACAGTTCTTGGATACGCTCAAATTGCTGATTTTTAATTTCTTCTTCGGTAGGGCCAGACTAGAAAATATTTGAATATACAATAATATTTAAATAATTAATTAGCTTTATGATTATATTATCATTACCTACCTTCACGACACCCTTTCCTTGGACCAGTTCTCTCACACCTAATTTTTCACGACAGTCATTATAGTAATCTTTTGCCCTATCTCTTTTCGCCTTCAATTCTTTTATTTCATCTAAAGTCAATGAGCCGCCTTTGTTTTTATTCTGTTAAAAGAAAAAAACACATTAGAAAGGTAATTGATGGTAGAACTGTAAGAGAAGTTTTACTCAGCCATTTCAAAACGTCGGCACCTAGATGGGGGAGGGAGTGCAAAGCACCTTCAGCCTCCTCCCCTCCCCCCCAATATTTCATGAAGGGGGTTCAGAGTTTTACTAGTTTTTCAATATTTTACAGCCATTTATTTCAATAGAGATAGGGTGGCCAAGCGGGCTAATGCTTGTGCACAGCATAGCACTTGCCCTGCAACCTGATAACCGAAGTTATGAGTGATAAAATAGTTAAGAGTTCACATCCCGGTGCCGAGGGACGCTTTTAACTCTGGAATTAATCCCCCGGTCTGGGAAAACCTCGTATAGCCTAAAAGGCGAGGAAAGGAGGAAAAAAAAATGATTTATTTAAAAAAAACTCACAAAAGATCAGTAAACGATACAAGTAACAATAGTGGGTTGATGGTCGACTGTAGTGAATATTGAAGAGAAGTTGGTTCAGTCAAAAAATAAAGTAAAAATAAATAAATGATATTTATTTTTATATTTGCCGACGTTTCGGCCCAAAGTTCAGGCATTCATCAGGGCTCAGAAAATACAAGATAAAAATAGATATGAGAAACTATTAACAAGGAAATTAATAATTTGTAGGTGAAAGGTATAGTCTCACAACTTGTAGGTAAAATAAACTTAGCATTAATAAATAATGGAGAAAAAGAAATATGAAATATAAATAAAGAAAATGTAAAATAACTATAACAAAGTTAGGAATAGAAATACTTTATGTATTACCTTTCACTTACATATTATTATTTTCTTTTTACTGTTAATAGTTTCTCATACTTATCGTTATCTTGTATTTTCTTAGCCATGATGAAGGCCTGGACTTAATACCGAAACGTCGACAAAAATAAAAATAAATATAATTTAATTATTTTTACTTTGTATTTTGACTGAACACCCCAACCTAATTCTATTCAATTATACAAATAATAGTTATATTACAGGTAATAAAATGATGACTGAACTATTGTTTGGCATTCGAACCTAGAGCTCTCCCCCCAATATTTCCCATATTCCTGCTCCAATAAAACACAATAAAATAAGATTTCTTATTTGTGTTGTGTCATCTATGACTGCATAGCCCATTAGCCGATCCAGGATTTAATTTTGGGGGAAGGGGCTTCACCCCAAATTTTTTTTTCATATATATAACGATAATTAATTTAAAAAAAAAGAAGAAAGAAATGAACTACCTATATGAAATGGTGTTTAAGTGATTCTTGAAGTCCTATTAAATGTAATTAAACGAACAATAATTTAATACTTTCAGAGATAGTTTTTAATATTTTTTTCTATAAAACATGGTTGTATTTTACCGTTTTGGGGGAGAGGGGCTTCAGTCCGAAAGTCCCACTCCCTGTAGTAGGTCCCCCAAAATTAAATCCTGGAACCCTAGTGGAGTGAAGCGACAAAGGTGAAGACGATTTTAAAGGACGCAATGACGATCACTCCACGCCATCCTCCCATACGAAGGTTGAGAAGATTCATTAATCATTTATTCATGTATGAAGTAAACAAAAGTTTGTCGTTGAAGTCGAAAATTTCTACTCGTCTTTCTGTAGTTACAATTATGTGAAGGCCGTAATATCTTTATTGTTAATTTTATTATAATAAAATTGTAAGTGATTATGCGGATTAGAAACTAGATGATTCCATATATATATATATATATATATATATATATATATATATATTATATATATATATATATATATATATATATATATATTATCGAATTCTAATCAATAATTTTTTCTTCGCAAGCAAGAAATGTATTTTCCTTAACACGCATATTCCAAAAAGCTCTCATCTGTTTTAACCTTACTATATTTGAGGAAAGTTGGAGACTATTGTAAAAGTGACCAGTATCAATTTTATCGATTTCCATTCGCTTCTTTCCCTCACGTATTTATTCTTTTCCTGAATATACTTAGTTAAAATTTAAAGATTAATTAGAT